TTCAACGTATCTAAATTCATCATTGGATATCAAAGACTGAATAATTAATATTTTTTCACATCGCCTTCACTTGTGTAACCAAAAACCCTTTACATTTTCCTTTAAATTGAGAAAAAAACACTCTTCAAGACGAAACTAATAAGAACAGCAACAACGGTCTGAGTACATGCCCGTCGATTCACGATCAGCACAAAAGCAAAGTGCAGTCTACCTAACAAAGTTTGAGTAAAGTGCACGACTCTCCAATATATATTTGACGAAACATTGAGTCGTGTAAGTCTGAAATCTGATCATTTTTGACAAACGCTTAATCTTTGATATCCAGTCAAATTAATTGCAACCAATCCACTTTTTGACACTTTGGCCATTTCAAATTTGTTGTTCAAATTTTCAGGATGCATGCGTAGGTAATTATTGAAGGGTCTTGAAGAACATTTTAGAGACATCATGACATTGTGTCAATGGATTTGTTGTTAGTAGTATTTTTACCAACTGAAAAGGCATATGAATATGAAAGCGATCATCGCAGTAATGAACACTACCTGAACAGTAGTGAAAATAAAGCCTTATTCACTGTTCAAGAAGTGTTCATTACTGCAAAGATCGCTTTCTTATTTACGTCTTTATCCGCAGTTCAAATATATGACTTTCATATATTCACAGTCGTCTGAATAAGCATATTTTTACTTCTGCTTAAGCAGTGTTCATTATTAGCTGCGAAGATCCCTTTCATAAACATTTCTTGGCCCATTCATATATATGACTTTCATATATTCATAGTCATTTATTCATCACTTCACGGGTTTCTTACGAAGTAACATAATAACTAGCTTCCATTTGGCTTGTTAGCTTAAGGGTTGGTAGAGCACTGCACCGGTACCGCAAAAGCCATGTTTTCAAATCCCATACAGGCCTGATTTTTTTCAGACTTTATTTTCACTACTGCTCGAGTAGTTCTCATTACTGCGAAAATCGCTTTCATATTTATTCCTTAATCATCAGTTAACATCTATGATTTTCATGAATTCACAGTCATTTGAATAAGAATATCCTGCGTTAAACGTTGTTATCCTTGAAAATTTTCTTTTCTCTTTTTGCCGCGGCAATAACTTGAAAAAAAAATGTTGAAATCGTTGAGAACAGAAAAAAAAAGGTAAAAACATGCTAATTTTCGCCACAGAAAAGTCTGTTCCAAGAGAATATGAACTCTTCTCTATTTCTATCTGATCTCTATTACGTTTAACACTGAGGAGTTGCACAACCCATTGTTGCTCAAACAAGTCCTAATAGTACATCGTTTAGAAATGACTTTTCAAAGAGGACACTGAAAAAGTTTTAGATAGTTGCGTCTATACCTTACCTCAAGCATTGTTAACTCTTGTAAAGGATGTTCTGGTTAAAGTTCTGTGCACAAACCTTCCCTATTTAGTTTCTTTGGCAAACTTTGCCCTCAAGTGCACCTGTCTCGTTACCTGTCAAGATTATAAATGACATACCGTTTGTTTTTTTGCAAAGATTTTTCGCCGTTTGGGGCCATGGTGATTTATCGATTTTCTTGCTGTATTTCCATGGCAAACAAAGATTCACTAAAAAATGGATTTGAAGACAAACTCTTAAAACCAAGATATCGAAAATTTACGGTCAAATTTGTTGTCTTTGAAAAATTCACCCGTGCTTATTAACACCAAATTGCACTCGAAATCATGTTATTACCTGATATGACACTCAGACCGGACCAAACTTGTTTATTTTAACTTTTTCAGATTTGCTTACACAAATATGGTAAAATGCGGACCGTGTAAGAACCAATCAAAGCGCTCGGATTTCCTTGCCATATAATAATACATGTGTGTACTTGTTGACAGAGGGGGAGGGCTGGAAGGGGAAAATATTTGACTCGAGGTCAAGACATACAGACCGAACGCGGGTGGGTCTGTGCTTTACGGCTGGGAGCCAAATACTTTCCCGTCCGGCCCGACCTAACTCAGTCATTAGTTATTTTATCTTTCTTTTTCTTCTTTTCCTCCTTAGTTCCCAGCTCACGGGGCCGCACAGCTCTTTAGGGCCCTGCTAACGCCATCGCGTACAGCACTCACGCGGGGATTTTTGTCTAAAGTAGTTTCAAAAGCTCAGTTTAAACGTATATTTGCTAGAACTTACTAATTATTTAGGTTTGAATATGCACAGATATATATATATTTTTTTTTTTTTTCTTTAATTGAGAGTGAAATTTCGGAACAGGCAAGTGGGCAAATAACAACAGAGGAACCAAAGAAAGGTTTGTAAACATGCCAGGCGCATTAATTGACGTTATTATAAGGTGAGCAGAGAAGAAAATCCTCAAGACTAAACGAGATGGACAGTCCGAGTTGTGAAGGTTTTCACACTCAGTTAGTATGCAAGCATACTTTAGGTAAAAAAAAGTCAAACACAGCTAACGCTCGTGTAGTATATATAATTTCGTTGAACTAATAAAGGAGGTAACAAGGTAATTTAGTATTATCAACTTAGTTGATAACGTAAACTGGCCACCGTAAAGAGTTTCAAAGCTGACGTCTCGAGCGTTGGCTTTTGTCAGAGCGAATGGAGGAATTGTGCGTTGTGTTTATATGCAGAAAATGGAGCTACGCTATTGGTGCTATTGTGGGAACGTGGTAACAAGAAAAAAAATTAGTTGAATGGAAAGCGTTCTTTGATACCGTGGGGGTTTAGAGGGCCGATTTGTAAGATAATATCAAATTTTCCCTCTTTTTGAAAAAATGGATACATTGGTGAAACAGGAAGACGACCGAGTGACCGATTCCGAGCACACCGTCGCGACGTAGAAAGGAAAGACAAGGACATATCCAAAAGAAAAAGCGGCAAAACTCTAGAACAAAAATTTATCTGTCAAATTGGCGCTCTGTTGGCAGCCGGATTGACACGCACACCGCTGCCCCTGAAAACCACGTGACCCTGCCTCCCATCCCTTCCGAAAAAAAATAGGAAAAAAAAACGGGTCCCTTAAAATGAGTAAGCGTCACCGGGCTGTGTGAAATACGTTTAACATCAAGCTTATATGCAATAAGAGAGCGCCGCTTCTATAATGAAGATTACCTTAACTGCTTATGTGGGTCTATGGTGATTTATGCTATCAATTTTATAAACATTTTATTTCAAAGTCAACAGAGTTTTTTCCCTCTTTCTTGTGACAGTCTGTTTTAATAGTGTAATCTCCATTATAGCAGCGCCACTCGATCGGACGAGCCATTTCATAACATATATAATTAAGGCTTGTTTATAATCCTCTACACCTTAACATCAGTATGTATATTCTCAATACTGTTCCCCATGCCTTTCCAAAGGTGCTGACAAGGAGAGTTTGATGAACGATCAAGGACTGCTTTAGTTGGTAATCTTTTTCCTTATTCTCTTGACCATAATGCTTAAAAAGCAATGCGTAATTTTTTTCGTTAACTGCATTAAGCTTGATGGAAGTTGTTCATTCCTTTTTTTGACGTAAATAATCAACTGGACTTTGTGGAAATGATGCAAGGAAGATGAAATGAACGTAAACTTGACATTATAATTTTTTTTGTCAATTTAAATTTACTAACCATCTTCAGTTTAATGTGATATGCTCGGAAGAGTTGGAGTGGGTTCTAAGTTAACGTTGAAATAAGTCAACGAGAATTTTGTCGGCGAAGATCAGAAATTTTAATCATATATTAACCAGAAAGGTAAACAAATAAACTAATGCAACAAAACAATAACAGAAATTGAAGCGGACCAAAAACTGGGTTAAAACAACAAGAAAATGGCAAAATTCTCTTGAGAAAACAACTGACTTCTGCAAATGAAATGTTCATGTCCCGCCTCACGCTTCATGCCTCTTTCAGGCAAAGGTCAACAAATATAAATTTTAACTCGCATATTAGTTCAAAAAAGCGGTAAAAAAGCGGAGTACATTAATTAAAACGAAATATGGTTGGCGCCTTGTTATATTCACGTCAATGAACAAGATATCACTGAAATAAAAATAGAAACTCGACAACGTCCTGTTGATTTAAGTCGAGAGCTTGTCCATTAAATGAAAATACAACAATTCTATCTAACTACATAAAAAATGGTCTATATAAACACCGGCTGGCTCATATGGAGGCGCCGGAACTCTTAACAGAAGCGCAGCATTAAAAACATTTTTTTTTCATCTTCAACATTGACTGATGGCCAACCTTTTAAGATGCTTTTCATCTCAATGAATGAAATTTTCAATTATTGATTTTCCTTCAGAAAAAAAAAATAACGAAGAGCCGCAAAGAAATGAGACAGCTCCGTTTTTCTGTTATTAATCTGTTTGATATTTTATTCTTCTGCACTCCCCCGTGTGTGTGTATGTGTTTTTTTTTTCTCTTTGCAGCGACGATCTCATACTATACATACGTTGGCTTTCCGTAATATATATGGTTATCCTCCATTTCCAATTAACAACTATAATTACTGTCGGAAAAACTAAGGAATAACTAACTTTCACCAGGCTTAATGCATTTTACGAAAAGAAAAAAAGGGAAATAGAAAAAAAATTTCCTTCCTGATTCAAATTTCAAGCTAAACGAATGAAAACATAGCCATGACACCAGGTACTTGGAAATTGTGGAAAAAGGGAAAACAAACTGTTTTTTAATAGAGCCATATTTCTTTCTTTCCACCGAAATAGAAACGGAAATTGAATCTATGGGGACAGAATTGTAGTGAAAAATCCAGCAGCTTAGCTGCGGGATGAACTCTTTAATCCTCCGTATTAACAACGCACCGCAAAAAAATATTTCCTTTAAAGAACCCTGCTAGACCGTAAACCTATGACGTATGGAAGAGTTTCCAACCGGGAAAATTACAAACAAAATGAATCTATTTGCGTATGCGAATGATTGAAATTACCAATGACATTAATGCATTAAATAAATAATTTAAAAACCTAATATATATACCGCCTCCGCGAAAATAGGATATTTGACGTCTAAGGCACTAACAAATGGGTTTCCAATCGCTTTAAAAACACCTGCGCGAGCAACAATTCTTATTGGCATGGGAACTTTCTAGTTTTCAGGAAATCGCTGAGTTCTTTAGTCAAAAAGATTGCCAAATACACAAACAGAAATTTCACAAAGCAGGGGTAAAGAAATAATTCGTTTAGCGGAGCAGTTTTTTAGAAACGGTAAGTATATCAAGTTTTCTTCTTTCATGTGTGCGAATTTAAATTGCCAAAGGTGTCGGAAAACTGCTCGCTAAGTGAACTATTTGTGCGAGCAATCCAGCTTGAATGTGTTGACAAACTTCATGATTTGTTTTCGTTTCTCATGGAAAATACGATTCGAAAAAAAATTGTGACTGATCGCAACAGCGCTAATCTATGTTAAGACGAGTTAGATATTACAAGAAAACTTTATTCGAACTCAAAACTGCCTGAATGAAAATGACTCCAAGTTTGTGATAAACGTTCGGTCACGGTTTTCTTAGCAGCTCTTAGTTACGTCAAAGAAGACCGATAAACATCACTAAATATCGCACAACACCGACATGTGTGTGATGAAGATAATACTGAATATACATCAGATCTTAAAATGAAATTATTTCAGATTCAAATAGATCTTCGTGGCCATAAATAAAATGCATGCGGAGATCTCAATAACTTTTATTCCATAAGCGGCTGGTGATGGTGCATTGGCGGCTATGTCATTATTTGAAAGCGAAATCAAGGGCCGACTCTAATGCTAAACAGAGGGCTGTGACAGGTCTTTTGAGTGACGATTGACCAAGAGACTCGATCGGTACGAGAAATTCGGCGATTGAAAGATTTAAAAAAAAAACCTTTTAACGTCGTTATTCTATTACAGTTCAGACTATACACATTTTAAAACGAAAACATTTTTAAAAATCTTATAACACAATTTTTTTTTTCAAAACAGCTTTATAATTAAGCAATACCTGAATGACACATAACAAGAGAGGATTTTACACATGGAGTTGAACATTGTATGATACAAACTCTCCGGTATTTTCAGTATTTTTCCAGAAAACGACATAACTCCTTTATCCGGATATATTTAAAATTCCTTCCTCAACTCAAAGCCAATTTTATTGTGTAAGGCATGGCCTGATATTTTCTTAATTTGACAACAAATACAACAAAAATATCACGTTTCTGTTTTCGTGCTGCTAACAGCCGGTGCATAATCCTCGTTTCCATTTGTTAGAGTCCTTTTGCATTTAATGAAGGCCTAATTGGTTGTGGGTGCAATCACTTCCGATATACATCGCGACTTCACGACAAGGGTCGTAGCCTGCACATAGTCCTGAGGGCCCAGGCCTACAATTTGTTTCCGCCCACTTATCCGCTTTTATAGTACAACTATTACAAATTTTTAGACAGAAATTGAACTTTCTCACGGTACAGGCCTACGGCAAGTCGAAGCTGGCTACGTCCCTGACGACTACATACTGCTGTCCTCCGAAATTAGGTCGGCCAAATAAAGTGGCCTTGCAAGAGTTTGAGTTCACAGTGAGCAGGTCTTGGGAAAGAGATCTCAGTTACCCTCTTTAGTTGAATTGTCACATCCTAATTAATGCCTCCTTTTCTCATGGAAAAAATCATTCACGTTACTCAAGTTCAAGAAAATCGGTTAGTTTTAATTTCGGGAGAAATCCTTCCCGTTTCATCAACTGCGTCGCCACTGTAAAAAGTTTCTAAAGCTGGCGTTTCGAAGGTCTGACGCTCGAAAAATCAGCTTTAAAAAAAACATTACGTTAGCCAATTTACATCATCAACTCGGTTGATTTAACCAAGAAACTTAACTCCCCACCCCCTCGCTTACTCGGCCTCTTGCCAAGTAGTTGTCCTGGCCCATCATTTTTATGCTAGGGAATTTATTGATATGGCAAAGTGGGTTTATATGTGATTGAACTATCTCCATTGAGAAGAAAGAAAAAATCTGAGCAGAAACTAAACATTCCAGTGTATTACAGTATTGCTTTTTCGTTCCAGCCGTTTCGTGCATTCTGTTCGTCTCGAAATGACAACATCAAACGACTGCCTGACGGTACCCCTAACACGAAAATTCGGCAGCATGCCGGCACTGGCTCAAAAATCCGCCATATCACTTGACTTCCACGACGAAGGATTTAAGCCTCGCAGAGTATCTGGAAGCTCTGACCCAGAAAAGACTGGAACCACACTTTGCGAAACACAGGGAGTCCACGGGCTACCCCTTCTCAAGGTATCTTTCGAAACACCCGCCAACAGCGCCTACGGCGCAGACATTTGGCGGGAAAATGGAGGGCACACAACTTTAGGGGTGTCCCGGATGGATGCAAGTGAAAGTAAAACACCAAATAAGGGAACAAGGGCCTTTGGGAGTGCTGGGAAATGGAAGCCGGACGAGGCTTCAACATTTTTGCCCAGTCGATATTCAGAATGGTTCAACAGGAGTTCATCTTTGAATTATAGAATAGGGGTGAAGACTGCTGACACTAGTGCTAAACCACAAGCACAGCAGTCCAGAGGGCAAAACAGGACGGCTAATACTGGACAAACCACGAAGGGCATGAAAGCAAGAAAGTCACTACTTCGCAGAAAAACAGATACTCCGAAGAAAACAGCTACGACAGACAATGACGGTGAAAAATGTTCACAAGTAACACCCCTGAATAGGGTGGGTAATTCTCAGGACTACAGACAAAAATGTATCCAGTGGTTGCAATCTTTACCAGACACTAATACGCTAGCTATGAATTTGCGTTGAGACAATCGTTGGAACATTCAAGAAAATGAAAATTTTCTTCCTTCATGCTAAATTCAAGTTCTCTCCTCTTTTCATCGTAGTGCATCTTGAATCTGAAATTTGAAGAAAACTCTCGTCGTTCTCTTAACCAGACATATCTGCAAGGCAGTGGCCAGTGTCTGCTCGCCACACACACACACACACACACACACACACACACACACACACACACACACACACACACACACACACACACACACACACACACAAATAAAAATCCTAAAATATCCATCGTGTAGTTATCGAAGTTTAAAAGCCAAACAAACTAGACAGCGACACCAATTAAAGGTAAAACTAAAAGTGAAATTCTTGTCAATTGCTTTTTTCCGTGTGACTTGATGTAATTGTCAAGTCTCTTACAGCCGCTGTTTGATTCGTCACGCTTCCACCACAAGAATACTTGGCGGGGGAGGGGGGCTTGGTGGCATTGTTACGGGGCAAGATGATCACATCTACAGTCACAAAGTTGGGTAAGAAAATTGGGGAAGTGTCACTGTAATCCTTCTCCTTTTCCGCGCAGGTGATCATTCGCGTTTGTGACCAACGTCATGATTCAAAACCCCTTTTTCTTTCCGGTCGCCATGTCGGCTAAATATCAGAACAAATTCATGCAGTAAGTTTCTTCCGATATCTGACGTTTCGGACAACATGCATATATGCAGACTGAAAACTTAAAAAAATTGACCCGTTTAGTCCCCATCTATAAAACCGACCAACTTTCCAGCTTCTGTGTGATAGTGGAAACCTTAGGATACAATTAGAAGGGAGATGAAATTTTTAATAAGCTACTTACAGCTGGAAACAAGAAGTGTTGCCATGAAGTTATAACTTAGGTCTATAAATCATTCACCACTAGGAAGATAATAAAAAATTTACGACATCAAGTCTGTGTTTATTTACTAAACCTTCATAAGTGTAATAATTTTAGTTAGGAAGGGTGGGGTTGGTAGACTTAGCCTCTATGCCTTTTTTTCTATAGAAGTACTTCGTGTACAATTTTCTCTCTAAAGACAAAATATTTCCAAAAAATATATATAAAATTACCTTAATTCAGGTACAAGTGTTCCTCAAAAAACATTCAGAAACAGTGTTAAGACTCCGTACTTTTTTAAACACAGAGCCCATGCGTTGATCGATCTCCTGGAGTTGGTAACACTCCTTAACCCTTTCATGTTTTGAAAAGTTTGAATATATTTTGCAAAATCCCAGATACTTGAAAGAGAGCAGTAGCTTGCTCATTCGGTGCAACATGTCCTTGAGGTAGCAATCAAATTTCCCTAACAGAGATCTGTGGCTGATCAAATCATTCGGCTGTTAAACCACACTTTTTCCGTGGTACGTATAATTCCGATAAAGAAATTATTTCTGTCTGGGCGCCTAGCTTTTTAATAAATGAGTTTACAGTAAATCTTCTGAAGAGGTTATCTGTTGACGTGTTCGAATTGCTGCAGGTAAGATTCCACGAGTTGAAGTAGCCGCCAATCATCAGTCGCCATGGTAACAACAGTTAGATCGTTTAGTGGACGGAATTTTAGTAAAAGATGCTGACAAGGTGGCATGAAAATACCAAGGTGAACTTCATCATCTAGAAAATAACAGCCATTGGTTAAAAACACATAGCACGTGACGCATGGCTAATAGAGAAGGGAAAACAACTGGAGTAAGCAAAGGAACAACAAGGGAGAAATATACTATTTCAAATCTAAAATATTCTTATACCTAGCCAAACTGACCTGAAGCACTCATAACAAACGGTAGCAAGTGTTCCTCTAAGATGTTTCCCATGGTGTTCCACTTCACCGAGAGGGAGATGATTGATTCAGCCCCAGTCCCCGCGGGGTATTCACTGCAATATCACATGCAAACAAATTAAAGAACTGAGATTCCAGCAGTAAAAGAGAAAAATTATAATAAGTAAGAACCATATTGAACAAATTGGCATTGCGACGTGAGACTGAACCGAAAGAAAGACGAAAATACAAAAAAACTACAAAAATGCATGACTGCTTTGATTTAACAAAAACAGTTATCTGAAGAGATGCCATAAAAAGTAGGATTGTCTCATCCACAGAATGCTTTTTGGTTAAGACTAGAAACCTAAACCGTGGCAGTGTCTGTATGAACTTAATTACTAACACCTTCGTCGATTCAGATTGCTTATCCCTAATTTACATCTTAACTTTCAGGGTTTTTTTTACTTTGAACCCGGCATGATCAGTCTAACCTACACGTAAATGTACTTGAAAATGAAAACACGGAGTTGTAGTAACGTGGTTCAAACTTGGGATCAATATCAGTATCTGGGTAACTGCCCACCTACCCCTCCCCTAACTCAACAACAGTCGATTGACAACAAGTTAAGGTTAATGTTGGGTTAGGGGAGGGGTAGGTGGGCAGTTGCCCAGATACTGATATTGATCCCAAACTTGTTATTGTTGACTCGTATTTTCAATTGTTTAACAGGGTCATCAGTTGACATTGTAAATTTCCTTTCTTTTATAACTTGGCTAATCTTCTTTTCTCGGAAATTGTGATTTTAATGATTAATTGGTAATCGGACTCCGTGTCGTCCAATTCGGTCTGTAATCATACTCGTAATAAACAAATCGCTCTCCCGCTGCGTGGTCGTCCGATTTTGTTATCGCTCGTATGATTACAGATTGTATTGGATTTTTGTCAATCCTATTACCATTACTTATTATTATTCGAAATCGACCCCAACAACAACGCAGATACTTCAAGAGCTCTCACTGGTCGGGGAGTGTGTAGAACCACATTTGTAATGTCTTAATTTCGCGTATACTTTTGAGACAAATTTCAAACAAACAGAAGAGGACTATCTTCGTGCTTGCATTACTTCGTCAAAGCACTCAGGAGGGGGTGGTGGAGGAGGGTAGGGGTGGGGGAGGAGGGTAGGGGTGGGAGAATTCTCTAAAGTTATCCAAACACTAAACTCTATCTCATCCCAAAAGTTACTCATTACTAGAGGAACATTTTGTGACAAAGAAGTCAATGATTTCGTAAAGAATACCTGGTGCGCTGCACTTTAACGATGTGATCCCACAGTACAGAGAAAAGTTCTGCTTTGACACTCGTTACCGGTGCAGTCTGAAAGAAAAGACGAAATTTTGTGGTCTGGTACTGAACGGTTCACTATTTGAAATACATCAAAACTACGTCAGTGCCCATCAATTATTCCCTCCCGTTTTACCTTGAAGTAAGCTGGCACTTGAAGAGGATTAAACAAGTCACAAAACTGAACTGGCAAATTCTCCAGTTGCATTGCACTGGTTAAACCATTATCATCACTGAATATCGCTCTGAAAGTGAAGAGTAGCAGTTTAATATTTCATTGTGAAGCATATTCAACCCTTTTCAAATTCCAAAGAGTGACTGGCTATAAATTTTTCTTTACAGTGTCGCCCTTGAATCAAATGTTAAGGTCACAAGAAAAAAGGAAATGATCACCAAGCTCCTGCTCGTCAAACAAATTAGTCGCCTGGTCATTCTCAAAGAAAATGTAGAGAGAGCATTGTGGTGAATATAAATATCATATTTTAGGGAGTAAAGTGTTAAGGTGATAGTGATAAACCAAACAATTTTAAGACCCCTAAATTTTTGCCATTGTAGGCGGGTGCCCAGTATAATAACCTATAAAAGTGGGAAAGAACGGTCCAAAAACTGTATAGTTTGCGTTGGCATCCACCCAAGCTTGTTACGGTTGCGAGACAGACTTCAATCCTTTTGTTTTGTTTTGTTTTGTTTTGTTTTGTTTTTATTCTTTACATCTTCAGTGGGGGCTGTTTCGTTAACTAGTTTGAAAATAGGATGAGAAAAATCGAACCACCCCTCTTAACATACTTTATGGGCATCGATCACTTAAAATGAACTCTTTTCTTACTTATTATCTAAAAATTGGAAGGGTTATGTTGAATAGGCTGCAACAAAACAAACCCGAAAGCCACATAAATGGTTACAAACCGCCGACATATTGGATATATCAAAGTAAGATTCTCTACTCAAACTTGTGCTCAATCGTATAAAACGAGTCACACGTGCTACGCTTTCCTTTTTAGTTGCAATTTTCCACAAACCTTACCTAACTTTGAACACGGCGGGTACTGGATCGAGAGGGCAAAAGTTTACAGTTATCACATAACAGCCTGTGGGATGCAAAAGAAAATGTTCAGCTTAATACAGCCAAGTAACGCTTAACAGAGCCTAGCACAATAACAAAGCTGGAAAAAAATGAAGAGCATTTAGTGTTTCAAAGAAACCAACCCTCCCCCCCCCCTTCTCTAATTCCAATTGCGTGTGAGGAAATTTGTTTCCTACGCCTCTTTGCCTACGCAGGTATATTTTAATAACGATTAGCTCTCACCTTCAGATGGAGATGTCGACTTAGCGGCCGATAAGTATGAGATGTGAATGTCTAAACAGAAATAAAAAGCCCATTATAAACATGCACAATTTTATCATTACGAGAGATCAAAACAAACAGAGGCACATCAAAATTCAGAGCAATTTTGCAATTCGGGATTGCAGGGGTTAGGCTAAGATTGGTCTTAAAAACTCAGAACACCCGCTAACTCAATCACTGCAAAACTAAACCCATGTGCAACTAGCGCTTCTGGCAGTTTATATATCTTTCCTTTGAGTTCTAATTGACTCCAAGCAATAATTTTCCCTCCCCTGTCTATTTTACTCCTTTGATTTGGTCAAACCAAAGCAGAGGAGTCAAACGATGCAAGAAGTTGTAAACAACTGCAACGAACAACCAACCTTTGAGTTGCTTGTATCTTCTGTCAGTGTGAAATTTCAGAACCAAAGCATAGATAATCGTTGGAATAGGTAGAGTCGAAGAATCTGTCTGTTGAAAGAGATAATCACAGTTCCATTTATATTTTATTAAAAAAATTAACTAAAATTGAAAGAACGGAAAAGACGACGAAGAAGTCAATCAAAAACAAAATTATTTTTTCAGCTAGAATTTCGCGAATGGCTGGAACCATTAACTATCTCTTGCAGCGCCACACTCCAACTTCAGCAAAACATATAAAAGCAGCGTCGAGTTAAGTTTGGTGATTCCACGTTGTTAGGGACCTTCGGCAGTCAGGACGGCAACGCCAAGGAAGACTTTGATTAAAAAATGAATTTCTGCCTTTAATTAGAATTTTAAAAATGGCTGCATTTGTTTACTGTCTCATACGGCGCCACACCTCAACTTCAACATAGCATATAAAAGAAGCTTTGAGTTCCAAATGGAAATTGAAATAATTTGCCGTCGCGGTTTCGGCTCGCAAACGACGCAAGTTGTGGTGATTTCACGTTGTTGTCTTGCAGAGGAAGGCTAAGAAATGTCCAAAGTTTTAATACGAACGTGCTGAGCTATTGTTCTACCAATTAGACCTTTTGTTTTTCCATGTCCTCGTTGCCGTCGCCGTCGTGGCTTGCTTAAGGTGCCCGTTGTTTTGCCGAGGACGGCTAAGAAATGTACACACTTTCAAACGCACGCACTAAGTTACTTTTCCACTGATTAGATCTTTTGTTTTGCAGCGTCCTCGTTCTCGTCGCTTTCGAGGTTTGCTGAAGGTCCCGATCATCGACTTCAATCTCACGAAACTCATTGTTTAGGAGGAAGTCCTCATTCCTTCCATAATGAAATATATATTTTCCTAGTATGTAAACAGGTCTCTCGGCAATCATTTGGAAGCACAATGGAAAAACGTTCTCAAGCAACGTATTTCGAAATCCTAACATTATTCTTATAGAACAATAATCGTTGAAGAAAATGGAAGTGCAAACTTGAATAACTCTTAACTGAGAAATACAAATACTCACAAAGTGGACATAATACTTTATGGGGATTTCTTCACCATAGGCATTTCCGTCGACCATCTTGAGATAATGATCTAACAGACCTGAAAAATAATGGATGGAGCGGAAATTGGCAACTTCGGCTTAAATCCAACATACACAACTACACTGTAGCGATGAAATAAGGACCATGACTTTTCGGGGAACAAATTACATCCGGCGTTCGCATTAGAGCGATTCTCAATTGTGTGTCGAAAGTAATCCTTTCCATCGCACTGTGATTGGTCAAGAAAAACCGTGCCCATCTCTACCAATGAGATGTGACTTGGTCACTCGCGTTTTCCCGCGCTTAAGGCAGTTTCCTTGTTTCGCATATGAGTTCTCATTGGCACCCTGTGATTCACTGTGAGTCTTTTAACTGTTTCGGTTTTTGTTGTAAAACAAACCATCGAAAAGTGCAGTAAACAACTTCAGTAAAAAAAAAAAAGAGAGAGAGAGATTCTACTAAGTCTTGCAGACACATTGCATCCGTTTTCAGGAACCTAGGATAATGAGCACAACAGAAAAAAACTTTCTTTGCTCGCAACTCAAACCTATAGGCTTAACCTGTACAATAATTAAGACATTGCAAAACTTCAAATTGCAAAATTCGGCGAACAAGACACACCAACCCGTAGTAACGTAAAGAAAACAAAACACACCTTTTGTAGTGGTGAACTCCTTAGCTTCGCCATGGTTTGAAAGCTTCAAATCAGTCAGGGAGCCTTCAAATTTTGGCCGTGGGACCCTGTTAAGGAAAAGAAACACGACACTATTCATTTTTTCCCGTTGTTGTCAACAATCCTAACAAGAGCCCGAACCACTTTACGTTCTCGTTTTCCATAACTTCTCAAAACAGGTTTGTCTACGTCTTCTAATGCAATAACAACATGACCTCTGCAATAATGCCCCCATCATAATTTCAAGGAGGAAAATTAAGTCACCTACAAAACCAACAGTGGGTTTGAAATTTAGACGCTGAATGAAACGTGAACATACGAGTCTGCTTCCAAAGGTGCTGCAAAGAGAAGCAGACTGGTGAAACAAAGGGATGAATCTCGAATTCGAGCTCGTCCATATGTCCACGGTTCACTTGTGACCGATGTCCTGCATACTGTTAGGATCAGCTGTGTCGTATGCGTATGTGTTTAAGTCGAATAAGAAAGATGGTAACTTTTGAGTTCGGTTATCGGATTGACCCTTGGATTCCTAAGAGAGACTAGCATCTAACTTCTCCTTACAATATTACCCCTGAATTACACAATAAAGTCATGAGAACAAAGGAGATGATCACCAGCTGAAGAAGCTCTGGATTGTTGAAGAAATTCCTAATGTCAGTACCTAAGCAATGTATAGGGAAGAGTATGGAAAATATGTATTCGGATGTTAGGGTAAAGAATTGAGAAAGATGTGGATCGTTTTGTCAAGAGCGTGAGACATAGAGTAGATGTGAAGAAGTCAGAGCATCCCGTGGAAGTTAGAAAGGAATTCTTAGGAACCCAATTTGCTCGGTTGTTACGTGGAGAGGAAACAAGATGACGAGATTCTTTACCTTGTAAGCTTGAGAAAAGGCGAACTGATGTGTTTTACCGGAGGAGGAACGGGAAATGTGCTGGTTGTGATATCATCTGGGGACAAATTATCAAGAAAAACAATAATTAAGAATTCACGTTATGTTTTATTTTGTGTTTTGTTTTGTTTTTATAAAATGATGGAACGTTTAAAAAAAATGAGAGAACTATGTCTGTGTTCGTTCATTGTTTTGTTTTTCTGCCATTTTAATTTGCTTTCATTTGCCTAGAAGTATATTGTTCTGTTTTGTTTGCCGTTAGTTCTGTTTTATTTTGTTTCGTTTATTTTGCTTTGTTTACTTCAATCTTTGTCTTTAGTTTTTGTTGGTTTTTTGTTTTTGTAAACTGAAGAACGCCTGAGATTAAGAGAATTGTGTATTTCATGATTTATAACAATTGCAGTGCTGAAAATGTACATGAAAAAATTACGCACACCTGAATGGTTGAAAACGAGTACATTCTCATGTAACACGAGTGTAAAGTTGTATACAAATGGCACGCGCACACTTTTAAAATTTTGTCACCTCTTGACTTTCTGTGATGTTTTTTTCGTGTATATTAGTCACAAGTAATCACAAGATTCCCCTTGCTCTAAGAGCCCGACGGGCTCGTGCAGTTTTGTTTCCTTTGAAAAAGCTCATAACATCAAATATTGCACTCGAAATCGTCTTACGACTCACACATACTCGTCCGTGTGAATGAAGTCGAAAGAGGGCTGGTATCAGTGACAATGACCTGGGTTTTGACAAAGCCCTCAACAGATTCAAATGACTGCCCCCACATGACTCATGAGGGTGTGACTTTCGCTTTGGCTGTCAATGTCTACCCTCGTTGGGATAGATGTGGCTTCAGATACAATAATTATAATAACATTAGAGCAACACGGGCGAAGAAACGATGTTTACCAGCGATGACATGAGGAAGACCTTGCTTTGCTGTCTCGGAGGTTAGTATTTTGGAACACTGTTCAAAAAAATAAGGGAAAGAAACACTGGATAAGCCGCAGAAACAATTCAATCACGCTTAACTAGCGAAAAAAAAGAAAGAATTAACCAAAGGAGTAAGATTATCAGCTAACAACTACATTCTTTCTTCGAAGCTGATTATCATTTTACCAATTATTTACAATTCATCTATCTATTTTCCCTTACCCTGAAGTTTAGTCCTTGAAATTGAAATACAATATCTCGATAGTCATATGTTTCAAAGACAAACTTTTCAAACAGTGTCGGTTGAGGCTGAAAAGTTTCCGTTGCACACTAACCCTGCTATGTCATTTTCAGTAAGTTTACCATCCTCGTAATTCAGGAAAAAATGGAAAAATAAACATCTTCTTGGCGCATAAAGTAATCCAAAAGCTCGCATTCACTTATTCTGTTTACTTACCTTTTTACTCGATACATTAGTCAAAAGACAGTAGTAAAATCTTGCACGGTCTCTGATATCTAGTGGAAACATTAAGATTAAAACAGAATGCTACATCGCCTCTGTAGAATCCAGCATAGTCTTCTGATGACAACAATGATCTACACAAACCCTCATTCAATTGCCCATACAATGCAATCTAGACGGGTTGGTTATTTCGAATGCTTGTTGTCTAAAGAGAAGGGAGATCTTAACAATCCTGCCGTTTTGGCTGAAGTGAGTGTTTGGGCATGCAATCCACTCTCCATCTCAAACATCGTTTCTATTTTGCTAATTATCGCTTCTTTAGTGTTGCGATTTCTTTGCATATTAATATTTTGCGGTTTCACCTCATGTGAGGATAATTCGACACTTTTGTAAAACAAAGAGGAACGTGAGACACAAGTCGACTTCAGGCTTCCATCACGTTACTCGACATATAATTTAGTGACGAATTCGTCAGATATAAGCCATTATAAAGATGACTAAGGATACCGATGTCCCGGTATGTTGCACATATAAAAAGCAACAGATTGCCAAGTTCTAAGAAAAAGAATAGAAAAAATATTAAAAATTCCACCCTCGCACTACCATCTGAAGGTCTCATTAATATAGAGATTTCACGTTACCGTGCGTCTGTTCAAAATGTGGTCAGAACAAAGAGGTGGTAGTGAACAAAAAAAGCAAAATGTGGTCAATGATGACGTCAATTATGTGTCTGTTTTCCAATAGATTATAGGTAATAACCAATCAAAGTGGGTGTATAATTGAGCTTAAAAAATAATACAATGTCACTTTTAATGATGACAAAATGTATTAATGAACAGATAAGGTAAGAAAACACAATGACAGGTCCATCCAAACCCTACCAAAAAAGAAAATAAAACAAAACAGAACAAACAAAAACAACACCAAAAAATTACCAAATACTAAGTAACACTTGCAAAAATAATCACCTGTAATTGTTGAGCTCGAATTATGATGCAAAAGAATACTGTAGCACACAGCTAGGACACAATTTCCAACAGTCCAGTCGCCCTTACGGGCGATATCCGCTTTGTCAAGGATTTGAATCAAAAAACGCATGGTTGGCTACAACAAACACAGAACTGGTGTCACTACTTGAAAAAAGAGAACTCTCGCGTTGAAATAGTATTACTAGCAGGCAGTGTCGAGGGTTCGATGAGAAAGTTGGCGACAAAGCCCTCGCCTTCCATTCCTTTCAAGGCTTCGCTACCGTGGCAATTTCCCGGTAATCATGGGTTTAAACCGTTCAAATTAGGTATGTTCAAAGGCGAACAACAAATTACATTACTTACTGAAGGTTGTATATCTGAACCTCTCATTGCAAGGGAAAGTAATTTGAGGTGATGCGTTAAGTTTGGTAGAACAGACTCCACTGGCTGCGACACTACATGGTCACTCAGAGATCGCAGTAAATCGGTGGGAAGTTTACTGTTAATGACAAAACATAGATATCATAATTATTAAGATGATCTGTTTACAACTACGACAAATAAGGTAATTGGCGTTTGGGATTCGAGTTAGAGCAAAAATAAATTGCACTTTTTAAACAAATATATAAACCTCTACATAGTTTGAAAATCTGTGCAAGAGATCGTTCGATAGACATGCATGAAAGAGTGGACCAAAACATGAAGCTAGGTCAGGGAACTTTATCTATGCAATAACTCTTGAATTATTGATGAGCAAAAACTGTCACAAGCAAATAACAAGACACAGATACAAATCACCTAGACTAACTAAAACAGGAACAACAACAACGGAACACAATTCGATTGAGTGTTGCGAAAAAAAAAAATCGGTAATGACAACAAACAATCAGCACAAAGGAAAACATCACGAGGGGTGAATGAGAGGTAAAAAGAAGTAATTTACTCAAAGCGCGGGAAAACGCATGTAACCAAGTTGAGATTGGTTTATATTTTGCTTCTGATTGGTTGAGAGGGAGGTAAGAATTTCCTAGACCAATCTCGAAGCGTATTAGGGTGAGAGTGATCATCTCCCAAGAAACGTCTAGACACTAGACTGCACACATGCTGCTGTAGATGGCAGAATGGTGCAACGCAAGTGTACTAACCTGTCTGGAGTTATGGCAGACACTGAGTTTAGCAAATCTACAGTATGAGGTATGAACTGTGGGTGGTCAGTTACTATTGACAACACTAGCCTGCAAAGACAATCATTTTAAACAAGTAAAATTGACGCACAATTCCCATAAAGCAACGCGCTAGCAGTTCTATACTCTGTGAAACCTGAATCCCAGTAAGAGCCGCAACGTCATCGAAATTCTCATTTGTCTCTTCCCAGACTTCACACAGACGACGAGACAAGAGTGAACGCCTAGGGATTAGGCTGCGTTGAAGACACATTTGATACTCACTTGTAAATTTCACGTTCAAGCTCCGAGTCCCAGTGATGTTTGTAATACCAGAAAAGGATTCTGAACAGTGCTACTACAGTCTTCCCTCCGATTCCCTGACGGACTCTCTTCAGAAGTGGCATTAGGCATTGCATTAATGGGACACCAGCAGAGTCTAAGAAAATAAAGCATAGGAAAAAAAAAAGTGACACCTGCATCGAGCGCCTTTCGATGTAGTTTCGTTAAAATTAAAATCAATGTAGTCCCAACGTCAAATCAGAAGAACAGTAAACATCACAAGAGGAGCTCATAGTATAAACATGTAACGAATTCAATCCTGGGACGACACGAGTTAAAAGTCGCGCAAGAATTCTTAACCAATCTGAGATCGCAGTGGAAAAAGCAATGGAATATTTGTTTTCCATTTTGAAATTCCCTTGACGAACATGCTATACTGATTTAAAGTTTCCCTCCCAGTAAATCAAATTTGCCGGAAATTTGACATCCAACAACTATTTCCTTTGGTACCTGATGAATGTAATGTCTCATGATCCAAGCATAGACACAGAACCTTGAGTTTATCAACTGTCACATCTGAAGAGCACAACAAAATTGAAAGCATTTAGTTCTACTGAAATTAATACGGGCAAAGCAGACGGTAACAAAATATCCTGAGAAACAACGCAAATGATGTTATAAAAGATTATAATAAATTTTAATTCCATAGCAGCCGAGCATGGGTAGGAAGGGTATTATTAGGTCTCTCCCCACCCCTTCCCCTTCCCCCTCTGCGTTTTAACGCAGAAATCATTGTTATCGCAAAATATGATTGTCTGTCTTGGCAAAACTTCAGTCTCTTGAATCTCTCTTTTCTCAAATCGTTTCATCTGGATTGCGCTTGGACGAATACTGTGCATCAAGAGTTACTGCCTTCTAACACAGTGTCACCGTTTGCGGACACACTGAAAACTGTTAAGAATGCAAAGACGTTTGCTAGAGCCCACGGACCAGTATAGACCAAGAGTAGTCCTTGCTTTTCGGCGAAAAAAAAACACAAGTGAAATTAAGACCTGACGTTAGCGCGCCGGGCGGAACTTTGGAAGAATGAGGAGCACGAATCCCAGAGTGTCACGATCAAAAAATGAGAAACCAAGTCGCATTTGATTGGTTCGAGGGTTAACGCAACATTTATTTGATCGATCAAGGACCATAGCGAGAGAAAACCATCGTAATCCTGGATTGCTTGCGACAATCGATAGAGCGTATGTCGATTGAGTGTTGTCATACCAAGACCAAACTAATCACTACTACAGCCTATCGGAACAAAGAAAGTCATAAAAAGGAACCAATCAGAACAAGCAAATCACCTGAAGCGCGGGAAAACGCGGAAGACCAAATTGCGAATGGTCTTAGTATTGAAACTGTGCGAGTTTTCTGGACCACAGAGGGAAGTTAAGGAAAACTAAGAATTTCTTGCGACAATCAATTGAAAATTTCTCAGTTGATCATTCTTAAACATAATTTCATTGTTTCCATAAGATATCTGGTAAAAAACCATTCTTTCATATGAATTTAGGGGTTTAGTTTTTTAATTTACAGTCAGCGGGGGGTGTTGCGATTTACACTATCAAATGAGTTGATAATGTAAATTGGCCACCGTTATGAGTTTTTAAAGCTAATATCTCGAGCAGTAGCGCTTCGTTGTTCGCTCTGACGAAGGGATTAACGCTCGAAACGTCAGCTTCATAAAGACTCTTTACGGTGGCCAATTAACATTATCAACTCAACAATGATTGTAGATATATGAAAATCATATGTGTGCACTGCAGTGAAGAAACGAGTATAGGAGATCCTCGCAGCTATAAACACTAATGAACTAGTAATTGAAATAAGACCAAGGCCTCAGAACCCATGACCTCTGCGATAAGCGCTCTACCAAAGCTAACAATCCAACAATTTTTTTTCATCCAGGTGATGAATAATGATTGTAGATATATGAAAATCATACATGTGCACTGCGGTGAAGAAACGAATGTAAGAGATCCTCGCAGCTATAAAACTACTGAACTAGTAGTTGAAATAAGACCTGAAAAGTTGGTACAACCATTTATTCATGGTATACCGAAAATATCAGCAATATATGTAGAGTTGAACTTAAGTAGAAGACAAGACTCACCTACAGAATCGAACACAGAAGGGTAAAAGAAACGAAACTGTGAATAATCCAAGCAGTGAGGAACGGTTGGTTGTAAAATTAGAGTATCCTGAAAAAGCACAATACATTACAATTCCGTTATCAGACAGTTGGAGACCATTGAGTATACATATAAATGACTGTGAATATATGAAAATCATATATGTGAACTGCGGATAAAGAAGTGAATGTGAGAGCCATCTTCGCAGTAATGAACACAACTTAAGTTGTAGTGAAAATAAGGCCTGAAAAAATAAGGCCTGTAACCATGACCTCTGCGATACAGGTGCAGTGCTCTAGCAACTGACCTAGCAGGCCAACTGGAAGCTGGTCATTATGTTGGTTTCAAATAAATCCGTGAAGTGGTAAATGAATGACTGTCGATCTACGAAAATAATGTAATTTATGTGAGTGCGGATAAAGAAGTGAATGTGAGAACGATCTTCGTCTAATCAACTAATTAACTAATTGACTGACTCAAAGTTACCTCTTCAGCGGGAAAGTGCATAAGCCACTCAAAACACAACAACCGCTGACCTTGTGCCAGAGTGGGCTGACTCGACACCAACAACATTCTAAAAAGGTAAATGCATTTAGTTTCTTAGTGTTAAAAAAAAAAGCTCTCATAAAATGGTACATCTGCTATTAGATCTTAAGCCTGTATAAAATTTCTGTAAAAAAGGTTGTGGTTATTTATCGTGGTGAATAACAATAAAAGCTAAGTTTTTTCGTTTGTCTCACGATGTAGTCACGTGTGATGTACATCGCGTGACTCCATCGTGAGACAAACGAAAAAACGTAGCTTTTAAAACTTCTGTATTCACAAATTCCATTTCACCAAACACACACTGTAAATTTACTACCCCTTCCTAAAATTTTTTAACGTTTTTCCTTAAGGGCTGAACAAAATAGGCAGTCTACTGAACATGTAATTGCACAAACATTTTCCAACAACTGACGGACTTTACCTGTGAAGAAGAAGAAGTTCGTCGCCTTCCAAGAATAAATCATCTAAAAATTTAAGCTACCAGAGAGAAAAATTGTAAGAAATGATATAAGGGATAGGCTTCAAGCTAGTAATCTGTAGATAATTTAGGCATGACATGTACTTTAGATGGTAAACAGCTAAAAGAAAGGAACTTCTTGTTGTATCCTATCTGCCGCTTATGCACCACAATGAAATTACTTGTATTAACCATGCACAAGGCAGTAAAAGAAATACATTGAGATTATTCCATAGAAAGTAGGCACAAACAATTTTTATTCACAAGTTGCAATGCATCAAAAAAACGAATGAGTGAGCGCAGCAAAGGACTGCGTTTTTTTGTTGTTGCATTGCACTGAGTGAAGAAAAATCGTTCAAGCACCAACCATGGTACGATGTTTTTATTTCAGACATGTATATGCTGAGTTATTTTTTACATTTCAATACAAAGATTGGAAGTGAACGACTGTGAAAATAAATCATTCATCCAATTAAAAGTACAAATGAAAGTACTTCACAGTGTAAATCTCAGTATGTATGAAATAAATGTAAGTACTGTACTCAAGACAAGTACCAAAATTTGGTGTAACAGAGCATTAAACGGTTCAAGAATTTAATACCTTACCTTTAAAAGAAGCAGAACATGAAAAACAGAAAGATCAGTTGTGGAAACCCAAGTAATAAACTGTGATTTGAACATCTAAGGAAAACAAAACAAATAAAATATTAAAAAATTAAATTAACTGAGGATTTAATTTGGGTCAAAGTTATTTCAACTGCCCATAAACGAAGGGCTGACTGCTATTAGCAGTGTAATAATTTATGGAGCTGCCTCTAGTATAAAAAGAATTATGATGATCTATTCAGCAGTTACTTTGCTTTTGTGTGTTTATTTGCTGACGTATAGCACACTACGTGAGTTCAGTGAAGGTGTTGATGAGTTAACAATAGATGTTGAGAAGATGACCAATGCTCTGGAGAAGGGCTAATTCTCTAAATGTAAGCCTAAGAACCTCTCTACCAAGGCAAATCAAATTATCAACTCAGTTGAGAAAGCAAATTACATATAGCCTCATACTTAATATAAAAGCACACTTTGTTGGTGCACAGCATCTACAAAGACTGTCTATAATATTGATTCAAGTATATTTAATAGACAAAAATAACAACTCACATTTGGGGCAAGTTCTGCTAGTTTCACACATTGCATGAGCTAGAAGAGGTACATACAATACAATACTACATAATTATTTGAACAGAAGATGAGCCTTACACTTCCAGAATGTCATGACTAGATACTTAACCCTTTATTTCCCCCCCCCCCCACATGAATGACTAAGAGAGAATTTCTCCTCACAATATCAATACAATATCAAGCAAAGAAGAGATGAGAATAAAGTAAAATATCAATTAGGAGATTATTAGTTGATCCAATACCAAATTCTCCAAATTGACATCATAAAAATTGTATGGCTGATAGTAAGGAGAATTACTTATGAGATCTTAGGAGTTAAAGGATTAAGTTGAACTTCAAAGAAGTAAAGAGACAAAAAAATGGGAAAGCTTACTTGGAACATAACATGGAAAATTCCAGTAGTGTTAAGAAAACCAATGTTGTCCATCAAGAAGGAAACTGCTCTTTTCAATTCCTTGGTGTCAACATTCTCTGGTAAAGTCAACGACCTGGAGCTCAATGCTCCAGCCTAAAAATTAGAAAGGACAGCTTGTATTAGTGTTTGAACCTAACAGTGTACTATTTTACTGATGAGACCTTAGTATTTGTTCCATTTATTAAAAACTATTTTTTTTCTTAGTATAGATAAATGTACATGGTAGTCTGACTAAAATTTCATTCTCTCACCTGAATTGTTACTGGTAAAAACTGCTTTGAAGCATCTTTGGGTAAGTAAAGTAGCTAAAGAAAGTAAAACGTATACACTTGTCTATGAGTTCCACAATAGGATGAGTCATGTAACAAATGTTTCTCAGCTTCATTGTACTATCATGTCATGTATCCACTTATATTGCATGACGCATGTCCATATCCACTTCTATTGGACAGTGGTAAAATAATTCATCATCATCATCATCATCGTCACCCCCTTCAACATCGTCACCATTATCAGTTTCATCATTTTTAGGTTTTCTTTTCCTTTGAAAGACTTCATATTATTATTTAAGTAGATTTCAACTAAAGATTTAAAAATTCATTTCTAAAAAAAAACATCAACTTAAGTAGATAGAAATAAGAGAGATGGTAAATACATAAGTATCTGAAATATCTCAGATATAAATTCAGTTCATTTTACCTTCAGAGGTTCTGTACGGCTTGTAAGTAAACTATTTACACAGTTGTCATCCAGTCTAAGTCACACAATAAGAGAAGCCAATTTTAGTTCCTCTACATTTTAAAGTAAACATACATGCAGGCATATTAAATCACATATGATATCATCTTACCACTGAAAAAATTTAGTTCAAAAAAGGTACTGAGAGCATTGATTACAATTAAATGATTCACATAATTATATGCTGTACAGCGTATTACAAGCAATTACACTTTCAAGACAGAAAAAAATTGTTACTTACCTATTCGCAGACTCTTGTAATAAGAGTTCCATAGCATGGTGCAAGACTGTTACAAACAAGACCTAAAGCAGAAGAAGCATATGTGCAGGCAACACTTCTTGGTGGGTTTAGGTGAACCTTTATATTTTATTTCATCTCATGACAAGATTCCTACCCTAAAATTTATTATAATTGTTAAATTATTACTACATGTACATGAACATTTTTTCGAAGCCACAACAAATTTGTCTGCTGATGCACCTGACTCTAAATTTTGTGAATTTGAAATTTCTCACATTATCGTCATTACTGCATGAAAGTAATGTTCACTTGTTATGTGTAAACAGAATTAATAACACTTACCATGTAACTCTGAAATATAGGACTGTTCTCTGCAGCACTTTTGGCATAAAAATGATCCAATTTTGCATGGAGAAGACCCTTTGTAAAAATCAAATATATTACATGTAAAAAATGAGTAAAAAAAGATTGAATATCAGGGCCCAGTTGTATAAAGGACAGATAATGCTATCAAATCGCTAACCAGAGGATAAGTAATAGAAAAACATACTGTGTTATCCATGGGATAGAGGTTTATCCAGTGGATAATGTTATAATGTTATTCAACCTTTAAAAAACCATAGCCAGATTCATTAAAATTTCATAGAGTGAATAATTAAAACTGAATTTAAATCATTAAAAATGATTAATCTAGATTACTTGAACAATATGAAAGAGAAAAAGCTACTTGACACATAGACCTGTTGACCTCTTTCATAATGGCAGGCATGACTATCATTTTGTTCTTTTACATGCAAGAAATTGAGCATACTTGTCCTTGCTTGTCAGTAAATATTCTAATGTAAAGGAATAGCAATCAGGCTGGCTGTTCATGAACTTTATGAACAGCAGGTGAGGTGGTACATTAATTTTATAATTATTATTAAATTCATATCTGACAATTAAGAATAAAAATTGCATGTAAAAGATTATAATTAAAGATCAATGCATCTATTTTGTTCAGGCATACACCACCATACCTGTATGTATAAATACTGCAAAAAAAACCAGCTTCCATAACTTACAGTACAGATTGAAAAAACGAGGTCAGTAACATATTTATCATACCTCTGGGTTTAAATAGAGCAGGAAGATTTCAATTCAAACCAACTTTGGAATTTAGCAAGGGTACAGTGAAATATGGCCTGTTTCATTGACCATTCATACTGCATGTACTTATTGACAGACTATCATGTATGTTAACTTAAATACTGTGTTGTATATTGTATCTAAGCTTTATGCTGCACATGTTTGCAGCCATTCCATAACATCTACATATTTCAGCTTCAAAGGAGTTAAAAGAATGCACATAAAAAGAACCAGTAATAACTTACTGGATATGACATTTCTAGTTCCCAAAGGCAGTCACAAGCAGTTCTCCTCACAAGTAGATTGAAAGGGTTGTTTACCTGTTAAAACAGAGTTATGGAATTAGGACTTCCAAAGCAAAAGTAGAGATCAGTTAATACTTCACCAGTTGTACATGACAAAAGCTTACAGTATACATTCTCAAGCAATATTATGATTTATTGACTGTGTGACTACACAGGCTCTGGCCTATAAGGCAAATGTGGGCAGAGAAGTAAGCACTGGGCTATAAAAAGCCACATAGCCCAAAAGGAAGTAAAATGCAAGAGGTAAGTAGTCACAATATCTTCATTTCATTTAACACTTCATCATCGTCCAGAGGATCATTACCAATTGCACAGTGAGTTGATTAGTGATACAATTATTATATAAATTGTTCAAAAGTGTATATGTATGTAAAGTTATCACTATTAAATGATTTACTTTGTATTGTAGCCAAACCATACAAAGATATTAGCCATAAACTAGAAAAACTAGTTACAGACTGATATGAAATTAAAATTACTAACCACATCTATGACATCAGTCAGGACTTCAACAAAATCAACAAAAACCTCTTGATTGTTTTCCTGTAAATACACAAATTCAAAGAGATTTCACATTAAACAGTAAGTAATACCCAGCGCTGCATAATAATTATTGTGTGACTGATTAAAAATCATCCACAAATTGAAAATAGCCCCAGCATTAAAATTGTTTGGAATAATCAATAAATAATGGCAAACATACCAAAGTCAAGAACACATTTTACAGAATGGTTGATGTCTAATGGTTACACTGTACATGTATGTGCTGTCAGTGGTAAGTTACCTCTATGTTTAAAATGCATCCTACAAGTAAAGTCAAAACTAAATGACCTACCAGAGTTTCCTTTGAGATAAGAATGACGGTTCCTGTAACCAAAATCTAAAAACAACAAAACTAATCATATAAAAATTATTACGTATTGAGCAACAAAATAAATCTGCTGTCTCTATTTTGCAAAATATATCCTACATCTGCAACTCAGGGCTGGGTTGTTCAAAGCTGGGCTATGTTATCCCAGGATTAGTGTGAAATCTTAAGGTATACTTCCTTTTATGCAGAATTTGATTATGTGATGCAATAAAAAAAGGAATAGAGAAAATTATTCCGAGAAGGTTTCTCCGCAAAGGAATAAAGAAACCCGCATTAAAATTTAACCTTGGGTTAGCACCAACCAGCCCTCAAACAACTGGCCCTAGTCAAGGAACAGAATATGGAGTCTTTCTTCATGTTGCATAAAATAAAAGTTTGCCACCAATATCCGACAAAGGAAATACATGTACCTGACTGAGATAAATCTGAGATGACTGAGCAACCAGGGAATAAGGAGTCATATCCCTCCTTGAACTTGGATTTGAGTCTGCCCTGAAAATGGATTAAAATAAAAAGAAGACAAAACTCTTAACCCTTTAAACACCTAAAGAGACCAGCATCAAATTTCTCCCTTCAACATCACCCCTGAATCACACATCAAGGTCATGAGAACAAAGGAAATGATCATCAAAGAAAAAAAGCTTTTGATTGGTAAACAAATTCTCCTTGTCAGCACCTAAGGAAATGTATAAAGAGCAGTATGGAGAAAAGGCATACTGATTTTAGGGTGGAAAGGGTTCATCCTTATCTTGCCATAATCTTACTTCTTTCTAGCTTCTTCCCATAATAACCTACAGTAATGAAGTGGACATTTCCATCAATCAATTCTTCCCTTTAAATTATAAAACAACTGAAACATTGCAACTGTAGAGCAAACTGGTGGAGCTCTTTTTTAAATATACTTCAAGGTAGATTGATGTACTGGGAATGAAAGCTTATACTGACAGCCTTACAATATTTACCTTGAAGCATTGCTACTTGGGGAAAAGCTACTTGATGTCTGTAAGAAGAGTAAAATACACAATGTACATACAAGGTGAAAGCTCAAAACATAATATTATATAAAACAACCCCATAACTAACAAGAAAGTTCTATTAGGAAAAAAATCTACTTTCAGCTCAAAAATCTGATATACGTATACAGGCTTTTTGACTTAACGGGACTGGTGTAATTACATGACTGTCCCTACTCTGGTACACTTAGATGGCATATCTGTAGTCCACAACTGACAAAGACAAGAAGATGCGGTATTTTCTCCTCTTAAAGGGGACAATATCCTTGCAAGCGTGTTTTCATATTATTCAAATTGTGAAAATTTGTTGATATTCATTTTTATTCTTGAATAAATGTACACAATTTGCAGCAGTGAAAGTTTAGTGTCTTGCTCCAAAAGCAGAAAACAATGACCTTTACCAAGGTTTAGGATTAAACCCTTTTTTCATCACTTAGAATTACCAGTAGTCACATACTGTGCTGTAAATTGAACATTTACATGTAGTAGCAATAAATTGTCTTTTAACTACCAAATTACAGCACCAAGTCCATAAAGCTGTTTTCTTTCTATATATTTCAACTAAACCTATACTATACCTGGGCTGTGTAAAGCTCAAGCATGGCTTTATGTGCAGGAAGAAAGATTTCCTTCAGTGATTGTACTGCACATTCTACACTGTAATTTGATGACAAAAGCAGAAGCATGAAAATAAGAGGAAGAAGTTGGTAGAAGAACATGAATGTGTGCAAGGATAATTGGAAGATGAGTTAATTATCCAAGCAAAATGGAGAAGAAAAATAATAAGAATGGACCCAAAAAAATTTAAACTGTAGTGTTATTATTTGATCTGACACCAAATTCTCTCAACTAAGGCTATGGGAATGTGTAGCAGAAAGAAAGGAGAATTACTATTGAGATCTTGAAAGTGAAAGGGTTCTGAGTGGGTAAGGGAGGGGGATCAGCAAAAGTTGAGCAATCCTCATTACACAATGACCAGTCGCTGATTTTCTCGAAAATAGACAGTCATAAGTGTAGTAGAAGTTCTGTACATGTACCTTATCAAATCAAGGAAAAGACTTGTAACCTAGAAAATACATCATAGATTAATTTCAGAAAAGCAAAAAGTGAAAAAGACGGATGAATGCACAAACGCTTAAGTGTCAGTGGTAACAATGCCACGATAAGTAAGCACCTTTTCTTGAAGAAGAAACAACATCTGAAGCTTCACATTTTCAGGAAGATTTTCATGATAAAGAACCTAGTGGAAATTAAGAAGATGTCAGTTGATGCCATTAAATTAAGCTTGCTAGTTTCCTAAACTGCGATACCTGCGGCAAGGAAAATCAAATCAGGTGATTTCAGTTCCTTCGCACGAAAGCAGAGTCAGAAAACAAGTGAAATTTACCTGAAGGATGTCCAAAACAAAGTGGTGCGCTGTGATCTCTCTGGATTTCAGAAAAGTGTCTGGTGAACGTTGAAATTCTTCCAGGTTCTTCATCCAGTGCAGTGCAACAGAACTCATCTTTACGCATGTATCTTCAGTTGAATGAAATCTACCAGTAAGTTTTTATAGGTAAACTTTCGCGTAGTAATTTGATCGACCTTGCAATCGTGACAGCCGCCATCTTGATTGTTACAAAAAAAGCCAAGAGCCTGGGACCAATGCAGCAAATGAGAATTTTAGGGTGGGCTAGGGGGGACTCTGAAATAAAATTTCCTTAAAGTTATAAAAATATTGGAACAAGTAACGCAAATTTTTAGTTATCGTGCAAGAACTGATGAAAAAAAATCAGGTAGTCTATTTAAATGACAAAAGTAGAAAACTGAAAGCATCGAAAGAAATTGTGTGATATCATCCCTACTCCCTACCCCAGCAAGTTGAACTACCGTCCGCTGGTCGACTTCGCGTTAGGCTCGTCATCTCTGTTTTTATCGATTGTCATATGAAGGATTTTAATGCCACTCTTGCTAGAAAGCAAGAATGGAACCTTCAACGTTGTGGTCTTCAATGAAGACGTACTATTTTAGGTACGAAAATGTTATTTTAAGGGTACCATTCTGCTTTGTCTTACAACTGGGAACTTACTTTGACAAGATTGTTCAAGGTTCTGGCGAAGGCTCCAAACCATCGCATGAGATTGCAGGTATGTACGTTGAGACTTTCTAGTGAACATAAGTATATTATTAAGATGCATTTGAGGGTCATGTGATTATTTCTCTTTAATATTGTCCACAAAATCAACCTCGAATGCTATTTCGGATGCGTTAATGCTTTGAACAGAATGCAGTATGGGATTTATTAGAACCCTTTACGATGTATTCGAGGTGGACCAGTGAGTCACCAATTGGTCAGGAAAGTGGTATCTTGCTAAGTCAGAAGCATGTTAGCTGGGTGGAAGCACATATGCTCCTGGTTGAGTGTATGGAAATATATATATATAAAATCATGTACACACATTTTGATTGGTCCTTACCCATGATCTATCGGAGGTCAGATGCATGGATGACACAACCAACTCAAGCAACGTTTTGCTTCTTTATCATATCAAACAAATAGGTTTTGTGTTGCTATGCACCTGTTCAGTAGTAGATCACAAAAGACTTCCTGATGTGGTAAGATCAGTGAGACACTCAGTTTTGCCTCATGTGCCACTTTTTCATTCTTAGCACATTTTGTAGACATCTGGGATTTACATGTCTTACTGAAGAGGATAGCAAAAGGGAGGGGGGCTCCTCATCTTGTTTCATGTGGGAAGTCAGGTGTACTTTAAACAGGATTTCATGTGCCAAAAATTTAAAGATAAAACTTCAAATCTCACCTTACCTCGCCTGTTTGAAAATTATCACATCACATATTAATTTTTAGCTTTATCAGGTGCTGCACAGGAACCCTTTGCCGCCCTCTATGTTAATTGATCTATAACAAACAAAATACGAAAATTAACAATGTTAAACTCATTTTGACTTAAATTCATTTTAACTGTTGTATAATTAGTTTACATAGACAGAAAAAAGAAAGATGGTAAATTTTGAGCTCAGTGAAGGAAAAATAAAGAAAAATGTTTTTCATCTTGTCACAAGCGTCTTGTAGACACTATCCACATTGCAGATCCTAGCGGTATGCAGGAAGCGTGTCATATGAACTTCATTATAGTCCTCACTCACCATGGAGTCTCTGTGGCTCAGTGGTAGAGCATCAGAATGCGGAATCCTTAGGGCTGAGATTCGACTCCTCGTGAGGACTCAGAATTTTTTCTTTGTCCCACACCTGTGACAAGATGAAAAACATCTTTCTTTATTAGTTTACATAGTTTTAAATTTTGTCAGCTTTGGCTCTCAAATGAATCACACTTTATATTTCTCTATTACTTCATTTATATATGCCTTCTACATTGCATTGCAGCTGTTATTTGTGGGCTTGTGGGTACAATTGGTGTAATAACAAACTTGAGCTATCTTCAGAAATTCTTCGTTTGGTTGATTGAGGAAGTTGTTCTTCTTGTCGCATTTGCTGCCATTGTAGCATATGGTCCTTCAGATGCTAAGGAAGATTTCTTATGGAGCAGTTCAAATCCAAATGTGTCATCTCATCTTGATGTGACTTACGGCTATGCATTGTTATATGCCCAGGTTTTTGTCGCTGTTAGTGTTGCTATTGTTCCACGCAAATGGGCAGCTGTTAGCGCCAAGCAAACTGTTGGAATTTTCATCATTTTTCCAGTTATCATTCAGCTTCTCTCACTCCCATTTGTCAAAGCCTCTTCAATTCTGCGAGATGTCTGCCTGGGTTATATTGTGTTTGCTACAGTAATTCAGGCTTACAAAGCTTGTCTTGGCATCCTGCAACTACTACAGGAGGTTCCAGGGCTGATTAAGGATACATGCAGAATTGTCATCACTTTTGGATGGTTGGACTTCTTTGTATACCACTGGAGAAGGGTGAACTTAGGCCAAGTTCTAATGATAACTTGGCTAATGAAATGTTTGGCTTTATTCAATCTTTTGTTGATTGGAACCCATAGTTTTCCTATTGCTTTTTCTGGAAGTTTAATTTATTGCTTTGATAGCCTTCTGGATTTGGCAGGGGCAAGTCTGATCATTGGATTTGTAGCAAATCTTATATTAGACTTCACTAGCACGTTGATGAAAGGAAATATTGAACGACCAATGGAGGAGCGTCAACAGGAACAGTGGAACAATAGCGTTTCATTCTTTCTTTTGAGTGTTCAAGTTGGAATTTCTAGCGTACCCACGCAGCAGCGCCTTATGCTTATAGGCCTGGTCTTGTTTGTCACACTCTCCTTGTTCTTGCAATCTATGTATGAGCTTGCAGAACCAGCTCTCATGTCATTGGGTGCAACTTACACTGGTGTTTTCACCAGCAAACACTTGCGCACATTAGGAGTGTGTTTGTTGATTCTGGTACTTCCTGGATACATGATCATTGTTCTCTGCCAAATGTTCACTTTTGATGCATGGTTGTTTGTTATCATATCCAGTAACTTGGTGACAATTGTTCAAGTGATGGGTTCACTGATAATTTATGGACTTTTTGTGTCCAATGTACATTCAGAAAGTCAAATGAAGGATCTAGATGACTATGTTTATTACATTAATGCTGGCTCAAAAGTTTTTGAGTTCTTAGTTGCTGTGGTTGTCCTTGGATACACTGCATGGGCTACCTTAACTGGGGAGTGGAACTATATTGGTAAGAATCTTAACTGTAAAGGCCCTGTACTTGTAACTTGTTAATAAGTTGTATATGTTGTATTGCTTAACAGTAATGGGAATGAATATTTTGGACACTGGGAAACTTTTTGCAGATAATCCTACCTCATAGTTGACATTCCAAAAGGGAAAAATGACCCAAAGTTTTCTCTCCCACACAAAACATTGCATTTTGTTTTCATGCAAAATCTTTGATTTTGCAGATTTACCAATGACCAAAATTCAAGAAGGCAAATTTTCATGAAGACTTGTAATTAGAATGAGTTGAGATTGACTTAACCCTTTAACTCCCAAATCAAATTTGTAATTCTCCTTACTGTCAACCATACAATTCTTATAATGTTAGTTCAGAGAATTTGGTGTTGGATCAACCAATTATCCATTAATTGATATATTTCTTATTCTCATCATTAATCTGGTTGATACTGTATTGATATTGTAAGGAGAAAGTCTATCTTGGTCTCTCATGGCTGTTAAAGGGTTAAACCCTAACGGTGGGCAGTGTCTAATTTACATGTACATGTATCTGTACAATCATTCATTAAGATCATTAGAATAAAGAGAATCATCACTGACCTAACAAGCTTTGATTATTAAATGAATTCTCTTAGTTTGTTCTAAATATAATGTATACAGAGTTAAATATGGAGAAAATAGATATTGATGTTAGTGTGTAAAGTGTTAATTTTCTTTTTTATGCCCCCCCTAGGTGCGTTGGTAATTTCAATGCATGCTTACTTCAATGTTTACAAGCGAGCTCAAGAAGGATGGAATAATTTCCTATTGCGACGCAATGCAGTAAAGAGACTCAACTCCTTGCAGTGGGCCACTGAAGAACAGTTAGAGCAACTAAATGATGTCTGCTGCATATGTTATGAAGTGTTAGATAGGGCTAAAGTTACTAAATGTAATCATTTCTTTCATAGTTTGTGCTTAAGAAAATGGCTCTATGTGCAAGACAAATGCCCTATGTGTCATGCAGACATTTTACCACAGGATTGACTATTACCTGTCCTGCAGCGCATGGCTGCTGTTGGTTGAATAATCATTAACATCATAAATCATTTCACGATTTACATGCCTTTCATTAGGCTACAATCTGTGACAAATTTTATGGAACCACTTATGAGGAATTGTTTCAAAATGAAGTGCAAACTGAAATGCAGTTTTCCATACTATGCCCCCCCTTCCGTGACTCAATACTATACAGTCACAGAATACAGAGTGCATTTTATCATTGCTAGTGGGGAAGGGGAGGGTGAATTATGGGTCTAAGAGATAAAATTGCTATGCTTATTCCAGGGTATTGGGATTTCATTGGTAATGTGTCATTTTGTCAGAGATTGAAGCCCTCCTTATCGTCCTCCACACTCTATACATCATCCTACACAGATTACAATGTGGTTCTGAGGTTTTGGAACTTTAAAGAAAAGAACTTGCTCGTGGCCCAGCTCCCCAGTGAGTCTTAAGTGTGTTAGCTGCTGACCGTGAAATCAAACTTGGTAGTCATATGATTTCTGATGAAGTGACTCCTTTATGTGCATTTTTTCATTTTCTTTGTTCCAATTGCCTTGTCCATAACTATGTAATAATTTTGTAAGGGATAGTGGTGAGCTGACATCCTCCAGTTCAGTAGAGACAGTAAAAAGAAAAATGCTCAGAGGGTTTTGCATCACCAAGCTGTCTGACAATATGACACATGCGGTGATGATGACCTGTTTTGATTTGACTTGTTATTCAGAAATGATTGTAGTTTTTAAGTAGCCAGTGAGCAAGCCCCTCTTATTACTGCTTCAGTATAAATGTTTCTTTGTCTGTGAGAAAGTTTGAGGCTTTGAATGATGCCAACTAGCAAGAAATCTGAAAGTGGTCTGTGCAAACCTTTTCCAACTTGTCTCAAATCTTCCTGCAGATAGAGAAACACTTGTCCTGCAGTGCAAATATGAGGGCCTGCTTACAGGCTAGTATCTTTACAACATAAAAAGACATTGACAACAGTTTATACACAACTGAATAGTAATTTTGTTTTTGGTAGCCAAGAATTTCAGGGTCTTATTTTTCAAACTTTACCTGACTATGTGTGTTAAACCAGAAGTAGTTCAAAAGTCACTTTAAATTTTTCCTGTCACTAATGACATTTATGATACAGTATATTCAGCAAACACAGTAAAGAGAAACTGTAAGATATATTTATATTTTTTCAGTGAAGGTCTCAATATGTGGTCTTGATTAATGGTATATTTAAAGCCTTTGATTTTAAAAGCAAAAGAAATTTAATTACTGAGGTTTAAAATTTAACTGTAACTGTAACTTTATTTTTTAAATCCTATAAGGAAAGGTGTTTTTTACAAGTCAGCTACAGAGTGCATGTACATGTACATATGAGTGTGGGCAGTCATCACACTCAGTGTTCCTGCACATACAGAATTAGAACTTACCAGGGCCATTTGCGCCTATGAATCTTGTCTTCTTGAGCTAACAGTATCTATCTTTTAATGTATAATTAGGTTTTGTCAACTGTGTTGATAATATAAATTGGCCACTGCCATTCCAAGCATTAACCCCTCGTCAGAACAAATAGAAGGGCAGTGACTAGATACATCAGCTTTAGATACTCTTTTCAGTGGCCAATTTACATAATCAACTGAGTCGATAAAACCCAATTTTTTTTTAACCCTTTAACTCCCAGATCAAATTTGTCATTCCCCTTCCTGTCAGCCATACAATTCTTATAATGTTAGAGCAGAGAATTTAATATTGGATCGACTAATTATCCCCAAATTGATATTTTTCTTTATTCTCATCACTCATCTGGTTGGTTTTGTATTAATATTGTAAGGAGAAATTCTGTCTTGGTCACTCATGGGAGTTAAAGGGTTAATACCCCCACAGTTTCTTTAAAAAGTTACTTCTTCTTTTACTGTACTTTGACACTTTGAGAAATACTATCAGTGCCTGAAGATAAAATTCGTACCCTAAAGTGGCCTTATATTTTAACATCCCCCCGATATCCATTTATATTTTACTATCTGAAAATGTTAAATTTACACGCTGTTGCTTACAAAGTTTGTTCACAGGAGGGAATGTATTTGCAAAATTATTTTTAACTGTCTTAGAAGATGAGAAGATTGTTGCAATTATATTTAAGATATTTTGAAAGTTATTAAAGATTTATGATAATAAATTTACAGTGTAGTGGTGTTGGTACATGTTTGAGTGGCTCAAGTACAGTTGAAATAACAAAGAAAGGTTATCCAAGATGCGTATGTGACATAACAAAGATTAAGTCTATTGGTAAGTTTTGAATTACCAATAATTGTTGGTAATTCAAATATCTTTTTTAATGATATTGCCTGCAAAAATTAAAGACAATCTGAAAATTAATCTTCACAGGTAAGCTACAGTTGAGGTCAGGGAACATTAAGAAGTGTAAAAACAATAGGGCTTTAACTGGGAAGCCTGAAATCTTGCAGACCACTTACAAGTAAACATAGAATACACTAAGATTACATGCATGTGCTACATGTTACTTTTGTCTGGACAATCAGACTATGCAACTGAATTGTTAGAACTGTTTTTTAAAATGTTTTGTCCTGCAAACATACATTCGTATTGAGAGATAAGAGAACTGATCCAGGCTACATGTAAACTGGCATGGCTCACAAGAAAAATTTATCAACAAATATTACACACAAAAAATGAGTTTATGTTCTTGAAAGAAAATTCTTTTAGCCTTTCAAAGGTTTCCTAGGGAAGGAATCAAGAGTTCTGTCCTCTCCTAAGGGGGGAGGAAGGAGTTACAAACACAGTTTAGTTTCCCCACCCTCTAAAAAAAATCAAATTTTTAGTTTTATAAGGTTCTTGATGAAGGAATCTGGGTTTCTATCCTTTTTCTAAGGGAAGGGAGGGTGACAACATTGGTTTTGTTTTCCACCCTCCTTGATCCCCCAATGAAAAAGAATGCTTACAACGTTTTTACTCTGAAATTGTTCGTCTATGACCAAGCATCTTTACAATATGTTTGATAAAAACTAGTAAATAAATAGTTCTTTACAACCTACAGTCTTAATCAACTAGGATCATTCTTCCTATAAATGAACTCGTCTTTGTAAACCCAGATGGCCAGTCCATACCCAAGCACTGCTTGAAATACTCCAAGTCCAATGATATACGCCTTCGATCGGCCGTAATACGGAGAATAACAAAAGTCAAGAAAAGAAGCGAAGAGAGGCTTAGGTACACCTGTGTTTCTCTCAAAGTGTAACGATGCTATTAAAACTGACGGTAACAAGCAGCCGCTAAGACCCAAAATCAGTGATCCTCTGATAGCTGCACATGAAACACATTCCAGTTTACGTCTTTTTATCGGATTAGAAACCAGATATTGCCATGACAAACAAGTGATACTCTCGCAAAATGCTGGGGTGATAAACATGGAGGCTCGCGACCGTGGAACCTGCAAAACGCTAGCGACAGAACGATAAAAACCTGGAATTATCGCCGTAAATCCAGCAGCTGATAGTCCAGCTGTGGCTGAGTAACGATCTAAGGAATGATATCCATTACTCCCTTTACCAAAACACATAATTTTCGATTATTGTTATTAATATCTGCAAGTAAAGCTTTCAATCTTTGAAGTATTTACCAGGCATTCCTATGATAAGGCCAGGTTGCAAGTATTTCGTTCCCAGACTCCTTCTCAGCCTCTCATGTTTCTCGTTTTACATACCAACAGGCCTACGCTCACCCACGTTTTTCGAGTTGGGTTTCGATCCCAAGTTTCCTGAATTCATCAGAATGACTGTGCTCTCTCGTTAGCCTCTGATTTTAGAGGGGAGAGATTAGAGGTTATGTCGGAACTCTTCGAGATGACTCCGGAAAATATTTGGGTTTAGACTTAATTTTCAAATAAAACAGCGAGAAATATTAATCTTTCAATTTAAAAGTTCAGGGTTCCAAATGGAAAATATCAAAATCATAAGAATCGCAAGGAGTCAGACTGACTTTCCAGCCTAACTTTATAAATTTTTCAAGGTCAGCATCTGAGCAGTTGGGCACCTACCCCTCCCTTAACCCAACAACAGTCCACTTATAAAAAGCTAGCTTTAATTTTGGTTAAGGGGAGGGGTAAGTGCAAAGTTGCTCCGATACCAACATTGATCCGAATTTTTACGACCTTTTTTAAACCATTCTGTTTATTGATTGTGTAACACCATTCACAATATCTGTATCAATCTATCTAATATGTACATTCATAGGTATTCAAGTAAGCTTATGTACACGTTTTAGTTATCGATTTTCTGCACGGCACGTATATAAAATGCAAACTTGTAAGTCATATATTACTTTATCATGAGAAAGTGAAGCTTCGATTGTCCTTAAGATATGGGTTAAGCAGACTCTCCCAAAATTAATCCGAAGAGCCCTTTCATTTAAGTTTCGTGCGCAAAACCAAAACCAAAGTATTTACAACGGCCAATTGGAATAGAGGAAAATGCCCTAATGAACCAATGAGAACTCAGAGCAAGATAAAACAAACCGCCTAAAGAGCGGGAAAACGTGGGCGAACAAGTGGTGATTGGTGTAAGATTTGCATCTAATTGGTTGGGAGAATGGTACGAGTTTTCTCGACCAATCACAGAGCGAAGTCAACCAATACGAATGCAGTTCCCAATTGCTTTCGATGGTTAATTGAAAATTGCTCTACTCTAGATGTACTTTGATTATTGTGACTCTCTCTTGCCACGTAGATCATGACGTGATATTTGTTTACAGTATTCTTGATGGCTTTTTCCTCTTAGAAATCTTTAAACGACTACAAAGTGGCAAGACTCCTCCTTTCCATGAAGGGTTTCCGACAAAGCTCCATTTACTTGTTCATTTAACTCGCATGTTCTTTGCTCGTCTGACTCTGAATTACTGCGAACATAGTTTATCGATTTACATCCGGGATGTCTTTGGCATCGCAACACGCATTCAACGTCACTCTTAACTTTGAGATGGCTTATCGCGTGACCAAGAAGTTCTTTTCCCGGTAACCGTCTGAAGATGGTGTTGTACCTTATTTCTGTAACAAAAACCACGATAACTTTGAATTAGATGTAAGAGTAATTTCAATGGAGTGACGACACTAATCTGGGACTTCCGGATTGCATTGGCTTAAAACTCGTTTTACGATCCTCTAGTCAAAAAAAAGGAAAAAAAACCAATAGCGTGCCTCGAGTCTTATCAAAAGCGAAACTAAATCAATACATTCTTGGAAACTCACGTTTTCCATGTGATTATCCGAACAGATCTCGAGGCTTTGACAAGTGGCCATTCTTAAGCGCGGGAAAGGGCGGGAAAGCGCGGCAAAGCGCGGGAAAGCGTGGGAAAGCGCGAGAAAGGTGAGACGTGGCCAAAGATGCAGAGTGAATCATGGACACACACCTAGCAATCCTTTACGACTTTCACTTCTTGAAAAAAAAAGCACTCACTGCTGAGGCAATTTGAAATACGTCGGTATTAATGAAATACTCAACCTGTCTGGCAAATAAATGCTTGTTGTTTTCTGCAGCAATTGTCGTTCCATTTTCCGTAAAAACTGGAATAACTCGTCATTTCTCCACACTTCTCATCCAAATTGTCGGGGGCTCTAGTGACCCAGTTTGTGAATGTAAGCTCTGTGCCATCAACCCACTGGAACACGTTACTTGAGGAGAAGTTTTGAGAAACAAAAACAAAACAAAACAAAAAAGAATAAGATATTAAAAAATGACCAAATAAATATTAGAGAAATGCTATGATGGAAACTGTACCGGAAGAAAAAATGAAAAACTAGAAGTTTTCTCTGTAATCACTAAGTGTTTTGTTTCATGAGGAACGCATCGATTTACTCAAGATAAAATTTAGTCATAACACTGACTCCTCCAACGATAACAAATTCCAGAACCAAGGTCATATAATTTGAGACCAAAAATATCAGCCTATCAGCAAAATGTTCCTCAAGCGATGCAATAATATCTGTGTGTGCAGAGGTACATATCTACCTTAATCTATCTCCGTGTATAATTGCTGTTATTATCATTAGGGTGATTTTGAATTTATTAATAAAATTAACGCTTTGTTGCATTGATTTTTCTTTCCTTATCCAAGTGATTGGTCCAGAAACCTCACGCCATTCTCTTAACCAATCAGATTCAAAACTAAAAAAAAATCGCGAGTTGTCACTCACGCTTTCCCGCGTTTTCTCTCTTGTTTTTGTTTTGTTTTTTTCACTTTTCGTTCTCATTGGCTCTATATATTGTGATATTTCTTCTCATCTGATTGGTCGATGTGATTTCTCTGATATAGATTTTACGACACTCAATCGAAATATGCTCTATCACCATCATCAATATCAAGACTACTATCATGATTATTATCTTTATTATCGACGTACTACTCAAGTAACATACTCTTCATTTCTCATAAGGCCGATCCATAGAGTTCTGTGTACAGCAAAATTTTTGTAAACAAACGTCTGTTTTTTTCTATCGTGTATAGTCACCAGATCTCCTTCATAGTCACGGCATGTTTCTCTGGCTTCACTCCAGGTCCTTTTCTCTGGGAAATATTTGATGCATATGGTCTGATAATTTAGCCAGCCACTGTCACAAGGGTCTAAAAACAATGCGACAAAATAGAACCAAGAGAAAAATAAGTGAGACGTTTGAGGATGAGAGGTAGATTTTTAACCCTGAAAACTCCCATGTGTGACCAAGACAAAATTTTATCCTCATTATATCAGTAAGAAAAATAACAATAAGGAAATTGTAAGTTGATCCAATACCAAATTCTCAAAACTAGCATCATAAGAATTAAAGGGCGGACACCATTAACTTCTTGAGAGTGAAATGGTTGAAATGAGATTTTTTGGATGACAACACGTCTTCTTCACACTTGTGTGGGTAACAGTCCGAATACATTCATCAATGCAAGTGTTTCAGTGTTTTAAATGTTTATCCGCTATTTGCACAGTTAATGCGGAATAGTATGCAGAAAAACACAAAAAAAGATTTTTCATTTGTTTTATGCTTATTCTATTAAAGCGATAGAACGCAGTTTCTTTCGTTTTACCGGCTTAATAACCCACTTTGAGAACACTCAGAGGGCCCGTTATTTTCACGAGGTCTCACCCAAACCGCGGTTTTACGCAAGCAGTGGGCCCCAAGGATTCTCTAGAAGAAGGTTGATCTAACTGAATAAATCTCCCTCCGCTATTAGCTCTCTGTTTACACTGTTCACAAAAATAAATTTTCCGATAAAAAGTTCGGCTAAATTGAAGATGGCTAGCTTAGAACGCGTTTTTTTCAAACAATGGCTAAACTTTGTTTAAATAACCGGTCCGACGAGTTTGTAAATCATTTTCCTCCGGGTCGTGGTTAACAAACTTTTATGACCGTCCTGCCGACATCCCGCGTGAGTTATTACGTCGTTAAACCCTTAGAAAGTGTGGTCTATTGCTTCAATAGGAGTACAAAGTGTCTTAAGAATAAACTATAGTGGGATTGTATATTTTTAAACCACTCAGTAGCAGAATAAACTAACATCTTGTAGTTCTTTGTTCTTGTCAACAAGGTTTGTTTTACTAGGACTTACTGTTAGTCCACCTCGACTGACACACATACAAATTGTTTAAATGAGAGCACATGATATTGACACAGATGCTTGATAGAAAGCAATTCGAAGAAACCCGCCATAAAATAGCTTCAATGGAGGAAAGCCGATTTATTTATGATAATAATAAAGAATTAGCTATAAAATAATGGAAAAATGAACATGACTTGTTCGGAACAAGACAAGTAGAACGAGCCTTTTTAAGGTATATCGAGTTCTGACTGCATTTAAACTAATTCAACGAGAGGTACATTTTTAAAACTTGAGAAAAACGGCTCTATCTTATTTTACATACACATGGAAAAAAATATCACTTTACACTGCGACTTTCTTAAATTTTATTTGAGCAGGCTTAAGAACTAAATCACAGGCTTGACTTACGGGCTCCTAAGAGTTTTAAAATACTTTTAGTAATTGCAATTCTTTGCTAAAGAAACATCTTTTAAGCTAAGTTGACACTCCACCAAGAAATCATCTGTTTGTAAATAATTGTATAATGACAAAAGTATGGGAAAGGAACATGACTCGATTGCCATTTCGATAAAAATTTGGCAAACAAAACTAATGAACTAGATATGAACGTGATCTTTCGTTTCAAATATGAAATAGAACTCAACCAAACAACGAAACGACGGAAGTGAAATCACTTTGTGAAAGAAATCTAAACTCATTAGATTGAACTTGTCAACATCGATATGTCAGCTTGGCAAGATGAAAATCTTCCCATAACTAACGGAGCGAAAGCTTATTTTCTTTTTCCAAGTGTTTGTTTCGTTTCGCGATTCATTATTGTCTCAAAAATCTCAAGTTGAATAAAAAGATGAATGAATAAGATACTCGTCTTTTCTTATTTTCAAGTTTTACACTAAAAATATTTCCAAAAAATAAGGTTAGCCGCATAAAGAATGATAATGAATAAGGAGCAATCTGCTCATGACATTTTCATGATCAAACATTTAGCAATTAAATTTGTTTACTCAAGAAAGGGGGAGAATTTTCCTTAAAGCTTAACACCATTTCTCGTGGAACATTGAGGTTCGGTAATGTGATTTCTTGGGAAATTAATGATCTGTAGGACTACAACCCGTTGCTTAACCATGATGCCACCTTGATTACATAATTTTCGCGCAAAATTGAATGGCATTATTTTGCCCCCTTTTTTACTTTTGTGATAGGTCTTTAAATCGTTTGCTGATTTTTATCCCTACCTTTGCCGGGGAACGATAAAGCAGCGATATAGTTCTGAAATTAAATTGAGAATAAAAATCAAGTCATGAAAATTTGTTGTCATGCATTTAACTAGTGTTTGTAAAGCACCAGAATTATGGCGAGGCCTGTTTGACTTACCTCTGCATGAAAACAAAACATCAAAGAAAAGAACAAAACGTGTACAGTATTGTATAATTCCATCGTAAAATTCAATAGAATCTCTTTTCTAATGCTGCATGGAGACGCATAAAATGTTCAAACTAAAAAGCCTCAACAGCTTGCAGCATTTTGTTCCCACTGATCGCATACGACTCAAATAAATCTCCCTCCGTTTCTAATGCGGGTTACATTTCTGCCGGCAGCTGTGTTTACGGAGTGATTTCATTTTATACCAAAATTTACTTTGGCGTTTTGGAAATATCACTTAGTTTTGATTTCTTCTATTGAGCAAGTGATTGGTCAGTATTTGTTATATTTGTGATTAATGTTTGAGTACTGGCGGGTAAGATTGACAAGAACCTGTTCCGCTACCATTGGAAAATTACTGAAAACGGTCAACCGTACTTCTCACATTACATTGTTATATGAAAATGCATCTCGGCCAATTAGACGAATTCCCTTTTACTAGTAGCGGATAAATCTTTCAGCCTGATTTGGACTTTTTTTATGTATTTCTATCGTAACGAGTGTGCAGTTACACATATTCCGCAAATAGACGTAGACATCCGACAAACATTTTAATGAATTCCTCTTCCAGATACGTTTTTAAACCGTTCGTGTTGTTGTCGTTGTTCCTCTACCTTTCAGTTGTTATCATTGTTATTGTTATCGTTATTATTTGTTATTTATAAACATTATCATTGTTTGAGAATTATGTTTTTCGTGTCATCACCAGCGTGGGACAAAGAATCGAACCTCAGACCTCCGATGCTCTACCACTGACCCACAGAGACTCTATGGTGAGCGAGGTCCATTACGAAGTTCATACATGACACGCGTCTTGCATACTGCCAGGATCAGCGATGTCGTTGGCGTCATGTCTGTAAATAGAATTAGAAAAATGGTAGTTTTGAGCTCAGTAAAGAAACAGATTTACAGACAATGATTTATTATCATTGTTATTATTATTATTTGCATAATTATCTTTAGTAACTGTTTGTGTGGCATCATAGTCCGAGGGAGTCCTGGAAGGATTATTGTCTGTAAAAGTGACTGACGTTTCGACAACCTTAGCGGATGTCATCTTCATAGTCCATGTCAGTCGATTGTTTAAAGCCCACTAAAAAATTGAAAGAAATTGCTAATTGGGCAAACTTCTTTTTCCTTTGGCGAAATCAAATAGGTTCTTACTGTATGTTTTCAATCAGAAGTGTATTGAAAGCGTACTATTACCGCTGGCTACAAAGTCCCGGGGATACCACTTTAACATGCTATTGTTTAATGGTTTAACAGTGAATTTTCGATTTTTTGACAGTTGGCTGTGGACCCCATCGAGAGCCGTCAATTAATAAGTCATTGCATGCACGAATGCACCTCATTACCAAACAAAGATTAAGGAAGAAAGTTATCCTAACGTTGTGGTCCAAGTTTATTAAATGAAAGTCTCCAGGTCTTCCTCGGGATTTCACAAAATTAGCCTAAACTAAAAACTTTCACAAAAATCTAAGGGCAGAAAAGTGTTGCAGGTTACTTCACAACAGTGTGGTCTTACTTTTCAACAGCGTAGACTTATGGTATGTTGTTACATAGTTAGTAGAGGAGTCTCCTCTACTAACTATGGTTGTTATGACTTTTATTCTCGGCTAGGGTCAGCAACTGGACTACATTTCCTACAAGCGACGCTTAAAGTACCGAAAATATAATGCCTCGCAACGTACCGTGATTGTTTGAGACTGTTGGTTTTGGAAACCACAGAACAAAGAACTTTACAACTTTGTGCACAGGGTTAAGAACCTAATCCGAAGGATTAGTGAAGTCAAACCTTTTAGTGTTTCAGAAGACCAAATGGATGTAACGAAGGTTCAACCTGCACGAGTGTCAAACACCAATGGTCGTGCGCACGGAAAAGTTGCGTCGTACTTTAGTACGTGATCCGTACCCGTAACAAATACTAAAATATAAAAGTTAGTTTAAAAAGCTTACAAATAGAGTTCGTAAACAACCTAATTAAAAGTTCCATTGTTCATTCACAAATGATACCACGGTTTTTTCTGGCAGAACGGCTGAGGTTGAATATTACTTCTAGTACTAAGCTTGTTCGAAACAACTGGCATGACGTGGAGTTTATGTTAAGGGGGACTACCAGACTGACACAAGCTACAACAATTTGTAACTGCAACTTCAAAACAACTTGAACAATTAGCCTGAAGGATTAGCTAGAACAAAAAATATCGTTTCGATACCAGCGTAATTGCAATTAACTATGGCCAGGTATCGGAGGCCTACGCGATGTCAACAAAAAGATAAGTTTTAGCAAATTAAAGTTTCGCGTGGAACTTTTCCCGAATCTACGTGTACAATTTTAAGGGTTCATACCGAGTGTAAGCATTTTGAAAATCATATCTTCCAGGTTAAGTAACTTTTCATCTTTTGGTAATTAGCTTAACGTATTTATTCGAACAAACGCCGCCCTTGAATAAAAGCCGCATTTTAGAGCAGAAATATTAATAAACGCCGCCCTCGAATCAACGCCGCATCATCATGCGGCGTTTATTCGAATAATAGACTCATAAAGCACACAGCGGTCATTGCTTCCATCGCAGTTGAATTTTGAGTGAAACAGACACAAACTCTTTTGAGTGTACCAGTTCTGATGTCGAGAAAGCATATCCGACATAAGATCTTTATTCACTTTATGTATTGTAGTAGTATTAACATGCAAATTGTGAAATTGAGAGCAATATAGAAAACGACTTTTTAGACAAGCATTAAAACATGTTTCTGTTTTTTAAAATTGAAATGGTCAGTTACCATGCAATTGTTTGTATTTTAAATAAAAGCTGTCCTCGAGTAAACGCCGTACTCGAATCACGAAGAATTTAATAAACGCCGCGTCGTTCAATCGATTAAATGATACGGTAATCTTGAAATGACATTCCTATCCAGAAAGGACACTTCTTCGTTATAATGGAATTTTGCATCCATCAGTGAATATTTTAAGATAAGTTGGTTCATCAACTGAGTTGATAACGTGATGTGGCCATTGTACAGAATTTCCGTTTCATGCAAGAGATCGCGGTTAAGCCAGCATCTGCAGCTAATCGATCCAACTCTTTCTTTTTTCCACCTTAATATGATTTTGACCACGAGGCGCTTAGAGGCTGTGTTCGTTCGAGCAGCCTATAAAAGAATTATATTTTCTGCAAAACAGAAGAAAGAGGTCATCTTAAACTGATTCTAAGATATGTACGGGGGGGAGCTCATACATTCGTATTTGAATGACCCGGAGATGAATGAGATTTCCATATATTTCCCCAGCGATAAGGTTGTATTGCTTACAATATCACCAGATTTTGATAATTGGCGGAGTGAAGCATTAGAAGCACTTTAAAACACACCAGGAATGTTTTCCTCCTTTTTTCCCATTTTTGTCGCTTTTTCTCGATTTCTTGTAGTTCATCTTTTGTTGTTATTCGTCTTAGTTGCTCGAAATTACCAGGTTTGTGACAGTGGAGTTACATTTTAACTTTGAGGAGTTGGATTGCAACAAAAAAATAGTAACTTATGGGGTATTATTGTATTTTCTTACTACCGCTATATATAAAATTCCATATAACTTTATATCTGTGCAACAATATATATATTTTAGAATTAAGAAAGAATCCTGAGGAAAGATATTTGGGATTCTACAATATCGTTTTTTGCTTTCAGATATTCTTTCAAGTAACAACTAAACACAGATTACATCCGAAGCCAATTTTTATTGTGTAAACAACAAACTTTCAAACTAACAACCAATTCACGACGATTATATAAAAAAGACACTCTCTTGGTTCTATGCACCATCACCTGAAAAAGAAGAAGAAATGAATAAAGGAGTAAAGAAAAGTAACGAACAAAGGTAAAGAAGAAAATGGTTTGGTTTTATTTCGACGGTGAAGGTGGAGAAAAAAGCAAAAAGTCTTTAACTATTCCATCATAGTTAATCAGTATCTTTTAAGAAGTCAGCAAAATTGATGAAAAATAGGACTAATGATCTAGGATAGACAACTCTTTATCCTCTAAAATTAGCACGAGAAAAGCCCTCCCTAAAGCGTGCTCATTTGTTCAGTTAGTCTGAGAGCCCTCTCACTCATTTATAGACTTTTTCATATATCTGTGAAAAAGTGCCTGGCTGTTCTATTTTGCGAGATTTGAAGTTCGCATAACGTACAATCTCTAAAGAACTTTCAATTGTATCTTGATGTTTATTTTAAGCAATTTCTTTCGCCTCCAAGATAAATTTTCTTTGGAGCTGAGTTTCCTCGCATCGCAATAAAAAAGAATCATTTCAGGTTTTGAAAATTAGTTATTTGACAAACCTACAGTGCCTACCCACTCGTAGGTTTTTCTAAATGTAAATGATAACGGGTATTTTTGGCCTTAAAACCTCGTGACTATTAAAAATACCTTACCTAAGCTTCCCAGATGTATTTGGCAGAGAAAAATGCTCTCAATCTGTCTCTGAATTTAAGTAGCAAAGAGAAAGAAAAACAAAAACCATAGCAAAGTGTTATGATTCACAGGTAGCGCTCACCACCACCCCCACCTCCAGTCTCACAACCCACGCCCACCCCACCCCCCAACCCAGCAGTCTGCCTTTAGTAATGTAATGACCCCCCTACGTTGGCAGTCGATTTTCTTCAGTTCCCCTTGAAACTCTGTCCGTGACGACTAATTTCCCCCCTCCTATCTCCCTGAGAACCATGAGACCCCCCCATGATCCACTTCCCCCCCGCGACACCAAATAATGATTAGTCTTCAGACTATGTTGTCGAGAATCTGTTACGAAATAAGTAAACTTTTAAGGCAAATAAGAGCCCGTGCATAACATGAACAAAGAAATAAATTTGAACTAATTTCCACCGAGTAAATACGAACTGTTTGCATTTGTAAACTAAAGAGAAGTTATGTTCAGAACAAAGTATTTCGCATTGTCCACCTGGGGTCGTCCAAAGAAATTAAATGTGACTGTTAGTTAGCGTTATCTTTCAAACATGGTCGGAAATGAGTTCAACGTTAATTAAGTGACATTCGGACCATCTCAATTGAGAACAATTCAAAGCAGTTATCTTAATCTTTTTATGATGTGTGCATATTAATTTTGGTAAAATCTGTTTCAAGTCCTGTCCCTGGTTTCCAAAGGAAGCAGCTGGCTGGTCGTTAATGAGATAGCCAAAGCTGCCAAAAAGATATCAGTTCAGTTTTCGTACCTGCAAATGCTCCTTCATCCTCGTGGAACTGAGCATGCACTGCTTGATAATCGTTTGCTCCAAGACGGCGGGCTAAAGAACGATATCAAGATTTAAAGATGAAGGGTCAGCAATTTTTGCAAGATATTAGGCCACTTTCAGACAACTCAGTCTGCTTGTGCTTTATAAAAAATAGTTTAACTACAAACAGTTACTCGCTGAAATGCCTGGACGAGGTGCTCTTTTGGAACTAGGGTGTTGGAACGCGAAATGATCTCCTTGCAGATATATTACTACAAGGAAGTATAGACATCACGTAAGGTACAGCAAATTTTTTTGATCCTTTTGTGATTTACCAACGGTCACAGTTGTTCTGAAGAGCAGCGTTTTACCAGAACGTGGTAAAAGATCTACTGAGACGCCCAAACTGGTCAAATCTAATTAAGCTACTATCAAGTAAGCAATGATCTTGGCGGGTGAGCTGCATAAAAAATTTGGAAAAAAAATTTAGGCTTCGACTACGAACCCGTTCCTCCCAGATATTTGTTTGGCGCCACTGCTTACTGAGCCTCGAAGTCACACACAGAGCAGATTTTTTTTACAGGTTTCTTCTACGATCACTAAAATAACACCATCCGTTACCTTGGCGAGTGAGATCTCGACGGCTGAGATCGCGTCGAAATAATTCCCGGCGTGTAAGATCGCGACGCGCAAATTCTCTGCGGGACAGATCTAGGCGTCTTGCCTCTCGACGAACCATGTCCCGGATAGAACGCTTTTGGCGATTAGAATCCTGACGCACCTCTCGCCGTTCTCTCAGTGCACAGCACACAGCGAGAACAACTGAGATGACCAGAAAAGAGAGCAGAAGTTTGTTCATCTTAATCTGCTTTCCAGGTACAAAACCGGGAGTGGCTCTTTCTCAAAGATGCTTGCGACAGAGCGGACGTTGATATCTCAACTGACGAAATGAGGTTACACTCTTCAGTTTACGGGTCTCAACCTGTCAATTCGTCATCAAAGCCTTAATGCCTTATCAATTGTGCCTGAAACAAAATCTTCGAGAATCAAAATCCATCGGCTTTGTTCAGGGCCAGCAGAGCATGAATAGTTTTGACGTAACCTTTCGCATATCGAGGCAAAAACTTAATTAGGCTATGACAACAAACTGGTGGGAATACACAAGCGGTTTATAACCTTTGAATAGTAAAAGGTTATTCATACAACTAACAATATGTAAAATTACTGGACCTGTTTCGCCTTGCCGGTTTAAACGAACTAATTATATTAGTTGTTGGTAACGCTTGCGCACACACAGGTTTTTTTTCCCCTCTAAACCCTAATATTAGTAGAAATACTGTCTATACAGCTCTCTATACATTTTTCACAAGTGAAATTTCATTACCGGTCGAGAGCTTCTTTAGTTTGCAAACTTTTCATTTATTCTCGTCAGGTTAATGTTTGATTCAGCAGCGACACAATGACAATGAGCAGATTGGACACTTGTCTCTCTTAGGGTTAAAAAATTTTAATATCTGATTGTTGGAATTCTTTGCCGTTCCTTTTCTTTAGATTGCCCTCGGTTGTCTTTTTAATTACAGTCTGTAATCTTCTGATTATATCTTGCCATTAAAGAAATCAGCAACCAGAAAAAAGAAATCATTGATAAGACGTTTGGTTCCACAGTGGAGGTTGTCTTAAAATCTTATTTCCTTGTGTCAGTCTCCAACTTATGCCTCATCATCTCGTGTGAAGATAGATGAGACGCCTGTCACTCTCAGGGGTTAAATTGCCGTTCCATTTTCTTTCCTTTTTCTCTGTTGTTGTTTGATTACCTTTATTGTAAGAAATTGAAGATGCAGGTTGACAATGCGACGAAAATTTACATTACACAAAGTTAACTCGAATTTCCAAAATGGCGGATTTAAATCAAACTAACGCGAACTCTTCGAAAACAATGTGCGCCTAACATTATTTACGCGAATATGCTGAAACCGGCGTCTCAACAATTATTTCGAATGGAAAAAACAGCAGGATCTTCAGTCATTGTTAGCTCATTGTTATCATGTTATTGCTCCGTAAATGGATAAGGAACACCTCCTTGGATCCTGGCTTCTTCGAGTGCCTCGGCTAAAAACAGATAAGGTTCCGTTATTGAACAAATGCTATAAAACACCAATTATGATTTCAATAACTATGGACGTAAATTAAAATGCATTAAATTAACGCGAATTTTTTTCGAATCACTTTAATAAAGTACACCTTGAAGTTTTAAGATACGATCTGTGATCTGTTGTTAACATTTTGCCACTGAAAAAAATCAGCAACGAGAAAAAGATATCATTGAAGACTTGGTTTTAACGGCTGTGAATATTGCCTTAAAATCTCATTTTCTTGCATCAGTATTCAACTCATGCCTCGCTATCTCGTGCGAGGGCAGACCAGACGCTTGTAATCTTAGGGATTAAAGGATTAGAATGTTTGAAAAAATGTTTGGTTATTAAAAATGGAAATTAACAAATTTGCAGTTTATGACTTTTTAGGACAAAAAAAGCATCAGTATCCAACTAATGCCACACCATCTCGTTCGAGGGAAGAAAAGAGACGCCTGTCACTCTTTGGGATTAACAGATTAGTATATTTGATGAATGGAGCCTTTGCCGTTCCATACCTTCTGATTACTATCGGCGGCTTTTTAATAAACAATCTCTAACTTTCTGTTTACATTTTGCCGCGAAAGAATTCAGCAATAAGAAAAGAAATCATTGCAGTTAATAAGACTTTTGCTTTCACGGTGGAGGTTGTCTTAAAATCTTATTTGGTAGAGTCAGTATCTAACTTTTGTCACACCACCTCATACATGCTATCTCGAATGCTTTTGTCGTTAGTAATCTCTCGCGACCAGTTATGATTAGAGGGATTCCTGCCATGCAGGCTTGCACGGTCAAGATGAAATAGCCAATAATATGTAAACATAATTTAAACCATAATAAATCTTCAACTACACAATGTGATTTTATTTCATAAATAAAATGTTTGCATGAAACACATAAGCATGTGAACATTCGAAAGGAACTACTCATTATTTCTCACCAAAGGGGTGGGGGGGTGGGGATGAAGGGTCGGGGGGAGGGTCACATGGTTTTTAGGGTGAACAGAGCGGGGATCAGTCGCCGCTAACAGCGAACAGGGGGGTACATTAGAAAATGGATTACTAATGAGGGGGAAGGGGGGGGGGTCATCAGTATACTACAGAGCCGTACTGGGATCAGGTAAATTTTATTGGGACACGACTTCGCAAATTAAGCGGCTCAGGGCTTTAGTAGGTAATTCAAAAAGCAAAATGCTCTCTCTTCGAATAAATAAAATTTTCCTTCAAAGGTTTTCACGATGTGCAGATCAAACCTATTAACATATTTCTGCAAGGAAAAGCCTTTTGTCGGAGACGCCACTAGGAAATTGTTTTGAGATGTTTATCGTCTTTTGTAGTATAACCGATAAAAAAAACCGAAAAAAAATATATCTTCGGATCTACTCGGCATAATTCTCTGATTGAAACTGTAAAATAATCTTGCTTCGAAGAAAAGACAATTTCCTGTAATTTTGTAGCAGTAGCCGTGTCTGGACTACGTACGACAGTCTCGCGCGCACTGTACTCTCGAGCATTTTGGCTCTAATCCACAGCGGTATATGTATCTTGCGGTCTGTAAAGATATGTTTCATTTCGGGGCACTTGTCCCAGGCCATAGAGGTTTGTTCATCGAGCTTGGCAGCGCGGGTCGGTATGGAGATAAAAGCCCAGGTAACGGAACTTTTGAACGTTCTTTACCGGGTAGTTGCTTAGCTTGATAAGGCGCGCCTTCGTCGCCAAAGCACAGCGTTTCCGTCTTGTCTTCCGCAATTATCATGCAGTAGCGCTTGAAAACGCGAATGCTTCTCGAGGAGCTTCTCCAGTAATACAGTTTGATACAAACGTAAAGCTCTGAGAAGCTCTTGAAGCACTTTTCGTTTGAAGTAAGAAATGACTGCTGCAAATCTCAGCACAACTACAGGTCAATAAATTGAACTGGTTTAAGAAAAAAAGAGGAAATGGGATTCTCTATCGCGATTTGTTTTAGTTTTGCATCTGATTGGTTGAGAATAAGAGAGGTAAGAGCTTTTGAGACTTATTATAAAGGATGATGAAGTCAAACCATTGATTGAAATGATTGACAAAACCAGATTGGAGTAAAAAGATCTTTGTGCTTGAAAAATCGAGAGTCCTTTATAGCTTGTTAGCGACGTTGAGTTACCACATTTCTGGCACCATCCATACCCGGATGAGTGGACTGTTTTCATGGGTGTAACATTGACTAGAAAAGCTTGAAAAAATTTAGGTTTCATTAAAATCGAATTTATTTCAATCCTTCTGTTAGCTTGGTCCCACTTTAAAAACAAGAAGGCAAAGGTTAGTTAATCGACTGAGTAATCAGGAGTCGTTTCGTAGAACTTAATCGGAGTACCACAGAACAGTTTGTGACTGTGCTAATCTACTCTAATACATCTTAAAGTCACTGTTGTTCTAAACTTGACATCTAAACCGTCTTAGTCGGAAAGGCAGTTTAGAAGAAAGGTACATAAACTGAATCGATTTTAACTGAAACAATAGCCCCGTCTGGTTTTCATCCAGACTCGAATGCAATAGAAGCAAAACAAAATAATTTGACATAATGGAAGGCCGATGAGTAAAAGTCCTACGATCGACAAGGCGGAGAAAACTGGTCTTCCTGTGTAATCAGTCTGGGGGTAGATATAACGCATACCATCACCGGACGCCCAGTAAATAACTGTAAAGATAATGTAGACTACGCTGTAGAACATCGGGTAAACAACATGCAACAACCGCACGGGCATTGACGTCAGCATGGTATCCGCAATGATTACAATGGCGTTAATCACGTGCACAACAATTCCAAAAGGAGTTACGTTATTATTGATACCTGAGCCGTAAATCAAAGTCCAGAATGAGATAGTAACCAGAAAAGCGGCCGTAGCTGCTATGTTGTAAATTACCCACAAGGCTTCGTGGAACCAAGCCATCGGCGTAGCGCTCGGAGTCTGGGAGCCAGCGGTGAAGGTGACCTCTCCGCCTTTTGTGTCAGTGTTGGATCCTCCGTTACAATAGACGTCTTTGTCTCTCCTGCGTTCTACTGTACAGTCAGTCATTTCCTTAGGTGTGTCACCACCGGAATCTTTTTCATGTCCAGCGCCACTGCCATTTCCTGTTGTCCTGCGATCTCTCTTGTAGTGGATGGCTGTCACTATAGTCGCACAAGTGAAGTACACCGTAACAAGGTAAAAACTCCAGTTGCTCAGCCAAATAAACCAAGATTCAAAGAGAGTCATACTTGCTATCGTCCATCCTAAGCAGAACACAGCAATGACGAAACGGTACATCAGGACAAATAGCGTGCCAAACCACTGAAAGAAAAAAATGCCTTGGAAAATTTATCTATAGATTCTCCTCATTCAGGATTCTTTTCATTTCTTCCCCCTTTTTTAAGGTTAGCGGAGGAAAGCATGTGGAAGCGCGAGGAAGCGCGTGGAAGCTCAAGCAAAGCGGGATGGAGCGTGAGGAAAGTACGAGGAAAGCGTGACACGCTGTCGTCTCATGTTTGCCTTTGAACGCCTAGAAAATGCCAAGAGAAAAACACCTGAGCTGAGGGCTCTCGTACTCCGCGTCGCACAAGCAAAGTATTGAAAAGCATAGTTAGTGAAGGAAATTGATTTGCCGAGGTTTTGAAGCTAAAAATTGCGTAACGCAAATCGATATTGGCTCGAGGTCGCGCAAGTTTCCGAAGATTTCTGATTTGTTTTTTTCACTGCTTTAGGTTGCTCAGTAATTCCGGAGGTTCAGGCTATAGCTTTCGTAAGACAATACCATATATTATTATGATAAATTATTACTAGTGCAAAAAAGGTTTTCGTCTTCGCACAGTATTCATGCTGTGGTTAATTTGAACCCGACCTTTCCCTAAAAGGCTAATAATTAACGGGTGAAAACATGCAAATGTTTATCGAAGTCTTCACTTGAACTTTCGACACTAATTCAAGACGAATGAAATAATTCTATTCTCAAGACAAATAGTTTGACATAACTTATGGTGGAATCAAATATCCCCAATCAAACACTTCTTAAATCAAATTCCTTTAATACTCTATGTGTGCTCTCGATTTAGAGAAAGGGAAATTTTCTAGACTAAGTCATTCAGTAAGCCGCTTAAATGGAACACACACAAGTTTAAAAACTCATTTGAGATGTGTCACGATTAGTCCCAAAACCCTATAAAACGACTATACTTGTCAGATGCGATACAGTAAAACGATTATATGTGTACAGTGCAATATGTAAGCTTATCTGTAATCAAATCCAACAATCTGAACTGTACATCAGCAACAATACGTCGTTGCGCAATTACTCTAGCATTATAAATATCTAGATGAACTCACCGGTGACTGAACAAAATCGTCTGCATTTGGATACAGTAGACGGGCCTGAACGAGACGGAATTCGTCGCGAAGTACCTTACAACACATTGTTTCGAATGATGTCTCTCTGACGAGGAGTAACTTCGATGTTTGTCTCAAAGATGTTTGCATATATTATGAAGTATTAGAGTTCACCGAGCGTGTCGAAATACCTTATGCATGACAAGCTTTAATAATCAGCTATGCTTACATAAGGAAATAGTATATTTGTTCGTGCTAGAGCAGAACATCCGATAAATGTTTGTAATGTCCTTGCCATTATTTACCTTTAGAGGTCATGCTCACTCACAGACCACGTCCTTTACGGTTCTGTATCCAACATTCATTTCCCTCTTTTAACCGTCACGCGAGTTAAAAATTGACAAAAGAAAATTCCGGCGCCGTGTGAGACTTTTCAATTTCAAGGATTCCAATTGACACGCACGACGTCAGTAATATGGGAAAGAGCAATTCTCAAGTTTTTATTGTACAAGTGTCCCTCTTCAAAATTGAACTTCTAGGTTTTACACGAGAGGACTTGTTAATTAAAGGACACTTGTCCAAAAGGTTAATCATTAACTGGAGTTTGACGAATTTGTATTTTTGTTTTGACACCTTCTTAGAGATAAGAATGTGTAAAGACAATTATATTATAAAGGACTTTGATTTAAGACGGTTTGACTGGGGATATCTGATTCCAACATAAATTAAGTCAAATTATTTGTCTTCAGAGTATAATTATTTCATTCGTCTTGAATTAGTGTCTAAAGCTCAAACGAAGACTTCGATAAACATTTGCATGTTGTCATCCGTCAATTATTAACCTTTTATGAATACTGCGCGAAGACGAACACCAGAACTCTTTTGCACTAGCAATAATTCATCATAATAATATATAGTATTGTCTCACGAAAGCTATAGCCTGGACCTCGGGAAATTACTGAGCAACCTAAAGCAGTAACAGATTCAGTATGTGTACCTTTCTTCTAAACTGCCTTTCTGACCAAGACGGTTTAGATGTGAAGTCTAGAATAGCAGTGACTTTAGGATGTATCAGAGTAGATACGCACAGTCACAAACTGTTCTGTGGTACTACGCGTAGGTTCTACAAAAGGAATTCAATTAATTCCACACGAGCTAATCTAAAAACTACTTTAAAGCTGACATAGTGATGCCATGTGGCGTATAAACAATAGCCTCTATTTGCCGTGAAAACAAGCACGGATATTTTTTCGCGGACATTATCTGTGCTGAGGTGCGAACAGTTTTGAGGGAGCGAAGCTCGAGCAAATGTGTTAGCTTTGAGGAAGAGATAATGTCGAAAGCCAAATATAAAAGCATATTTTCGCGAAAAAAAAAGATAATCCTTTTTGAGCGCTGACGGCTGAATTTTAGGTCCTTTGACGAGTGACGGCATTGAGACCCTCTGAATAGAATTTAAAAAAAGGGTAAATAGGAGGAAAAAAAGGAAATTTTAAAGATCACGATTGCTTCAGATTCAGCGTGGGAATATGCCACAGCAATAAGGAAAGCCAGTACCGAAAAAAAGACTCGGTGTTCGCTCTGACGAAGGGCTGACGCTTGACACGTCAGCTTTAAAACTCTTTACGGTGGCCAATTTACACTATCAACTCAGTTGATAATACTAAATTGCCCTGTAGTCTCCAAAGAACTACCTCTTGTATAAGGCGAGTATGAAAGATCCAATCCTTCCGATAATTCTCTCTTGGGTAGGGCCAGAATAATGTATGGAAACATCCCTCCATTAATTATCTATTTATGTCTTGGGCAAGTAATCGTTTATGTCATTAACCGATGAGGAGGAGAAGATGGGTCGTAGTGCTGACCACTACCACCACCACCACCCGCTGTGGCCTATGAGCAAAACAGTTTCTTGGTGTTAATATTACATGGACTCATTTCTGGTAACGTCTGTTTTTTCATTCGCTCCTATCAAAGAAAGATGGAAGAGTATAGTCAGATTACAATAAACCTTCCATCCTCTTAAAATAATATTGTATAGCGAAGTATTTTAGGCCAGAATAGGCTAATATAACGCTGATGCTAAATTCTTCTCGTAGATACAGTGGTAGGAAAAGTGCACTCAGGTACCGGAGGCACTGCCTTTGTTTGTGACTTGTGGATGTTGAAGGATATATCATCCTATATATGATAAACAACATCGGATCTTATTCTAAATGGATATTTGTTTACGAAAATAAAACTACGTCTGTCATCTAAAAAAATTCTATAAATTTTTTTCACTTTTGGGGAACCTCTTTTTAAAGATCAAGTCTTATGAATTCTATTTTTCTGTCTTTTTTTTCTGATTAATATTGAATGACGGTGGTGCGACTTGATCGTGACACAAGCGGTGGATTTGTTATGACCTCTGCAATGTGGGCTGAAAAGTTGAGGCATAATTCCCAGTTTTTAAGTTTGTAGTTTGTGTAGTGGTTACATCTCACCCTAATGGGAAAAAACAGGATTAACTAATTTCAATTTTACAATGGTTTGATCAAAGCTGACTGAAGCAAATACGGGTGGAAATATTAATTAACGATTTGTTACAAAATATATTTACTTAACTGTGTACCCGGGCACCGGTAAATTCGACCTGTTAGCGGGTAAGTCCTCTGATTTCAATGATCACGCTTATTCCCTCCTCCGCGAAAAGAGCATTCAATTTTAATGTGTTTATTTACCTTTTTTCCTATCGTGCGTCGCTCTGTTGCCATTGAGAGAGGACCATTCGATCAGTTCACACAGGCAACCACTCTGGAGCAGTGGGTGACTACTCTTCAGTGAGATTAAGATAAGTAATGGATCTGGCACTACTTTTGGGTTTTCTTACAGCTCTAGACTTCGGCTTCAGCCAAGGTTTGTGGTACAGGCATTTTATTGATCTAAATGATTCGACTCTTTTTTGTCGATCTAACCGGGTAAGTTTTGTAACGCTAAGATAATCTATAAACTTTGCAAAGTTGCAGCATATCGCTAAAAGAAAAGACTTAGAAGATTGCGCGTCTCTAACTGGCAAGAAATAAGAGTTTCCTTTGAAATATCGTGATTTAGAACATGCCATTGCACGTTGGACGTGGCAATACCAGGGATCTTGCCTGAAAGAGCATCTTTACAAACAAAGTTCTTTACTTCTTTTCTATTTGCTAGTATGCCTGCATTAATGATTCAGAAAACCAGCTTTTTAACTTAACCGACGTGTTAATTTTTAAATACAAGATCTCGAAGACAATTAGAGAGTAGAATTCATGGAAAACGAAACTCCTTACTTACAATGGTTTTGTTATACGAAAATGCATACATTACTACTGATACACGGTATTTACATAGAAGCAGTTGTCGATGTAAAGCATTCAAAATGTACCCTAGTTCAATTTTTTAAAGCCAGATAAAATAAAAACTGTATAAAATTGCTTAAACGAGAAAAAAGTTAAACTTTCTACGGAGTGCAAAAGTCATACTGTCACAATTTTGCTAAAATCTTTTTAAACTGAATTAAAATCTAAAGCTGAAGAAAATGTGTCACATATATTCCTGCTGCCAACTGTTTTACGTTTCTTCCTTCTACCTTTACAGAAAATGGATGCTCAACTTTGTTAGCAGGAGATCAGTCTTTCAGCGAAACTCTTGAATATCCTAATATGACATGGTTTGAGACTCCGTCGATTGTTCCTCTCAGTGCAGGTAGAATAAAGAACGCTTATCGCAATTTAGTTCGGTATGGATTTTAGCAGAATACATCGTACTTAGGCACAACAAATGATGATATAATGCCGTTTATTATCTAATTCTATTTCCCCGCCCCCTTATTATCCTTTGTGACGTGATCGTCCAAAGAAAGTTGAAGCAGAAGCAAAGACCCATTTTCTCCTGTCGTTTTCTGGATCGTTTTCAGTTGGCAAAAGGTTCTAATAGCATCGTGAAGGCAACTTGATTACGTTCAGGGACTGTTGGCAAGAAGATCAGCGGTTATTGGGCATTCTAGTTATCAATACATAACTATCAGAAATGATAAAGAGGATCGACCAAAATCCAGAGGGTGAAGTTGCAATTAACTGTTGTACATGTGGGTCACGATAAATTTTGCGATCCATAATTAGATATGTGGTAAGTTAATTCGGATTTCAAACGAAATGCCTCTACTTAGAGAAAAAGAATTCGAATGCGTTTCTGATTTCTGTGCACTTCCCGCATGCTGGAAGGAAATAGGTGATTGCTATATCGAAGTTAAGTAAAAACATAACGTTTTTTAATTGAACTTGCTTGAAAGAAACTTTCTCAATCAAACACTGTTCAATGCAACTTTTTCCCACCAGCTTGCACAGGTGACGAGCCACTTGGACTGGAGAGTGGTCTAGTCCTAAACCAACAAATGACAGCATCCTCCCAAAAGAGCAGCCTCTACGCTCCCTTTAATGCACGACTGAACCGCAGAAAAGTTCAAGAAAGGAAAGGAGGATGGTCACCTCTAAGAAGTAACACAAACGAATATCTCCAAATTGACTTCAACCAGAATGTTAAAATCACGAGAGTTGCGACCCAGGGGCGTCGTGACTGGAACGAATGGGTAATCACCTACACTCTTCAATATTCTGCCGATGGTCAATCTAGTTTTCAAACATACCAAGAGAACGGCATTGATAAGGTGAGCGGCGGTGATATTTTTATGCGTCTAATGTACTCTTATTCACGTTGCAGAGACATTCTGAGTACCATTAATTTTTACAGGTGTTTTCCGGCAACAGTGACAGGGACACTATTGTCACCCATACTCTCATGCAGCCAATAGAAGCTCGGTACGTCCAAATAAATCCAAAAACATGGCATCGCTTCATTTCAATGAGGGCAGAGTTCTACGGCTGCAGGCTTTCGGGTAAGCTTTGCATCCTCTTATGCTGATAATCATCATTATTATTATTGAAGTAAGCCTGCTCTCGGTTGTTCAAAGGCTGGATAACACTATCCAGCGGATAAATCGCTATTCAGCGGATAACTGTTTACAAAACTTACTACCCTATCGGCTGGATAGCACTTTATCCGGTGGATAGCATTGTCTACGGTTCAAAAAAACCAGGGCCAGAATGATAGTGTCTTGAAATGTTCAATACAGGTCATACATCGTTGCATCAGATAATTAATTCTCGTGCAATGAACCTTATCAAATAAAAAGCCATGATCCTCGAAAATGAGCGGCATTTTTAGAAATGTACAAAAGAAGCCAGAAAAAAAATCCAGGCTTCTACAGGGAGTTCGCACGCGTGCCTCCCAGAGATTTGTTAGACGCTACTACCAACTGAGGTATGAGGCCACGCGACCCTCATGCTCCACATTCTGTTATTGCTCGCCTCTTCAAGTATCATGAAATTTCGCCATCGTCTGAAGAGTTTTTTTGTCAGTTAACTAACATGGGTCACGATTCGAAAACGTTTGCAACATTTTTAAAAATAAAGTGAGTAAGTACCGTTGTAAAATTGACCAGAATCTGTTTTAACAAGGAAATGAAATGAAAAAGTGTAGTATAGCACTTGTAAAATAAACGACATCTGGACTTCCATCACTCAGTACCTCTTTGCGCGCCGCACCAATAGTCTCTAAATATTATGTGTGTCTGCTGACAGACCGGTACAAAGTTCTTGGGCGGACCGTTCACATGAATTTTGTGCGAGAACACCTAACATCGCAGCGAAGCATCAACTTCGGCGATTCCCAAGAGTGGCCCAATAACATTGACCTTCAAGTTATGGCAGACACCATTGTTGTATCGGTATGATAATAAATTTCTGGCCTATACTATTATCCTCAAATACATTGGAGCAAGACCTATTTTTTTAAAGTAGGTGCAGTTGATGAGGGCGAGAAGCGGCTAGCTTAGAGGGAAGCAGATAACTGCGCAGGGAAGTACGAGGAAATGAAATAAAAATTACTGCTCTGAAGTTCAAATGACGCCATCTAAGGCATGGAAGAATTTTCTGCTTGTCGCTCAGTTGCAAAAAGTTTCAGGTCTGCAGGAAGTGTTGAGGAGGAAGTTTCACAAATTTAGGAGTTTTTTTATCCTGTGAAGAATATCGTTTATCTTATGAAGATAAGAAAATGGCGATCTGGCTAGTTATTTTGGTCCTTAGGTTCTGTTACAAAACAACAACAAAAACAAAAACGCAAAATAAAAATCCCAAGTAAAGAAAGAAACGCGCTGCTTGCTATAACCAAAGCTGAAAAAAAAAAAACCCGACTGACACAACGGCTCACCCCAATTGGATAACCGAAACACTTTAACGGCGTTTGGAATGCTAATAGACTTTGGTAAAACAATAAACTTGTATTACGCAGGGAAACATCAAATTGCGTGGCGCAAAGAAGTTGACAATGTTTAGCCGTAAACTGGCATTTGTTGACTCAAGTAGTAAATTGGACATCAGAGCTCCGGCGGTGACGAAAAGCTGCAGTGCAGGAACTCTCGGCAAAGATAGATGCGATGGAAATCATGGAGCAGATGGACCAACTGGTAAAGCAAATAACGCCTTATCGAATTCTCTACACTCTTTAAAATAAAAAGGAGGTGTATTTCTCTCTACATGGATTTATTGGAGCGCAACCACTCTTAACTGCTTGTAAGCCTTTCTCGAATGGTTAAGGACACAATCCATGATAGAGAAAAGAAAGAATTAAAGAAAAATTTCTTTTTATTATCTAGAAGGAAATCAATTAGCGGAAAGTCTTTTTTGATTATGATAGCAAGAATTGTTTTCACAATGGCTATTAGCGTGTAAGACAGATTTATTCCAAATTATTTTAGAACTATTATTATTTCTGATCAAATCTAATTAGTAGGTAAGTAGTTAAGTAAACAATTCATTTAAAGAAGGTAGCAGTCAATAGCTACTAGGCTAATAAAATTGTGTTCCACAACACATATGATAATACTAATACATATATAGATATCATAAAATAAAATAAACACATTATCATAAAAATAGAAGTAGATCTCAAGGATTAAATGACACAGTCAGGAAACTATAAAATGATTCGAACTCTGTTAAAATTGCCAAACACGATTGACTTTTGAGGTTTCTAAGAGTATGAATGTGGTCCTTTCTTTTTCATTTAATGTGCAGAGGTATTTTATTTATTATTATTAGTGGAGATATTTGCGGATACGGCTGAAGGATACATCAACATACTCACAGATGGAGGAAATGGTATGAGAGGCAGCGACGGCGAAGACGGCGCCAAAGGACCTGATGATAACCATCAGGTATAACAAAGGAAACTTTAATTACTTAAGAAACAAATTATTATTTTTTCCTCAGTGAAGCGTTCCTTTCAAAGCTGTGTATCGGCTTTATGGAAAAGCATATATCTGATTGAACAATAGAGTACCAGGTCTGTCAACTGCGATTGTTTTGAGAAGACAGATATTCACCATAGGACAAGTATCAAAGAAATCATATCTTTGCATTTGTTTGGTGTCGGATGACATCGTTAGATTTTAACTTCCTCTGTGAATTTTGAACTATGGTTGTGGGCTTCAATTTCATTGGTAATGGATTTCAAAATGCCACGATCCACTTTCCATGATATCCGTTGTTGCCATGATAACCTGACCCGGTATGTTGTAATTTATGATCCATCAAATATTTTTTCTCGCAAGCGATTTATCTTCCTTATAACTCACAGTTTTTTACAAGCTTCGCTCTAAGAAAGCTGTTCTCATGTCGGAACAGATAATTACCATCAGTGGACAAATTTCTTGGCATATTTTTGCGCCAAATGGAGGCTGTTGTTTGTATAGATAGACAAAAATTTGGATAATGGTAGATAATGATTTTCAAATTCCACTCAGTCTGAAAGATAGTATGTAAGTTCTGTAAACCCTTAAAAAAAGTCTTTAAATTTCCAAAGTTGATGAAAGTATTTTTCGTGTTTTTTTTTATCTATCACATCGCTTTTCATTTTGTTCATTTATTACTCTAAAACTCTTTCATCTCGACCTAGCAACGTAACAGGAATCGGAGGGACGATTGTGAAGGTGACCAGTACACCACAAGAAACAATCAAGGTGTAATAACTGCATGTACATCAAGAATCCCCGGGATACCAGGTCGAAAAGGAATGCGAGGATATCCTGGAGGATATGCTGGGAATGCAGGTTATTGACTGATAAGCAAGTCCTTATACACGATAAACCCCTTTCCTTTGGGTTGTTGGTATATCAACTGAGCCCCAGATCACTGATTTTTTCGTAACCGAAAAGGAAATGTTGAACAATTTTAGGATAAAGCATTTTTTCTACGTTTTAATTTGTTAGCAGATTACTTGGGATCCTACCAGTCGCTTTTACAACTTACGCCTTTGTTTTCCTCACGTTCTCGGTAGGAAATGGTGGAGATGCAGGGCATCAAACAATCAGCATCAGAAGCCTGCGGGGGAAGATGAATTTTAAGACATGTCGTGGAACAGGAGGCCCAGTAGCTGCTAATGGAAGGGGAGGACTGGGTAAGAGAATTATATTCAGTGGTGTCACCTCCATTTGATTAATGTTTGCTCTCTTATTCAATCAAACCTGAGAATAATTTTTCAAGTAAAATTTAACCTATGATTATCTCCCAAAATTATTAGTAATAGTGTTTTATTTAGCGAGGTTTAATTACATTAAGCGCTAAACTATGGCATAAAATAGTGTTTTTTATCGATTTTTTAATTTCATATTTATTAACTGTAGATCCTGTATTAAGCGGAAAACTTGTGATATCTCAGCCATTCCCCGCGAGTGAGGAAAAAGAGCATTGAATACTTTGTGTTGTTATGATACCTAAAAAATCAATCCCTTTTTGGCGATTTTCTTTTACAGCTGGTGATGAAGAAAAAAACTAATGATAAAGGAAACGAAAATGATTTGACTTGTAGATATTATGTACAAGCCGCGCTGCCAACATGTGGCTTCGTAGCTCAGCGCAACTAGTACGCAAAAAAACCCAGTTTCGATTCCGGCCGAAGCTTAGACTTTCTCAGGATTCCTCTCCATGTCTTCATTGTAGCTCACTTACAGGGACCACATCTTTAGTAATTTATCATCTGCAGATCAAAGTGAAATTCATTTGATTTAATTGCGATAAGATTCCCTTACGGAAGCGAATAATCCTCTAAAACGTACCTGACATCCAACGTATGGCTTAGCTGAGTTACATGTGAGAGGCATGGGTTCGAATATTTTCCAAGACTGAATTTTCCGGCTATGCCTCTTTTCTGCACTTTTTTTGTTCATTGAAACTTACTCACGCGGATCATCTCCTAAATTTGATTTTCTTTTCAACAGGAGGTCAAGGAGGACGTGGAGGCCATGGGATTAGATGTTATCATGACCGAGTCTGTTGGTACACTGCGTGTACCGGACACTGTTACAAGCGTGGTACCTTACCACAGGCGGCGCGCGGGCCTCCTGGCGATAAAGGACCTGATGGACCAGGTTAAGTGGGTTTAATTCTTCAACTGTGTCAAAAGTATAATACTCTCTAAGCTATTACTGAAACCCTGTTGCCACTCAACTGTTCTAAGGAGACAATAGAATAAAAGAATAGAAAAGAATATCTTGTTGTTAGCCAACTGCTCTTAGGATAGTGTAGAAACACTTCTTGGATGGGAGTAAGGTATAGCTTACACCGACAGACTGACTGACTGCATGTATATGAATGAATGAATATTTCATCAATGAATGTCCATTTTACTTACTGAGCGACTGACTGATTGCCTTGTCTATTGACGGATCGAATGACTGAGTTTCCGGCTTCCTGACTGACTAACTGTTTAAAAGACTCACTCACTCACTCACTCACTCGCTCGCTCGCTCATCGACTGATTGAGTATGCTATAGCTTTCAGGCTTACTTATTTATAGTTTTGGGTAATTCTTTAAGTTGTGGTTCGATCTCGATTAGTTTGAAATACATAACATTCTCTTTTATCATACCATAGCTTTGGTGATGCCTGGTACTAATGGTGAGGTAGCAAACTCCTACCTTCAAAACTCAGAGCTCAGTCGCAGCCAAAAAGATATGTATCCATTGCCACTGCTAAAGGTGATAACGAGATACGCTGAAGACCTTGTCTGGGCAAACAAGACAGCAGACGCCAAAGCAGTCTTGACCTTTTTAGTCAACGTTACAGACGGAAGATCAGACTCATCGGAACTGGAAAAGCGTGAGTATAACTATCAAAGCGTAGTCATTCAATGCAAAAACATAATTATGGACAGCGACCAAATGTATCGCTTCTTCTTAAATTAGATGCACAACGAAGGTTGACATTCCTAGACGCTGCAGGATATGACAGATTTGGAAATAATGAATTGTTTGCTCCTCTTATTAAATGGGAGACATTCAAGACAAAGCTGACAACATTGAGAGACAACGCTAGGGACTACGAGAGTGCTTACAATGGAATTCAGACATCGATTCAACAAAATGCTGGGATAAAACAAATAGCACAAACTATTTCTACAGCAGCGAGGATTCAGGTCAACAGCCAAAAATCCAGACTTCAAGATGCGAAAAAAACAGCAATGGACGAAAAAAACGTTTACGTCCAAGTATGTAGCAAATGTCCTGTATTGTTATGTCATGGACCTGTACATATCTAGTAATATCATAACCATTTTCTTTAATTTAGGCAAAATAATATTTGGTTTTGAGAAATAAGCAAAGCGAACAAGATAGATAACGTTTGGAACACGAAAAGAGAAATTCCATATCTATAAGCAACCATGTATTATTTTGTTTATTATATAAACACCATAGGCCTTTCCTGACAAGGAAATTCGACAGATGACCTTGGATTGGGAATGGTGAACTCTGTCATTCATTTCTCAACCTGACCGGGTGGCACGAAAGGCGACTGACGTGTCAGCAGCTGATTGACGATATAAATCGCACAAAGAAAATTATCCAAATTTTACACGTGTACAGTTTATATAATAGAGTTCCTTAAACCATGAAACTTTTTTCCGTTTAAATTGAGTACTTAGCTAGTTTATTTGTTACACTTTCTAAAGAAGCCAAGATTAACCTAATACATTAATTTCAGTTCCGAATATTACGAAATCCTCTCTTGCGTGTTTTTTTCCTGCATTGTTGTTCTCCCTGTTGCTGGAGACTGTATGTTTCCTTCATTTGTTCATCCCATCTTATCTAATCTGAATAGATTCCATGTTGCGGTCGTCTTATAAGTGATAGATCGCAGGTGACGTCAAAATGTAGCAAGAACAAAAAAGTACCACACACGGCTGTCTTCTGCGATTCTTTACTGTACAGACCCACTGCAACATCGATTCTATTTGATTTACATAGAAAAAGGCAATATGCTGTTGATGGTTTCGTCATCTATGCGTCTTTCATCCAACAGATCATAAGTTAGAACCATTTAAAATGTTTCTATAAATTTTTTAGTTAGTCATCTAATTTTATTTTATTTGATTTTTGCTGGATTAGGCTATCACCCAACTGGAGCTTAACATGAATGGCTCTCTTACAGCTCTATCCAATGAGCTGCCTGATGGAGATGCAGATGCAGAGTTCACAAAGCGAGACCTCTTAGTTGTACTCCAAGGACTCGCAGGGATTGTTGCTGCAGGTACAATAAGTGATCCCTTCACGGTTGCTTCCATCACTTTCAGAGTGATCGGGAATTTTGCAACGCAATGCAACACCGGGACACTCCAAGAAAACAAAGACAAACTCTTAAAGTGGCTGACATTTGGTAAGAATTATGCTGCTCTTAAAGATTCAAGTGAATTGGATTTTACCCAATTGGATGTAGAAGCTGTACCGGAAATCATGAAGGTAAAATACCATATGTCTTCTAAAATGATCACAATTAGTTGCAAAGAGCTTTCGAGCCATCTTAGATTTGTGCAATAAAGTTGTTGTTTCAAATTTCAGTCATGATGAAGGGGTAAATCCTACACGAGACCCTGCTTGAGATACGTAACGGCTCGATCAAATTTCAACTACAAAGTAAACCCTTGGGGTTTGGAGATAAGGCTCTGGTCTTATGTTTACTTTAACAGGCATGAGTTTTCGGTTTATCTGCGTCAAGGCAATTTTCCAATTATTTTTCATCCCAAATTATTTTTCCAAATGAAATAAAGAGTGGTCAAAAATTGAAAACTTTCCTCGAATTTTCACACTGATATATGCAAGCAATCAAATGGCACTCATATTCTATTTCGTTCCATACTGTTTTCCAAGGCCAATCTAGAAATAAACAAGGAAGGTCTTATAGCGGACCTTGGATGCATGTTAAACGAGGCATCGGGGGCATTTAAAAGGGAGATGGAAAGCTTCTTTATTTCTGGTGCAGCAAGGATTGACCTCATAGCCAAAGTTATCGACTTATAATTTTGACATTCAAAATTTAGAGGCAACGTCTAATGAACTAGCAAGTCTTCGTAGTGCTGGCGGTAAGATTTATTCCTTTGTAAGAGATAGCCTCTAGTTATGAATGTTAGCGTTGAAGACGTGCTCTGATTGGCTACTCAAACTCCGAGTATCCTTTGCTATTTACTTCCGACCAATTCGCGTGAGATTTGCGCCCAAGGATTTTTTAACTGTTGTAGGAATAAATGAGTTAAATTATCTTTTCGTGCTATACCATCTCATTTGTTTAGTATATACTAAAACAAACATTCATCTCAGTGTTTGTGGCCAGAGGTAGACATTAACCTATCCGCCTCGCGACGATAAATATCTTCCATTAGCCACCTCCACTACGGAGAATGACTTTTTATCCTTTTTACCCCAAAATTGCTTTATTTAACTTGAACTTAAAATCAATATTCACACAAGTATAGCCTAGGATATATTTAATAAAATGCATCATGAACCTGACGTACAGTGTACGTTAATCATGGGATAAGACTGTTCCCAATTTCCAGCCCGAGCCTACGATACTGTAATCCTCAGCGGCTGGATTATTTTGGGCTTCACATCTAATATAACTCACTCGCTGGAGCCATTTGTTTATCCCAAGTGTGCATCTGCTTTAAACCGTTCATAACCTTCACGTTGAACATTATCACCTTCAATTTACTCACTCAGCTTCACCTATAGCTGAAAATATACAGCAGATTTTTCTCGACGATCTCCTGACTTCCTATCAGCAAATGGAAACCAGTTTCACCAAGAATCTCATCCAGCTATACAAAGGCTTCGAGTTCCGCACACTCTGGAATGTAGATGGCACCCTAAAAAATCACCAACGACTCGCAGTTGGGGCTGCTCCCGGCACTGGACAACTGCGGGGAGTTTTAGAGTTGAACAACGCTTTGACAGCGTTCAATTCTGTTCTTAGGAAAGGACAGCAATGCTTTTCACAGTTCATTCACCAAACCAGCACTCACAAATGGTCTTTTAACAGTACCACACACCCTTTAGTAAGTATACGCATACTGCTAACGACGCAAGCGCAGAATCAGGGGAGATAACGTTATATAACATGCGGACTAAACTCCTGCACTCTCTGTCTAAATATAAGCTATCTGCAGATGCTATCTTATCACAGATATTGGAATGGCGATTGTGGGATTTGCCATACGGCACCTGTAGCGAACGCAGCGGTAAATTATTTCTGGGGGGGGAGGGGAGGAGGGTGTGGGCTTACATGACAGCTACCTCCATCTGAAATTCCCATGAAATCTTGGTCAGAGGCTTCTAGAACAGTAAAATATAGATATAATGAAGTTGACAGTGGATAAAAGGAAAAAAGCTATATTAAGTAAAAGCCGAGCAAAAAAATGTGAAAAACAAACGGCCAAAGATAATATGAACCTACCTGAAAATTTGGATATATTGCTTAACGTAACTAACTTTTAGCGTCAAGGAAATGATAGACAGTACCGCGTGGGGAATAAGACTGAGTGCTAGGCGAGCCCACTGTTCCAAATGAAGCTTAGTTGCCATAAAACCAAATGATGTGTAGATCGGTAAGTGAGGCACCTGATGGCTATATAGCCAACGGATGCTGACTGACGACAATGATGAAGATGAGTTTAAGACAGACCAGACATTCAATTACTACACTTCAGTGCGCATTCCTCCTGCAAAATGTCTCCATATTTTTGCACCTGGTTTATCAAACACTTTGTTTAATGCTAATAAAAAGCCAGTGACTCTTTTCTTTGTTTTCTTTGTAGTTATTTAGTGACTTGCACAATGGCAAAGCGATGTTTGATTTATCTATAGACGACAGTTGTAGCGATTGCTACAATATACGCTTACTAAAGGTAAGTGGTAAGTGTATTGATCAAACGATATGAATTCCCAAGCTAAGTTTAATCGCTATTTTTGAGGGCCAAATTTATAAATTCATCTATTCATGGTTCCGCCTGTAATCTACTTATTCTTCAAATAATTTACTTTGGGAAGGTTCCTCTGACTTCTGTTTTTCTATCTCCATACATGTCTACCTACATCTCTTTATCAATTTGTGTCTGGCTGTTTACCGACCTTACTGTCCATTTTCCAGATTATCTTACTGTCTGACTGTCTTAGGACCCATTTATATGGTCTCGGGTACCCAAACAACCTCCATCCCCTCTTCGAGTTACCTTTGCTGAGCGAACTTTTAACTTATTTCTCTGAAAAACTCAACCAAACGTTTACATATAAATGGTAAACTCTTCACGGGGGACGAGACTACTCTGGGGGGCAGGTCTTCTCGCCTTGGCAGGAAGGGTAATACTCTCAGGCGGGACGACTTATGTCATACTGAAACACTTCAGATCGCCTACCTGAGACGAGAAGGCTCAAATTATTTCCAGAACCTGTGTTTTTCGGTGAGTAAAGAGGATGATGAGGGGACAGTTGTTACAACTCACATTTCCGTATGAACACTCTCTAAAGTTATTTCGAGGCAAGGGTTGCCTCGGGTCAGAGTCTAACACAGTTCATATTCTCACTTCTGACCGTCCGATTTTCTAACTTTGTAACTTGCTGTTTCAAAAGTTTCTTACTGTTTAACCATCTGATTGTCTGACTCTTTACTCACTGACTATAAACTGTCTGTCTGTTCACCTGTATTCCGGAGTATATTGAGATTACTTGTTTTAATTTTCTATTTTAGATGTACATTGAGCTCTACGGGAATGGATCTCAAACCAAAAACAACCTCCCGGAAAGAGTCTACCTTGGGTTAAAACATTCGACAGGATCGTACTTTAGAGATGGAAATGGAGCAGTGAGGGAATTCCGACAGCCATTGACATTACAGCATAGAACGCTTAAGTTCAACCGCTTTGCAATAACTGATACAGCTAAATGTGTAGAAATGCAACTGGCTGGAAACGGTGGGCATTTATGTCATACTTGGTCGTTTATATCCAGTCTATTGGAAAATGAGGGTCTTTTTTAATTCAGCATTGAAAAGATCGAAGAGCTGTGTAATAAACATTATTCAATAATGATATACCGAGCAATCAGCACGCAAACGTATACCTTAACGGTTCCTTTAATGGTTTGACGTACCTAACACGGTTAAAGATCCTTGGAGACAGTTTTCAGTGGTTAAATGTGGTCTAACTTAGAAGTTCCTCGGTGCTTGCTTAAAAACATTTAACAACCAAATTTTTCTTTGAGTTTCTCTCATTTTAGTCATCACCAACAGTACACATAGGTATAAAATGTTGTGTTTCCCCTCCGGTAATTCTGAGGCTAACACGAATGAAGATTTCAGAGTCAGACACAAAAACCGTTCGGCTTAGATAAGATTTTAGCCAACACATCAGAGATTAAATAACAATGTAAATTACTCTTGATCAATTTATGATTCATTGATTTGCGGTATTGAACGTAAAACATACAGTTATCAACCCTTTACACCCTTAAGTCAGTATACATATCCTCCATAATGTTTTATAAAAATGTTTCTTCAACAAACAAGAGCTTCTTTAGTTAGTGAACATTTCCTCTGATTCTCGTCACCTGTGTGATACAGGGGTGATATTGTAAAGAGGAATTACTGAGATGCCAGTCATTCTTAGGGGTTAATGGGTCAATAATACCTTCATGAAACTCACCTTCATGACTGTGATCTTCCAGGGGATTCTTCTTTCTGTTTGGGAGAAGACGACGTACGGTTGGTACCAATGTGTTGCCATTACCTCAGCGGTGACTCGTGTAAAGACCGACTCGGCGGAGGAAATGAGTGCCAGAGTCCATTTGGAACGTACGAATTGACTATACCAAAAGACGATCAACTTATTTGTTCAACAGGAGGTGCACAAATAACGGACAAAAACTGCAAAGATTTTGATGTGAGTCTCCGCATATTAAATATTTAATTATAATTCTTCTCTTTAATTTTTTTATAAATGGATTTTTCCTTCTTTCTTGTGGTTTACGCTGGATGAAGTTTTGTCTTCAGGCAAATTGACAAACGGTGATAAGTTATCGCTTAACACTCATCCAATCATTAACCCGGTCTCTCAGTAATTGCAAAGCTAGGACCAGAAGATGTTGATTAAAAAATTAATTCATATGATTTCTCGAATGGCTGCCTGATGTGTTCATCGGCATCTTTTAGGTACCACAGAACTTCGGCGTATCATATGTGAGTAGCGTCTGAGTTCCAACTGGGAAATGTACTCACATTTTTCAAAAACAAGTTGCCATCGTGGTTTTCCGTGCTCATACCAAGCAAAGTGTTAGCGTTACCACGTTGTTGTTTTGCAGAGGACAGAAGAAGAAATAAACAAAGTTTTAGAAGTTGCTGTCGCCGTCGTGATTTGTTTAAGGTTTCCAATAATGACAAAGAGAGAGAGCCTAAAATAAACGAAAAAGTAGTTTTAGAAAGAGCAGCGTGAAATCTCTTTGAAATAAGACTTAAATTAGCTGACGCAGGAAGCGAGTACAAGGTAGAACATAACGCGTACATTGTTTTAAATTAGAGGCATCTGATTTTCATAGTTTTATTTCTTTTTCTTTGAAAGCGTACCATTTATACCCATATGAACATCTGGGTACTCAACTTGCTCTGGACCGGTCAGTATCCCACAACACCAGACGATTCTAGATGTGGCCATTCTGCTCTTACGAAGTCTGCTGTGAGGCGCCCCCCCCGAAGACAAAGTTTTAAAAAAGTTTGAGACATAACTAAAACACGATGAATTCCAATATAAATTAAACCGAGAAAAATAAAATGATCAAGTGACGCAATGACAAGTAGATGAATAAAATAGAAAATGCACTGTCTGATCTTACGCTGATTGTCTGTTATTGTTAAAGTTGTTTAGACTAGTTCTTTTGTTTTCTTTATGTCACTATTTTAACCAACCGAAAGATTCTTAAATAGTACTTTCGTTCATTTTCGTTGAAATTAAGCGCCGAAAACTGTGGAATTGGTTCATGTGTTAAACTCAAACTGTATCCGCTCTAATAAGGAAATCTTGAGTTTTCTTCTTCAATCTCTCCCTGAGTTAATCTACCAGGTGGTTCTTCTTGGCTTTCGAACAGTAATTCTAGTTCCTTCTTCGTTCTCATAAGCTGGTGAAAAAAAATTGAAATGTCGATACTTTGGATCAGCCAAAACTAATTATTTATAGATATATTTTCCCCCTCCCCCCCCCCCCCCCTTATCCCACCTGTTTAACATTCTGTGAATGAGTCATGTGATTGGATTGTTTGGAATTTCTGCACGGAAATTTCTAAGGAAAATGTCAATTTGGTGAATCAATATCATGCTATCCCAAAGATGACTCGATTTTAGTATATCAGACAATGGTTGGCCTTGTCAAACACAAATATCATGAAAATTGAGACTGTACCTTTCTAAGAAATTCCACTCACACTTATGCAGAGTATCACACGACAAACTCTATTAAATCTGGTTGACATGTTCAAGTCTGAAATGAATTTCAAGTCCAATTTATCTAAAACTGGTTTGACTTGCATTGAAATAAATCCACAATCAAAGAAAATAAAAATCAGACAAGTTTTTAAAATTTGTTTACATGAAATTCATTAAAAAGATAGCAATGTATATGAATTCAAGCTTACTTCACATACAGAAGCTGCCCCTCTGGCTGGTGTAGTGTTTTCTGAGTAATCCAAGATCCTACTGGCCACATAAACAAGACTGCAGAGCATGAAAACATACCTATGGAGTGACTCCATAACGGTATAAGACACATGGAATGTAGAAAGGTTTTTCCATAAATCAAAAAGTAAATGAAATGAGCCAAATTTACCTTAAATGCACGAAGTACCTCTAGCCTGTAGTATTTTCTAAGCCACCTAAGATCCTACCGGCTAAAGGTACACGACCAAGAAACAAGAAGATATTCATGGAAAAAGTGGTTCTAATATAGTATAAGACTAAATGGAATGCCCAAAAGTAAAATTCAAAGCAAACTGTAATAAGAATTGGGCGAAGGGATTAAATATGCAAGCTGTACCTCTAGTATTTTCTAAACCTCCTAAGATCCTCCCAACTAGAGGTACCAAATAAAAAAAATAACTGTAAATTTATTCCTGAAAAAAAGTGATTCCAAGGAGTGTAAGATTAAGTTGGAGTGCAGAAAATCATTTTGTAAAGCGTAAACCTCGCAAAGGTATCTACTTAGTATGCCAACTCCGCTCTGCGTAGCTTAACGTGATTCGCTAGCTAAGTATAAAAGCATGACGAAGGTTAGAGATTGACGGCTCGGTAAGCGTCACCTTTATACTCGGTGACCCACATTTTCCTCGACAGATCTGAGCTAGTCCCGAAGTAATAAGTTGTATGTAAGATAGAGAAGGATAAAGAAAACTTCAACTGTATTAAGAGTGTTAGAAACTATCTCTAACAATATTTTTCAATAAAAACTTAGACGCGTACTTATAACATGCACCCTCTATTCAGTGTAGGAAAATACTGCTTTAAACCAAAGTTGGAATAATCAGCACCACGTTTTATATAATCTCGCCATAAATGCTTTTCGCGAAACAACAATCTAGGCCAGACTGGTACTGTTTTGTGACTTTTGTGACATGACATGAGGTTAAATAATCGTAATCTATTTGCTATACTTGGTTTTCATCCAGACTCGTATGCGATAAAAACAAAACAAAACACTTTGACAAAACGGAAGCGCAATGAAGAAAAAACAAATCAGGGAAACGGCAGAAAAGACTGGTCTCCCTGTGTAATCGGTCTGGGGGTAGATATAACTCCTACCAAACGAGCTAGTTCCACCGGACGCCCAATAGATCACCGTAAATACGATATAGGCTATTTCGTAGAGCATAGGGTAGATGACATGGAATAAACGCACTGGCACTGAACTCAGCATGGTTTCAGCAACTATAAGGATGGAGTTAACGCCATGTACAATAACTGACAGGGCGTTTGGGTTTTTCCCGGATATGAACGTCCAGTAAGATAAAGTCACAAGAAGGGCGGCAGCTGATGCAATGTTATATATTACCCACAAGGCCTCATGGTACCAATACATTGGCGTCGCTCGTGTTGCTTCAAAATTGCCATCAGTGGGAAAAGTGTCATCATCTCCTTGCTCACGTCCTTCTCTGCATCTGTTGTTAATCTCACCTTCCTTTCGTTGTGGAGCCTCTTCTGTTTCAACATCCATTCTATACTGGAAAATATTTTTTCTCATTTTCCATTGTTTCTTATAGTGAAGAGCTGTGATTGTGCAAGCACAAATGAAATACGTTGTGATGAAAGAGAAACTCCAATTGGTCAGATAAATGAACCACTTGAGTCCGTTTTTTCGGTGATAAACTCCACTCGCAATCGTTGTGCCAAGGCAGAACACGGCGACGATAAAACGATACAGCAAAACAGTCAACGTTCCAAACCACTAGGAATATATAAAATATTAGCATAAGCATTGTATCTGAATCGTAAATCGTTCATTTGATTTAACTGTGATTGATCAAGGGACTAGTCGTTATTTATTCCCGAGGGGAGGAGGGGGGCGAGGTCGGAGTATGTTTGGACAAAATCATATGACTTTTAGGGGAATGGAGGGGAATCATTTGTCGCTAAAAGAGTATGAAAGGGTAAAAGGGAGGAAGGGTGTGGAATAGGAAATTGACTGCCAATGAAGAGGATCATTAAAATGCTGCAGAGCCTTATGAGAGGATCAAATAAATTTTATTGTTGCACAATCAAAATCCCCCAACCTTCCTCCCCCCCCCAACAAAAAAGTTGCGCGTTATTTCCGACCATTCTTTTGGTATATCGACAAATATGTACTAATTTTTGGTTTCTATGTGGTATATACTAAAACAATTATTCAACTCAGTGTCGGTGAAAGTGGTGGATATTTACCTCCACTTCGATGATTAATTGCTAGTTATCAATGTTGTAATTATTCATGATGTTACTTATAGCCGAGAGAAGTGTATGCTGATCACGAAGGGATATTGCAGAACTATATCGGGCCAAAACTCCTTTAAACGAGATATGAATCATACCACCTGAATTGCAAACTATGAAAAATTTAAAATGAATTTTTACGAAAAAACGACGAAATGTCTTACTATTATAAGAACCGAACGTAGCTACGCAGGAATTAACATGCAATAAATATCTATCAAGTCACGCTCTACTGAGAAACATCAAGTCACGGCTTTTCTAGTCGATATATTTTACAGTCTATGACTGAAATAAGGGGAAGAGAAGTGATATACTACGTTAAGATCAGATATCTAAACTTGATGACCGAATGTAGTAAGTAGAGTCGACAGCAAAATTTCAACATGGTTATAATATATTCGGAAACAAACACTCAGAGATGCAGATCGTATGTAAACGATATTTATAGCAGTCAAATCCTTACTTATTTGTCTATGGCATCTGACGAAGGGCTAACGCTCGAAACGTCAGCTTTAAAACTCTTAATGGTGACCGATTTATGTCGTCAACTCAGTTTATAATACCAAATCACCTTGTTATACTCTCCCACCGAAGCAGCAACACAGTTTGTTTAGAAACAAATACCCACGTCATTCATTTATCCATAACGTCGGTCGGCCTCATGCAAGCCAGTTCACGTATTTAACATTATTTTAACCGATAAACGGTAAAATAGTTTTACGAAATGCAGCCCTTAACTACCACTCGGATCACTGTTAAAATGTGCAAATTACATGCACACAAAGCAATATTTACAATTTTGTTTGTTTGACACTAAAAAATCTTACTTACTGGAGATTGAACAAAATCCTCTGAGTTAGGATACAACAAACGGAAATTAACCAAGCGAAATTCTCTGCGAAGTACACTCCAACACATTTCCTTTGATAGCATACAACCTAACCTTGCCACAGGAATTAGCACGAACTGATCCCTTAAGAATGAAGCACGTCACGCGTGCTACAATTTGTCACGCCACGTTAGGAATGTAGCGTGTAGAAATCCAAACAATCCAATCACATGACTTGTTTACAGAATGTTAAACAAGTGGGCGAAAGGGGGGAGGAGGGAGGGGGTTTCGCTCAGAAAATTTTAATGAATGACTAGTTTTGGCTGATCCAAAGTATCGAAATTTCAATGTTTTCACGAGCTCACAAGAACGAAGTGGGTACTTAAATTACTGTTCGAGTGATTGAAGAGGAAAACTCAAGACTTCCTAATTTAGAGCGGACGCACTTTGAGTTTGACACATGAACCAATGCCACAGTTTTCGGCGCTTAATTTCAACGAAAATAAACGAAAGTACCATTTAAGCATCTTGCGGTAGGTTTAAATAGTGGCTTAAAAAAAAAAACAAAAGAACTACTCTAAACAACTTCAACTTCAAATTAGCGTAAGATCATACAGTGCATTTTCTATTTTACTCATCTACTTGTCATTGTGTCATTTAATCATTTCGTTTTTCTCGGTTTAATTCATATTCGAATTCATCGTGTTTATGTTATATCTTAAACTTTTTTAAAACTTTGCCTTCCCGGGGGCGCCTCACAGCAGACTTCGTAAGAGCAGAATGGCCACATCTAGAATCGTCTGGTGCTTTGTGATACTGATCGGTCCAAAGCAGATTGAGTACCCAGATGTTCATATGTTCATATGGGTATAAATGGTACGCTGTCAAAGAAAAAAATAATAAAACTATGAAAAGCAGATGCCTCGTTGTTCTACATCGTACTTGATTCCTACGTCAGCTAATTTAAGTCTCATTTCAAAGAGATTTCACTCTCTCTATACAATTATTTTTTCTTATATCTTAGGCTCTTTTTCTTTGTTATTATTGGAAACCTTAAACAAATCACCACGACGACAGCAGCAAGAATGTGGCAAAACAAAAGATCTAATGGGCAGAACAATAGCTCAGCACGTGCGTGTCAAGCTTTTGTACATTTCTTTTCCGTCCTCTGTTAAACAACAACGTGATATCGCGAAAAAATTTGCGTGGTATGAGCATGGAAACCACAATGACAACTTATCATAAGGAAGCCATTCGCGCAATCATATAAACTCATTTTTTAATCGACGTCTTCTGGTCCAAGCTTTGCAATTACTGGGAGGCCGGGTTAATTATTGGATGAGTGTTAAGCAATAACTTATCACCGTTTGTCAAACGTCTCCCTAAAGACGAAACTTCATCCAGCGCAAACCACAAGAAAGAAGGAAAAATCCATTCATGAAAAAGTTAAAGAGAAGAATTATGACTAAATAGGTTAATATGCGGAGACTCATATCAAAATCTTTGCAGTTTTTGTTCGTTATTTGTGTACTTTCCGTCGAACAAATAAGTTTATCGTCTTTTGGCATAGTCAATTCGTAAGTACCAAATGGACTCTGGCACTCATTTCCTCCGCTGAGTGCCTCGTCACAAGAGTCACCGCTGAGGTAATGGCAACACATTGGTACCAAACGTACGTCGTCTTCTCCCAAACAGAAAGAAGAATCCCCTGGAAGATCACAGTCATGAAGGTATTATTAACCATTAACCCCTAAGAATGATTGGCATCTGATTCCTCTTTACAATATCACCCCTATATCACAAACGTCACGAGAATCAGAGGAAATTTTCACTAACTAAAGAAGCTCTTGTTTGTTAAAAAACATTTCTATAAAACATTATGGGGGATATGCATACTGACGTTAGGGTGTAAAGGATTAATAACTGCATGTTTTACAACGTTCAATATCATTGAAAACAGAAATTGATCGAGAGTAATTTAAATTGTTATTCAATCTTTGATGTGTTGGCTAAAATCTTATCGAAGTCGAACGGTTTTTGTGTCTGACTCTAAACTCTTCATTCGTGTTGGCCCCAGAATTACCGGAGGTAAAACATAGCATTTATACTTGTATTCGGAACAATAAAAGTTTTTTGGCTTGAAACTCAACTAAATGGAGTTTGTTAGAAAATTTGAAAAGTCAAAAATTTGGAAACGCTGACCCTTGTTATATTTAAGGAAGGAAAGAAATTAAAACTCATTATTCTGTTTCCATAAGCTACCAGTATATTTGAATTAAAAAAAACGCTGCCTACTTACGAGCGAATGACAAATAAATTCTCAAATATTGCATATCGAATTAGATGTAGCGTTGGAGATGATTTGAAAATAATTATTTCAACAAAATCCAACGCTGTTGAAAGCAATGACAGTGATGAATCAGACATAAGGATATACATTACGTTTCACCTACTAGCGTCAAAAGTGGTGACGTGATCAACCCTGCCATGGCCAAGGAGGTGTTTCAGTTGTTTGATATATCTGTGCCGATAGGCTCACGTAAGAATAAAACACAGCTTTTGGAGGATTTCTTTGTCATAAAAATTTTCTTATTTTACAGTGCTTGTCTTATAGGGTATTTTTTATTACTTTTCTTTTACCTTTCCATTAGCTATAATTTCACCCTGTCGTAAAAAACATAAAGCAGATACGAATTCTATACTGTGTGCTCCTAAAGAGGATTGTACAAAAACATATGTTGCTGAAAAAACGTACAAGTTAAGGTATGCTCAAATTGTAGAAATATCTTTTCTGAGGAAGTACGGGCTAAGAACTTATAGGTGTTTCATGACAGTACACAACATTCATTATATGTTCACTTTATCTTCTCTGTGAGTAATAAATGAAGTTTTAATTTGATTACAAGGCTAAGCAACATTAATAAGTAAAAATTAAAAATAATTTTTTTGTGACAGAGAGCCTCTGAAGACTATACACTACGCTGAGCCGAGTTCAGGTTTTGCAGCAACGCCTAAGATGATCTTCACGAGTCCTCAAGATCCAGCTTGGACCCTAAGTGCTATGAGTGTACAAGGCAGTGGTAGCTCCGACGAAGAAGAGCCCTTTATCACTCATCGAAATGCTGAAATTCTTCATGCGCACAACACGGCAATGTCAAAATTAGCAATATCAAGTTCGTCTGCAGACAACTTCTCCCCCTTAACATCTCGCCTAAAGACATCATGCCAATACGGCCATGAATAGCGTGGTAAATGTCACTTTAAACCTTGCTAGGCGCTCAAATACCATCCTAAATAGAAAGATATGTCATTAAAAGAGAAAGGAAGATGAAAAATAGGTAGAAAAAGAAATTAATTTACATTTACCATCTGCTGAGGTGAGTTGAATCTTGGAAATGTCATCGCGTGACAGGACTCATTTCTTCAAACTGCGCCGGAATCCAAACGAACTCACAAAATGGAAATAGGGAAACAACTTTTTCGCGTTCAGATAGCGTTTGGTGAAACAATGTTATGTTATTTTTAATAACCGATGGTGACTTAAATATAGAAGATTCCCGTACCGCCGTGTCGCATATCTGAACGTTCTATTTCATTACAACATAGGGCGTCACAAGTCGACGGTCTATTGAAATAAATCTGACCATTTTTCTATTTTCAGGCCTGACGATAATAATGGCCTTCAAGGAGAAAAAGACTAGCTTACAGATTCAATTCTTAGCACAGTGATAAGCCTGGGGTTAGCGTTTTTTGAAAATCAAAAACTCGGCGAGGACATGGTAAAAACAATTAGGAGAACGGTAGAATTTTAAATTCAATGAAAGTGATGGAAAGTACTTCACTCATTTGGGAAGTTTATTTCCTAAAATACTTCATTTGTTTCCTGCGAAACTTCACTTTGCAGAAATAGATCCTTATAACCTTTACAACGAAAGAACTGTAGATTTGATTCCTTTCCACAATAGTATTAACAATATAGACATAATAATCATTGCACTACGCATAGTCTTCGATATAAACTCATATTGCAAATTAACTGAAGTATGACAATGGGCAGTACCACGCACTCAAACTCTTGTGCTGTAAAGATCGTGATAAAGAATTAGGTGTTTTGAGCCCAGAGTCTCTATCACCTCTTCAACAGCATGGTGTTGCTCTCCAACTTCGTCATCAGAGTTATCCTCTTCGCTTGTGTCAGCCCCGTGCCAACCCTGCTTTCTTCTCGAAGATGCCAAACGAGAAAAGAATCCTTGGATTTGCAATTTTGTAGCCATTCTTCCCTTGCAAAACGCATTGCATTGCGCATGTCCTCTGCTACCTGGTCTGCAGAAGCTTTCTGTCCAGTTTTCTCTCCTATGTCAAACTTCTTCGTTAGATAATCTCTTACCTTTTCAGAAAACTGAGTAGAACCACTTCTTGCCTTGGCCAGAGCCCATCCTATGTTTGCTTCGGGAACAGATTTTTCGCTGTGAGCACATTTTGAATCAGTTTGGCAATGCTGGGGTTGACGATCTTCGGATTGCACTGTTGAAAACATAGCAACCCAGTCTCGTTTTAGTTTATCATATATATTATGTTGCAGATCGGCCGGTTCGTTTTGTACCACGTGTTTTCCTAGATCTAAATGAAGTTCAAAGTCTGAAAATCTTGCAAACGTTTTTGTGCAGCCAGGCTCGGGACAAACAAAAACAGTTGCGCTTTCAGGCTTAATTTTCGTCTCTGGTTTAAGGACTCGAGAAACGCTTATGGGGAAAAATGACTCCTTGGTAAGGAGCGACGGTGATTTTTGCGGTTGCACAATTTAAGACTTGTAAGGAAAAAACTTCCCGCCACCAATACCATAACATCGCCAGACACGAATGCCTTCACCCTTGAAAGAGAAGTTGTGAAATTTGCTAAAGCCTTCTAATTTTTTAACCTCAGCGTTCTTGGTTGATTCATCAACAGAGCATTCGGCTGCAGTTGTCCCCTTTCAACAGCCGTTCTTTTAGCGCCGTGTGCATATCATTGGCCGTAACGATATCATGACCTTCGTTGCAAAATTTAAAAAAACAAATTGAGCACTATTCCTTCGTCGGTTTTTTTTTTTTTTTTTTTTTTTTTACTATGTTTATTTTCTTTCATAAAAGGCAGTATTTATAAATACAACTGATATACAACCCGTGTCCGTAAAACACCTTTCGGGATATTTGCATGCAAAGAGAAAAGTTAATAATGCAAAATACATTTAATAAATTGTTGGTTAAAGCATTAAAGTATTTGATCTTCTCTCGATTTCTCTCAGATGCTCAATCGCCAGTAAACGATATAAACGGCAGTGTAATGAACTTGTAAATATTTCATTCAATGCAGAGTAATAAATTGTCGGTCATTTAATCTTGACGAAGGTTAACACTTTGAACGGTAAAGATCATGGATCAATGTCAGTGTCTGACCAAATACGCACGAACTTACCCTCCCCCCCCCCCAGCCTATTAAAGTGATAAGAAGGCTAATGTTGATTTACATGTAGGGGTGGGGTAGGTCCGCCGTTGTTCAGATACTGATATTAATCTATTATCAGGATCCGTCACAAATAGTAGATGACAGATATTAATGGTACAGTCCATAAATACATACAATTTCGTATACTACGTAAACCAAGACTTCATTTCTGTTGGTGACATTCACAATCTTAACAATTTGGTTTTAAAAGATTCCACCTCATCAAGATGTTATTTCTTATTTTACCGTCCTCTTCAAGGCTTTTAATCTTCTCTTTGATTTCAAGATACTTCTTAAATACAGCGTCACCCATCCTCAAAGTAGCAGCCTCCCCAAAGAGTTCGGGAGCTTTAGTCTCTCCTTGGCCAACACAATCGATTTTTCTCAAAAGATCGAAACAAATTCTCTCACTGACCACAGAATCTCTCTTGTATTCCGTGTGACTTTCCACAAATCTTCGAATCCACTGAGCCGTTGTAAGCAATTCACCTTAGGCAAAGAGTAAAAAAGTGATGATTATAATTGAAAAAAATACGGTCTTAGTTAAGAGGGAAAATGTTTTATGCATTAATGAAATTTGTGCCTCCCCTCTCAGAGGTTCACCTCCGTCTTTTGAGAATACCCAGGAGACGTATAAACGGGTATACTCTGCGCACTGCCGTGAAACAAAAGTTTGCTCTAGGAAAGGGTAGCGACCACCAAAGACTCTTCGCATAGTGAAATACAAGTTCGGCGACGTAGCGAAGTTCTACCGTACGTAATGCAGCGTGTAGAAGTTAGCGGTGTCAAGCCTTTTGTCATTTGATATGTACGTAAAGCTCTTACACTATTAACTTACCAGAGGCCTTTTTCGAAATATGGTTCAAATATTGGGAAATAGTGCAGCGTGTATTGAAGTCGACATCTGTGGTCGCTATGTAACGGTTTATGAGTGGTATCAAGCCAGGGAACTCGTTATCCTGTAATCAAGCATCAATAAAATAGAACCAGATTATTTATGCTCGATATGCTTTGGTGTGAGCGAGTGACACTAAGTCGTGTGAAGAACATAGTGAGATAATGATAAAAAAAATAAAAAATAACTAACTATGATGAAATAATGAAAATAATTGATAACAGAAAAAAAAGAATGGAAAATATCTTCAGTTTGAATCGTTGCATATTTCCACGAAGCCTCATCCTAAATTGTTTATCCAAGCAAAAATTTCAATACAATAAAGATCTTACAGAAATGTGCTATCTTCACTTCTTACATGCGTCCTATCTCCTTAATCAAAAGCTAAAGGAAGGCTCAAGAACGGTTGTAAATATATTTCGGTTATCTCTGAGGCAGTCCCCTCCATCTTTCTTTCTAAATCACTTTAATTTTGTCGTCCATTATCTCTCACCTTGCCGTTGATAATCTTGTCGATCGACATCAATTCAAATTCTGCGCTGTTATGGCAATTTTCAGCCTCTCTCACAACAACACCTTCCGGAGACAAAACGTAATGAGCCGTTTTTTAAAGTTCAAGTGTAAAATATGGTGTAGAGTGTATGCAAATAGGGCAGAAATTAAGTTTTTATAAATACGTTATAAGACTATCAGCTGCTCAGAGAGCAAGACAAAGAGAAGGCAGTATTGAGCTGAGCTAGGTCAGTCAAAAGCAGCCAAAATTTGATCACACTAATTACTTAATAATATCGGAGACAAAGAGACTAGAACAGAACAATTTGCTCACTTTTCCACACATTCTTCCTGAAACTAAACTCTCCTTGTCTGACAGCGTCCCTCTTCTGCGCTTTGACCATATTTTCATCCACCTGTGGCAGAACAACATTTGCAGTTGTGAACGAATATTCCTAGGGCTGTCTTAATAAAATAGTAACAAAAAAAAATCGAAAAAACAATTAACACTTCCCGAGAATACTGAAGAAGTACAGTTCTTAGATAAAAATTAAATCAATGCGTTTGTACTCGTCTTACTGGAAAAATAGAAAGTTTCACAAGCGCTTTTGGTAATTGCCACTCGTCCGCGCTTTCTGTTGTCGCTACCTGACCTTTAAAATATCGAATTTGGGCAAAGTGTTCCATCGACGCACTCGCACTGTAATTATCTTTTTTGATGAGATGGACCTGGGATGACAAAACCTCCCCCCTCCTAACCCCCCCCCCATCGTTAACCCTTTCACTTCAAGGAGTAACAAAGAAAGAATTTCTCCTCCGCATTAATACCCCGTGGTTCCGGCGGGGGAAGAAGGGTTGGGGGATGGGCTCTTTGGGGGGTGAGTGTCCACCCCAAGGTCGCACCACAACGACCCGGAAAGGCTCGAACTGAGACCCTTAGACTTAGAATCAAGTTCTCCACCTGGCAGGTCACTGTGTCTTCCCCCCCTCCCTCCTCCCCCCGTCCACGGCTTTTTACTCACCTTGGATATAGGAATGAGCAGGTTGAGATCAAAAGACAAAATCGCCCTCGTGAGAAGTATGACAAATGTCACAAAAGCGGCATTCTCGAAGTCTGTCAGTTGTATCTAAAACACATATTGAACTAACATAAGACTGTAAATTAATGAACTGATCGATCAATGCTATGATAGAGGAATAAAAAGCAATCAATTGCTGTTTCCCCAAAGACTTTGGCCCCGAAGAATTCTTGTTCCAGTTGTGCAAGAAGACAAATTATTAACTGATCCCATTCTGGTACTCCTACTTTGAAATGTCTTCGTGGACTAATCCCACAACTATAACACAAAGGAACAAACAAACAAACAAACCAATGTCATTTTCTTACATCAAGGGACCTGAACTCCACTCTCCATCCCATCGAAGAATCAGGCGGTGGTGGCTTGAAGCGCACGGTTTGCCAGTTGGTGGAATTTATGTTCTGATAATTAAAACGAGGAATCTACATAAGCACGATTTTACAACTTACTTAGTCTGCTATACTTATCTCAAAAACCTGTTTAACCCTCATTTCGAAAAATTTAGCTGCTTGTATGTTTACATTACTTTCAAATATGTCCAACAACTTTCGACAGAATTTTCCCCTATCATGGAATACAAAGTATGCAACAGACAAATGTTCCAAACTGAGCTTCTGAGATATCTTGAGATTATATCGACCACTGGTGTTACATCTTACCTCAAATAGATTTGAGCTTTCCTCGTCGTCTTTGTAGAGGTCTTCAAGGCACAGAGACGCCACAGGATCCCGAATGAACAAATGCGCGACATGCCGAGCCAGTGGTTCATCAACGCCTAGAATATCAGCGATAAAATGATTTTTCATAAATAAACGTCCAATTTTGAAACAGAGGCGATTCTCAAATTTTTAATGCCATCTAAACTTAAAAAAGGTCCTAAACATGTTTTTTATAACACAACATTTGAATAATTCGATAGCATGACCCAGAAACCTTTCAAAATTTGTTGTTTGCTGTCACGTGTTATCGAGTTTGCTTTTCAAATGCTTGTGCGATTTGCCGTTATGCCACGAACAAGTTTTTCGCGATTGAAGTCTAGAGAAGGAGAGTAAAATTTCTTTAACACAAACAGGGAGGGCGACGTTATTTGATCGATTTCCAAATGCAGAATTTGGACTTGAGTTGTCTTATTCTCCAAAGAATGCCGATGGAAACACAAGCTCTCCCAATTCATATAAAAAAAGACAATGTAGCTGCGTTCATAATTCTAACAGTCGCTGCGATTTGTATGGTCCGAAACTTATCTTGAGTGTGATCTGTTGTTACCATAGTGTAGCACTTACCCGCAACGACGAGCTGTTGGTAAATGTCTTGGTCATACAGCAAGTCGATGTCGTTGTAACCATTCGCCTCAGCTGACAGATATGTACTCACTGAATCATACCGTGACTTAGGTATCACAAATTTGTTTTCCTTGAGTGGCTGAAGAAGAGGAAACGCAATACTAAAACACTTAAACATTTAAAGATTTAAAGCACTATTTTATATCGAGCCCAGAGCAAAAGAAAACTTAAAGTCGCCTATGATTATCCGAGCGAGTAGTCACTCCCTAATGTTATCCTCTGACTTAGCTTTGGAGAACTCTTGGCGAGTCATGCGATCTACCAGGTTCATAACGTTTGAATCTCCTTGCATACCGCTAGCATCAACGGGTACTGAGTGACTGTCGAAAAACAACTTCATTCATCACACATCGGAAAAGAAAAAAAACTTCTACATCTAAAGTGATAAGTTATAGAGTTACCTCTGGCATGGAGGCTTTTAAGACGATTAGTTAAACAATGCTTCAGGGTTAAAAAAATTATTAATTCTTAACAAATACCTCGAGGCCTCTCTCCTCCGGGGTTCGATCATCCATTGACTCAGATATGATTCCCCAACGACAATCTACATCAGAAAGATATCCTCGTGCGGTGGGAGTTCCAGCAGACAGAGCCATCTAACAATTAAAAACAACAAATATTAATTCTTGGTAATATTAAAAGAATCGACCCTACAGAGGTAGTAATTCAGGAAAAAAAACCACCTTAGTTTCATTGAAGTTCTATTCAAATATCTTTTGACTTCCTTTCATGCAGTGTATGATTGGGAATAAGAATCTTTTCATGCCAGACAAAAATAAAGCCTCCTTAGTTTCAGAATCTTTTAACTTAGCGGTGACTGTGTTGTTTTTGTAAGTTTGGCACCACTCTATACGGGCAACGGGGATGCCGAAATCTATAATCCGACTATCATATCCAGTTATAATCGCCCAGCACGAGGTAATTATAGAAGATGCACTAAATTTGAAAATGTGCATTAGTCAATTTTATCGAGGCAGATGTAAACGTCGCACAAGAAAATCCAATACCCAAGAACACAAAACTGCTACTAAGTTTTACAAAGCACTCTTCACAAGCAACATATGAATTATTTACTGATTCGGTTAAATGAACGCGTCAAATCTACTCATGAAGATTTGATAAGTTACAAGCTCGCAGAACAGGAATGAAACAAGTTATTTTCGCTATTATAATCACATAAGCAATAGAACTGAAACAATTATTCGCCTCACCCTCAGTAGTGGAAAGATTATTCAACACTATTCACTGAATGGGCATTGAAGCAAAAATACCATGTTTACATACCAATATGGGACTCACTACCGCGAGTTGATCGTAAAGAAACCTTGCTTCATGGATGTTGCAGGCTTGGAGAGTGACCTTTCATTTCGAAAGAGAACATGCTTTTTAAATCAGTTTCTAGACCTTTGCATGACAGAACTCACCGACAATAAACTTCGATCTACTTAGCTAAGACTGTGCTTGCGTGATAAATACGTAAATCTCCTATTTATTATTGTTTATAGGGTTTCTTTATTTAGAATAGTGGCATAATTACTGGTGTCTATTAGTTGACTTCTTTTCAGACGAGCAGCCATTAAATTCCACCGTTGCGTTGTTGTAGGAGAAGTCATTTCTCCCTCTATTTATGTTGTAAATTTGAAATAGTGAAACTGATTTTAGTTTGGTAACCGCTTCGTATTTGTTAAATTTAACTCTTTCTAGAAGAAAGAAGGCTAAATTATTGCAACTAGGTCACACACAGTTGTTGGAGCTGGAGGAGAATGACCTCCGCTTTCCCTAATTGTGCTTTTTTTTTGGTTTTGTTTCGTTTTGTTTCGTTCCGCAAACCAGCTCCGCTTTGACTAGAAAGCATCGAAAAAAGGAAATAAGCAAAGTGAGGACTTTTCTTAGTGACTCTCAGCCTTACGTATCTTCTCCAATCTTTAGGTTTCTCTCAGTTAAGTTTCCTATATAAAGAAAGCTTCTCAACAGAGAGGAGTGTACCTGAATACAAGACATCCCAAGGCCGCAGCTAACACTGTCCATATAAATGTGATCTGGCAAAGCAGCCTCAGCTCCTTCTCCTTCAACGGTGGAAAACGTCTCAGTAAAAGGTGAAGGGGTGTTTATGTCTTTAAATACTGAAAAAGTGGTAGAAACAATTCAGGAAGAGATAAATAATAACTTCTTGTCTCAAAGAAATAAATAACAATGTTTGGAAAAATCGTGCATCAATCGCATAATTCTTTTACAAGCATAACAAAGCCAATGTACCGGTATTTAATAATTCTGTGGGAGACTTGATGGGTTAATATTTGGCTTAAGGTGTAGACATAAGGATAGAGTGCAACGAGATCCGAGCGTTCTAACCGAGAACCCAACATTTTCCCGTCCTGTCCAACCTAATTCAGGCAATAAGCCTCATGACCGTCGTTCCTTCTTTTACTTCCAACCTTCTTTCAGCTCGCATCTCGTGGGGACGCACGGGTACGGTCCTCAAACGAGGACTTTTGTCTAATGTCTCTAAATATGTGGCTTCACATTATAATTGTAAAGACACGATTATAAGTGAAAGTCAAGTCATGAGTCGTTCTCACGAATATAGGCGCAGAGACGAAAACAAACAAACAAACAAAATATCAAACGGACAAACATACTTGGTACGTTGATAGCAACCTTTGAACCTCTTCTTTCTCGGATGTTTTGGGTCATTGAGCTAGTAGAAATAACAAAAAGTATCAAATAGATAATCATTTTGCTAAAAAGTTTCATGGTTGCTGAAAACAATGACTTAAAAACTAAGTAAACTGGACCACTTCTAAGCCGGATCTAGGGAAAAAATTGGGGTGATGCCGATCGGCCAATAAACTACACTGTTATTGCCTGCATATCAAAGAGTTTTGTGTGCGCCTTAAATGGATGAGAGGCGAGGTTGCGTTTCCATTTACCATCCCAAACCTATCCCAGTACCGCCCAAAAGCACACACTAAACCACCAGCTACGCTGGATAATGCTGTAATGTGCTCTAACTTGTATGTTCGAGAGGTTTGCTGGGAAAAAGCAGAAAACCCGATTGGTTTCGCTTAATTTTACGAGTCAAATATTTTTACTCTGAAATTTTTGTTCCCTTTTTTTGGAGGGGAAGGAGGGAATTTAACACACAACCCATAACCCCTGCCTCCCCCCCCAATTCATCCTTAAATTCCTCTAATTTTCCAATTGGCTAGATTTGAAGAGCAGTTGGCGATAGGTTACAGTAGCGTAATCATTAGCCTTCGATCAACCCCAGTAATCAGTTTTAAAATATCTCTACAAATACTTCAACTGAGTCGGGAGAGTTGCGACATGCCACTCTCAGTGCTTTGGACCAGTGCACATACGTTTCACTCTCTGAGCTGGTTTTCTTACCTAAACCTGAGGTGATTCTGACAGACAGCCTGGTCCGGAATAAACATTGAACATGACAATCCTTTGTTCGGAGTTGGTTCAAAAAATGGAAAGGTAAAGTTGGGGCATCCCAATCTGATAAGGAAAACATATTTCATTACCTAAACGATAAGACGACCGCATGTATCCTGAATTTTTTTGGAAATTGTTTCTGTTGGTTTTTTTTCATAATTTGTACTTGTGAGCAGCACGCATACACAAATCTTGTCAACTTGTTGAGTTTGATCACTTAGATTTCATCTTAGAGCTTGAACCAGATGGTTAAAGGAACTTAATCAATACCTTCTTTACAAAGTACTTGTCGCGATTCAGCAAGGTTGTGAACAGCGAAAAAAAAAACAAAAAAAAAAACAAATAACGTGCTAGCAAGATATGACTGAAATCCCGCATAACGCTGAATTAAATTTTGGTCATTTTTGCGGTCAGTTGTCAAAACCGGCCCAAAACTACGTTTATCTTTCTGTGTTTTCCGCATCCTTACATATCATACCTGGGAAATGCTACGATGGACTGAACGGTTTCACCAGGTTCGGTCAAAAATCTCTTCATTTCTTCCCGTCTGTTAACGAAAAAAAAGAAAATCAAAATCAAAGACAAAAGTTAACAACGAAACAGCAAAACCTGAAGTAAGTGAACATTATTAGGATACTCTTATATTCCGCTCTAACAATCGTATTTTCCGCAAGAGCATTAATGAAGATGAGAGTGACTTTTGTAACAATGAACACTACTTCAACAGAAGTGATTTTTCAGGCTTTATTTTCATGCACCACTGCTAAAGTAGTTAAGCATGAACCCGCAGTTCAAATATATGATAGTCATATATTTACACACAGTTGTTCAAGAGCATTTATGTCAGCGAAATATCCTAAACATCTGTCTAGAACGTGAAAGCTAGAAAAGTTTTGAGTACTCCGCTCTCCACCCGTGAGGAAACGATTCACTAACTTTCCGATTGGCTGATAGTCCGCATGCCAGCCGCGAGCCGGCTGTGGCTGGTCCATATGTATATATTTAAGTGCTGAACTAGATGGCGTGAATGACTGATTGTCCGATTGACCTACTGACCAACAGTAGATCTTTTCACGAACATGGGACAGACAAAAGATTCCCCTGAACTCTAGGGACTTTCTGAGATGAGCTAAACCATTAGACAGACAGATAGACTAGCCGACTGACGACTAGTTGAATTGGAAAAAAGAAGAACTCACCGGTGGATTGACCATCAGGCAGACAGCTAGTTATACATATAGAAAAAGTGACAATTGATAGACAGACTAATAGACTAATGGTCAGACAGACAGCCAGTCACACAAAAAGAGTGACTCAGAGTGTAACTGCTTTCTCTTTGCCACTCCCTTGAGACTCGTATCCTTCTTGGCCCAGTTGTATAAAGGGCGGATAACGCTATCTCCGGATAAATTGCTTTTCAGCGGATAAGTGATAACAAAACGTATGGCGTTATCCACCGGATAGAGATTTATCCAGTGGATAGTGTAATCCGACCTTCAAACAACCGGGGCCTGTACCACTCTCCCTACCTGACTTACCTTAATATCATGTTCAATTCAATGATGTTAAAACATGCCAAACTTTCTCCCATAGGCTGCCCAGGTGATGCTACATAACACACAAAACAAAACAGGAAAGTACCAAATAAACCAGGGATTTCTAAGTATAAATCAGCCAAAAAAGCGTTTATGACGTTTCTCTCACAGGTATGTTATTTCGATTATCCTGTTTTCATTAAAACCATGATGCATGGCAATAAGAAGAAAGTTGTGAGCTATAAACTATCCTCAAATGTAATACCTTTAAATAATATATAATTGTTAATAATATATTATAAATAATATGTTATAGCGAATACCTTCAACCATATAGCTAGCAAATTCAGGCTTCCAAGAAATTGGGTAGGTGCTGAAAAAAACAAAACGGTTAATGTAAGAGTTAATAAAGAAAAATTAGTGAAATAGGACAGAAGAAAAAAAAAGATAAAAACAAAAGTAATAACAAAGAATTCATTCTGGAATAAAAAGCAAAAATGCTGTTATCCAGTGGCAATCTCACGATGTTCTTGAACTTGGGTATAGATGTATGGAAAGGCCGCAAACTGCCATATGCTGTTTAGAATTTAGGGAGATTAAAGTGTCTAGCGACTGGTTTGGATGCGTCCTTGTTATTTCTTTGTACGTCGCGAGAGTATTCTCGGAATCGGCCACCTAGTAAGTTCTTCCTGTTTCACCAGTGTATAACTTTTTGCAACAAGTGCAAGTTAAAAATTAGATGACATCGGCGGAGGTGCTCGTGAGGTGATCAGTGATCTTAATAGATCTCTTGGGTCCCGATATTTTCTCAAGGTGGTGAATGAAAGGACATCGTGAGCGAGAGCACTTGAAAGTTCCAGGTTGGTCATTGGTTTGAAATGAATTTCTGACCAAAAAGTTGCCTATGTTCTTTTCGCGTTTGAATGAAATTAGTGTAGGTTGCGAAAAGATAGTACCAGTCTCTTAATCGTTTTAAGACAATTTACAATTTTTAGGAATTATGATTTAACTACGTGTTTGTGAGGGTGAAATGTGACAGTGAATGGAATACGATCAGTATCTTCCTTCAGAGCCGTGTGTAATGCTGACTGTCTGTTGGGCGCAATGGTGGCCCGCTTGAACGACAGAAACAGGATAACCACGTTTATCGAAAAACTTGCACATTGCCTCCAATTTTTCGAAAAAAAAAAGAGTCCTCACCACATAAACGACGAAGTCGTGAAAAAGATATGGAATCCTTGATGTGTGATGGATGCGAAGGTGAATACAACAAGCAACTATGTGAATCCTGAAGGTTTGTAGTTATCACTAGTGCATAGACCGTTACCTTCAACTAAAATTTTGATGTCTAATTTCCCAGGTATATTTCAGGGCCGGTTAAAAAGAATTGACGGCGGTTAAAAATTAAGTGAGCTCCTCTGTGGTAGAGGAGGTAGCGCCGATGCAGTCATCAATGTGGCGACCGTAGAGTTCAAGTTTGGGGCCGTTGTATTGACTGAAAATTGGCGTTCGATAGACCAACGAAAAGATTGACGTAGCTGGTTCCCATTTTGATACCCATGGCTACGTCGCTAGTTTGTTTGTTGTAGCTGCCACCGAATAAAAAGCAATTGAGTGTTAGTACTTGTTCGGCTAGACGGAGCAGTGTTTCAGAGCTAGGTTCCTTAACAGTGCGTTGATCGAAAAGTGTTTGAGGGCGCGGAAACCTTCGTCATGGGGAACAGGTGACAGTATAAAGAGATGCAATGTCCATAGGGAAAAGAAGTCGCGAAAAATTTCAACTTGGCTGTTGTATAAAACGTATACAACAGGACAACTTCGAATAAAGACTGTATTCCAGAATAACAATATGCAAGACAGCTCTCACGCATTCCTTTTCATTTTCCTTTCTTTTTGAGTTTTTATCAAGAGTTCAAAGTTCAATTCGTGGGGGGTAAGAAACATACAAAAATCCACGTGACACTCTCGGTCCAGCTTTCAACAGCTGTCTTTAATGTATGATGTTAAAGTTTTGACGATGGGTATCATAATTTTGTCTAAATAGTTGCAAGGAAATAAGTTCGGTGGGACAACTGCAGCTATATACAGGCAGAGACGATGTGTCGACCTAGGTTGTTAGGTTTGTGGATTTTTTAGTAAAAAGTAAATACACGAAGTTCTAGGAGTGGTGATGGTGAGTTTTTTTGCAATGCCCGGTAATTCATGTTTAGCTGTAGTATCGTTAATTGTATTTTTGAGAATGTTTTGTTTGATTAAAGTGAGATCTTTGTCAACTTTTGTATAAAAAGAGGTGTCAGAAAGTTGCCACAAAGCTTCTTTTTGGTAGAGGTCGGCCCGCCAAACAACGACTACACCGCCTATGTCAGCCGCTTTAATAACTGTCTTTGCGTTTTTTAAGACTTTTTAGTGCCGACCACTCTTCCGAAGAAAGGTTAGGAATTTGGTGTTACGATTGAATTTCAGTTTGTTAATATCGCGACATTTTTTGATGAAAAAACTAAAGATGCGAATTTGCCCTCTACGGGAGTCCATCTTAAATCTTAAAGTGTTTCGAAAGTATCTTTGTTTGAGGTGTTAGAATCATCCTCTTTGTCGTGAAAGAAGGCTTTCAATTGAGCTCGTCGAAGAAATTTTTCAACATCTTGCTTAATGGATCGGAAAGAGGAAAATTTTCTAGAGTACTAAATATAGTTTTGAGGCCTTCAGGCGATGAGTCATTAGCAATTTGAGGGCCGATAAGTTGGTCGAGTTTTTGGGCCTTAATTTGGTGCTTGTAAACTCTTTTCGGTGGCCAGTTCACGTTATCAACTCAGCAGATAATGCTAAATTACCCTGCTGTACTCTCCCACCGACGCAGCACCACAGTTTCTTTAGAAAACGTACCCCTGTCACACAATTTGTAGTTCACGAGCCAATAAGGACAGGATTCAAAATATGAATTTCAATGTGTCTTATCATTACCTGGTATTATTTTGTTCCACAAGTGTCAAATCATCCAAAACATCTTTTGCCCTCAAATTGCAGTAAACTTTCTTGTTCTCATGGTCAAACTTCAATAGGGTGTACTCCATCTGTAACGCAAGATCTGGCATCAAATTATTTCAAAACGTAATAACTTCTTACTAACCGAGTGCAAGGACCATAATGAGGAATATTGGCCCGTGCTCATGGCAGTGTGAACAGAGGACGGCGAGGTCCAAAAAAAATCCCACCAATGGCCGATATTACCCAGTACGGCTTGAACAAGTGAGGTTAATAAGTAGTTTATGGTATTCGGACCAAACTTGTTGATTTGAATTTGCTGGCTTTCGCGACCAAAATTACACGGAAAAAAATCCAGAATTGATCTGTATGATAAAAAAAAAAAGACCAATTATAGAAACCAATCAGAACGTTTGAATTAACCCTTTAACTGCCAAGACCTGATAGTCAATTCTCCCACCAGTTATCACATATTTCCTTTTAAATTACTTACAAGAATTTGGTGTTAGATCAAGACAACAACTTTTACTTGATAAGTTCGAGTATTCTCATCACTATTTGCTGGATGATGTATGTATATTGCAGGGAGAAGTTAGAACACACGTGGAAAAAATACGATTTTTTTTCACGTGTGTTGTTACGGCTTTTCTCAGGGCCGGAAATCCTTGTACAACACCGCAGTTTATGTGATAAAGATCATCACAATATCTTCATTTTTGGAGTGATCAACATTACCTCATCGCCCCATTTCAAACCATCGTTGTCTCTGTCTTTCTCTCTGTTGTAGATGTGGAGAAATTGCAAAATACCGCGTTTCCGAACTTCGTCTCTGTACTGTTTTGTTTCAGACCACGACAGCGGACATCCTTTAGAGAGAAGACCCATGTTCTAGACTTGAGCTGAGAATAACAAAAGAGGTATACATTATCATGTGCATAAAGCAGTTTACGTTCAATTAAAAGAACCGTCCAACCTTGTATGCCCTAGTTTTAAAGTATTTTGATTCTCAGCTAGGGTACGTAGTAGCCTTTCGTCAAATTAGAGTTTTTGATACGCCGACGGTATACTATTACTATACTATTTACAAAAATCGAACGAGGAAAACATAGCAGATATTATTTTACCAAAAGTGCTTGTCCTGAATGTTTTAGATGGAACTTTTCCGCTTTCTTTCTGAGAGTTGCTTGCGGTCTTAATAAACAACCGAGCAGCAGAAGAATGTGAAAAAGTAACCTATTAATAAATTTTCTGCAAAGGTGCCAGACAAATCGAAGTAATCACTATATTTATCATCGTTGTACCTGACAAATATTGATCCTGCGGGTGTCCTTCGGGAAAAAAATTCGTGCGCGCGCTAGTTTCACTTAAATCCTAGCAAACTATATATCAGAAGTAAGCTTAATAACTGTAGTTTAGGATAAAAATATAATTTAAGCGACCTTTCTTTCAGGGAAGTGTCAGGAGCCGTGAAAGTGTGTCGGGCTTTTTCGATATTCTGATTGGTTGTCTAGATATCGGCATCTAAAGTTGAAGTGGCCGAAAATATGCGAGGCGTGTTGCGTAAATGGACACCAAGGGCAAATATTTCAAATATCAAAATTTCCCAACACATTTTCGTTTGTCATAATTCCTAAAATGTTTTGGTGAAATTTGACAAAAATCGGTCAAATCTATATACCGTATGAATTTGCTCAAAGTGGTTCTACACCTTCCAAAATCAAATGCGAGACTGAAGCTGATGAAGGTTCGCAAACAACTCATGCCACGCCGAGAGTTTATCTCGCCTCCTGAAACCGCATGTTGAAGTCCTATATGTAATAACTGTCCTAAATGTAATAAAGTCCTAAATGTAATAACATTTGGTCCTAAATGTAATAAAGTCCTAAATGTAATAACATTTGGTCCTAAATGTAATAAAGTCCTAAATGTAATAACATTTAGTCCTAAATGTAATAAGCCTCTAATGCAATCGTTTATCTCCTGCAGTGCATTGTTGTTATGGCGGACATCCACATTGATATGTTAGTGACAGCTGTTGCTCAAAAAAACCGCTGACCAGTATACATGTCACATTATGGGCCCGCTGATATCAATCAGCGTCTTTTTACTTGCTAGACATAAGAAATATCAGCAGTCGAAGTATGGTCCTTATAGCGGTTTATTGATCGAGTTGAAGAAAATCATTTCCAGCCCAAAGTGGGCTAGTGCTTGGCTGGAAGCTCAATAGGATGGAATCGATTGGTACGTAACCATTAAGATTTTTTGGAAAAGAAATTGACTACAATTGATGATGAACTAGCATGCTATTGTTGATGTTATCTTTCGTGTTAAAGTCTTTAGAAGTGATGCACCATTTTAGAGCAGTTTGAATGATTTCGCTGTGGCACATGTTAATCCAAAAGAAAATTATTATTATCAGTAGCGTTATTGAAATTTTGCACATCAATGTTATTCAGTGTCAATTGATTCTAATGAAGCATTTGAGATCATTTTTAAGAATTACTATCCTGATTTATTCAATTTTGAACCTGGGGTGTTGCATTTCCAGCCCTCTATGGCTTTACTCCACCTCAGTAATCAGTTCATGTACCATATGACTTTAAGTGGAAACTGCTGAGCTTTCTTTTTTCATTCATCTATTTATCTATTCATTTTCTCCCCTCACGGCGGGGAGAAGAGGTGAAGACAAAAAATGAAATATAAACTTGAGATAAACTTTAAAATGTATGTTTTCCTAATATTTCGGTTCGGGAACTGATGAACCCGTCATAAGGGGCTAAAGGAAAAAAATGAATGGTTCATTAGACCGCCAACTGACCATCATATGTTGAATGGTGTAGCTCAATGGTTCAATTTGACTCTTGCGTGGAAAAAGGCAACATGTCGAGACCTGTGATCGTGAAATGGGATAACATATCATTGGTCAGTCGATATCTTGCTCTGCAAGTCACATTATCATATAGCTAGCAGCGCACGCGGGCAAGATGAAGTGAATCCTGTGTCACCCGATTGGCTACCTGAGCGGGCATGATGGGCCCACCCTCGCCCGTTCGGGATCCCCCGTATTGATCCCACGCAAGAAAACTTACAAAGTTCGTAACTTTTGGACAATGTTTTCATATATACATAGAAAAAATAAACGACCCTCTTGGGTTTATTGTGCTGCAAACACAGTTGGCTTTCACTATCGGCTCTCGAAATAAACAGGCCATTCTTGATTCTTATCAAAGCGAAATCTTTTGCTATACAATGAATCCTTTAATGATTAAGCCAAGAGAATATAAACTCTCTTGTATGGTCAAGATTACTGGATATTAGCCTCGTTCTTTTTCTACTTTTTTATGGACCGTGACTTCGTCTCAGTCCATAAAAACGCAAAAAAAAAAAAAAAGAACTCGGCCAATATATAGCCATTTTGACCTCACGTTCGGTCAATAACGCATATGAATATATCTTATGCAAACCCGTACAAATCTGGCAAGGGAAGACAGTACAAAAAATGCCCTTCTGAGCCCAGAATTTGTCTAACGTATAAGTCGGTGGACTTCTTTTTCCTTGTAATTTGGTTCATCAAGTGTTAACTTCAGCACTGAGGACAGAAGTATTTCGTCAAAATCTGTTACACTTAAGAGTCTGAGCCAATGATATAGAGAGAGCTATTAGTCAACGTTCTCGTTGCTTTTGCGTCCGTCAATTTGATGCCAAAAGCACATCAGTATTAGAATAAGGTTTTGTAGCCAATGCTTCTCAACCTACGTCTTTAACAAATAAAAAGCCGCTGATTAATATCAGTGAGCCCGCAATATTCCATAAATATTGGTCAGAGGATTCTTTGGTGCAACAGCTGTCACTTTAACATCTCAATGTTAGCGCAGTTAAACGAGTGCATAGGAGGCTCATTACATTTAGGACCGAACGTTATTACATTTAGGGCTTTATTACATTTAGGACCAAATGTTATTACATTTAGGACTTTATTACATTTAGGAAAGTTATTACATTTAGGACTTCAACACCGCAAACCAATAGGACAACGGGACCTCCTGGCGTCAACGAAGATGGATCAAGATTTCCCGGGAAAAGTAACCCATTGCAGACACGTTTACTTTTTATCTCGATCACACCGTGGAGCGTTGAAGAGAACGACACAATAATGAGCAAAGTTGCTAAAAATTAAAGGAAAAACCCGCGGCAAAAATGGAAAAACTGCAAACTGCAAACTGCGTTGAGGAGCAAGACAATGAGTCGACATACAGCTTTCAAAATTACGATTCGAGGTGATTGTTTTTTATCAAGGCTGGTACTTGCATGAAGAGGAGGAATCTCGTTTTTAACATCATTTATTGCAAGTTTTGGTTCGACAGCGACTTCTTTGTTCAAAATCTGGACACCAGCGTGGAGCTCCACCAGTATCAGTCGCTTTCACAGGGGAATTTTTTTTCTTTTCATGACAGAATAATACTCCTTCGTTCTTTTTTGGGGCTGTTTTTTTTCCCTTTTTTATACAGAGGACTTTCTTCCGCTTTTGATTTTTCCATGAGCAAAGATTTTTTCAGAAACAAAGAACTTCCACGTGTGAAATTTGTTAAGTGAGCGATGTAAACAAAATATGGAAACGACATGAAAATCGAGCCCCAACATGAACGGTTGCCGCGAAAATTCCCTCAGGGAATTCGCTCAAATCCGAGATTATGACACTTTTCTGATTTATTAACCTTTAATTAAAAATACGCCTTTTATAAATAACTCGGGTGCCTTTAAATATTTCTGAATTTTTTTTATGGAAACGTTAGGTTGAACGTTTTAATTCAGTTTAATTAACTTAAAGAAAAATCGATTTTTTTCGGCCACTGATAGTGGGAAGTAGCCCCAAGAGATAATCATGATAATAATCTCTTGAAGCGAACAGATATCCCGTTATTTTTTCAATTTGTTCAATTCTCATCAATAGCAGGTCTGTGTTCCCTTTTTTTATGGTGATATTGACGCTCCTCTGAATACTGTTTACAAAATTTGAAATCGTAAAACATGGCTGAACTTCTCTAATTTGTGAAGGCTTAAGTGATGAATGTCTTAGATCGAACTTTTTACGGAGCTTTTTGTTATGCATGAATATTTAGTAATAAATCTATGTTTCTTTCTAAGAAAGTAAATATTAGGAAATCATTTAAATGAGGCAATATCAAAATTTATAGGGAGGCCTCTCGCTAATATTCACCAAGTTTAGAAAGCTGAAACGGTTTTCCTGTTATCATATCAAATAAAAGCTAGTTGTTAGAGTCCTTCAGTCTTGTAGGAGTTTGGGTTTTGGTCGAGGGTCGAGGGTCGAGGGTACAAAGTCGAGGGTCGAGGGTAATATGTCGAGGGTCGAGGGTAATATGTCGAGGGTCGAGGATAACATGTCGAGGGTTCTTAAAAATGAAAATAAAATCATAAAAATAAAACGAAAACGAGTTTGGAATTTGGTCTTTATGCTAACAAGAGTGTTAACGTACCTTTAGTTCATGATAAAACTAATAAACAAATAAAAATAAAAATCAGAATAAACAAATGAAGAAATAAATAAATGTACACGAGCCAAACGGAAGTTTGGTTGCATTGGATGGAACAGATAAAGCATTCAGTACACATTTTTATTTTAGCAAATGCAGAGCAAATATTGCAATCATTTTTTTTTTTTTTGCTTATACTTTTTAGATTGGGGTCGGGATATGTGGTAGATGCCCCGTACCCCTAAGGTTATACAGTTCGAATCTTCCAAAATTCATTAATTAAAAGTGCGGTTTTGAGGGTGCATTTTTTAAATTGCCCTTATGAAGGCAGTAAATGATCTAAAAAAATTGATTGGAAAAGTTAACGTAATATTACTGACTAAATAATGAGTTTTTCGCCAGTCGTCTTTGGTTTTATCTTGATTTAGACCAGAACAAAAGAGTCTTTTCGTTCTAGACAATAGCGAGGGCTTGTTTGTTTTTATAGAAGTATACGTCACATGGTCAAATGTTACAAATTACAAATTACATGCAGGCGTTACAAATCTCACTTTTTAAAGTCAGTTAAAAATCATAAGAAATTCCCCCTAGAATTAACGAAACTACTAGCCACAGGTTTTAACCAGCTCGTCTTCGGTTTATTTTGCACCACACAGCAAAAGAGCTTTATCAGTCTAGACAATATAGTCTAGACGCATTGACGTGTCTTATCTATACTTCATATGGTACAAAGTATTTCCGTTCGCAGACTTCTTGCGT